TAAATTATTCTGCTTGGAAAGAACCATCTAGACTATGCGACGTATTTTGGTAGATTCCAAATTGTCAGTTTAGACTGCTGGGCTTGATGCATTTGAACGCCATTATGATGCCTACCGATACTATTATGCACATATTGCTAAAAGTAGCTGGCCCTTGACACGTTGCGTCTGCCGTATACTTCGAAGATTGAGTGTTTTTGGCATCATTTAGAATGTGCTGCTTTAGTTCTCCTTGATAGATCCACAACCGCCTTTATAGAGCATTATTTGACTCTGCTACTTTCAAACAGGCCTCTTTATAGGCACATAAATGTAGGGAAAACGGAAATTGTAGATGGGAAATGTATGGGTTGGGTGATCATAAAACCAAAGCGAAAGTGTATGTCGTATGGTATTTTTGAGGTTTTTGATCCTACGAGCAACTTTGTTAATTTTAGAAGCTGTCTTCTTTTTTTAGAAAAAAACGTATACCTAAAATATAGTTTCTATTCAAATTACTACTACTTCGCAGAGGCTTGTAATATTATGTCTCGTGGAAAGGACGCAGTGTTTGGTAATCTACCCAGATAAAATGTAGAGAGTTAAGGGGTAAAGATTAGAAAAAATAAAATAAAACCAAATGGTACTCATAAAAACAAAAACAAAAAACAAAAATCATCCAAAAAAGTTCGGAGTTGTATACATCCTGTCGCATGCGTACTGACACTGAGTTGAACGAGTTGACCTCCTCGTAGCCCTGCTAAGTCCGAAATACAAGTCCTATGAAAAACCCTTCGAGGGGTTATTTCTATCCTTTCATCACCTAAACCGCTAAGCCAATTGCCACTTTGACCTTGAGATTTCGGATCCGGGGTGATAGAAGAACTTCTTAGTGGGGCTTATAAGTCTACCATGTGTAGGTACCTAAGGTACATTGCAGGTGCCTAGCGACGGCGTTGTTATCGAAGTGCGGTATCCCTCTTACAGCTGTCTGGATGCCACTTTGTCACCTGGATCCGGCGCCTTAAGAATCTCTGCTATGCGATAACCCGCATCAGTTGATCTGATGCAGTTGGACTACCTTAGGGGGTAGATTGCTTTAGGTACTCGTTTACGTTACCTTTTTCGACCCCTTTTACTCCTGCAAACTCCTTTATATAGGGATATCATCGTACGGTCTACGCTACTAAAGGTTGAGTTAATCTAAAGAAATAAGTTTCCCTTAAATATCTCTTATGTCGCTAGAGGGTAATGTCGAACCTAAGTAAAATTCCGTATAGCTGTATCCTTAATATACGCAAGACGAAATCTTTATGGTTTATTTCCACATCCCTAATAACGTCATTTGGTAAACAATATCATATGTTTAAGCTGAAGGGGTTGATACCACGCGAACGATTTTTCCTCTTAAGCTCATAGGGTAGAACCTCGCAGGACTTTCTACTCGCAAACCTGTCGCGTAGCTCAAATAACTAAGCTGGACGGGTTAATGTTACCACAAAGTAGAGCGAAGTTACTTTATACTGCTTTAAAAGGTCTAGAAGGTTAGGAACTTGTAGAATATTTAGTAATGAGAGGTGACGAAGTAAGCCGCATAGGCTAGTTGTAGTCTATATTCTTAAGACATGCCTAAGACCTGTGGCAGAGGATATACGATGGAAGCAAGCCTTATGATGGATACTAGGGAATATCCCCTTACCTACTAGTATAAGGCTAACATTCTCACGACATATTCTTCGTAGTCAATAGGATAAGTTATGCGATGTACTTAAATTTCGGCGAATTGACATCATGTATAATGAGCACTCATGTACTTTAAAGGCATCGCATGAATATTTATTTAATGATAGTCAAATACGAGAAGACTTCTAGTCGTTGTGAAAAAGGCATTGGATATGCTGCTCAGTCACTGATGCCTAACCCGAGTTTTAGATCGAGGCAACCTTTGAGACTACGTAGATAATTATTAAACGTAGAATATACAAAGATGAAATAGGCGAATCTTTATAATAAGCGAACACGAGGGTCATCTCCTTTGGTATGAGGTGAAATTAGAAACTCCTAAAACTAGCGATAGCCGTGACTAGGTTAGTTACAGTAACCAAGTCGCCTGGTTTCTTATTAGCACGATTTGACACACCTAATCGCGTCCTTGGGATATTGCGCTTCAGCTAAGAAAGAGATAGTATTAAAAATAGTCTCTTAATAGATACGGGGGCTTTGGTATTTAACATGTTTTTAGAAAGGATAGGTCTTATTAAGGCTCATAAATTGGTCAATGCAGTCCTGAATGTCACATGTATATTCCCGGGTAGTGTTCGAAGTGCGCAGCGAGGTATATCAAACCGGTACTCGGATCCGACGAAGTGTTATTGGGTAGAATCAGAGAGCCAAGTTCGAATCCAACATGCTCTAACACCCATCGGCTGTGACGGGAGTGGGTATGGTAAGCTTGACTGGGACCTACCTAGTTTAACACCGATATCTATCTCAAAATTTGTGGCTATTCGGAGACACCCCTTAGATATAAGCTAGGAGCTTGTTCTCCTCGAAACCTTCATATATGAGGTCTGCCCTATCAATGTAAAGGAAGGGGTGGTGATGGGATAGTTGGTAAGGTTGAAACATTTGATGACGAGTCACGCGTATTTGTTTCGTGAAGTGATCGTCGCCGGCGTTAACAGATTGAATCTTTCGTGACGACAGCCGTCTGATTTCGTCTAGGATAAGACTTGGCTTTCGCAAAGCTACCTATCTTTCAGTCGGAAATTAGCTGAGACGTTAGCGAATTAAACTAGAATCGGTATAAAATTTGATAGAGCTGGAAGAAAGCCAAGCAAAAAGATGCGGCTCGCCAAGAGAACGTTGATACTCTTGGCATTAGGATCTCGTTTCATCTCATCGCCAACCCCAGAGTTCCACTACGGCTCTACACACAATTCGAGACCAAAGCACCTAAGCACAAGGTACTCTTCCATAGTAATAGCTCTAAAACATTCTAAACTTGGTTTGGTCTCGACATGGTACCCATAGGAGAGATGTCGATCGCCTACAGTCGTGTGCCTAATTACCGCTTCCGGGTTTCTAGTTAGTAATGCGTATATACTATTGATCTTCCCCCAAGACCGTCCATCCCTTTTTTCTTGATCTAATGTTCCTTGGCGACCCAACACCCATACCTTCAGGACGAGTTGAAGGGTAGTTGCTCATCGACATTCGCGATCCCCTAGTCGTCGAAGCACGATCTCTCCTCCCATCATCGATCGACTATACTACGGTGTTAGTCCCCGGTGGAACCACGTGTAGTAAAGTATCAATCGAGCCAAGAACACCAAGAGGACGCGAGACCCGGCTTACTTGTCTCGATGACAGTTCCATTCGTTTTTTTCTTTTAGTTTAACTACATATAATGCCTTACAAGTTCCCCAAGGCTATCAGCGCAGTGCGCGTTGCGACCTTCGTCAGCACTGCCGCCTGGATTCAGGGTACTAGCGCCAGCGAGGTCTCGTTACCGGAGGAGGCACTTAATAACTTCCTCCGAAGACACAGGGTTATAAATACTTCGAGGAGACAGGCGCCCGCACCCGAGGAGGAGAAAGAGGAGGAGGAAGAAGGAGACGAAAAAGAGGACGAAGAGGACGAAGAGTCGTCAGATAGCGAATCATCGGCATCTAGCGATTCTAAAGAGGAGGAGGGGGAGGAAGAAGAGGAAGATGATGATACCCCAGCATATCAGACCCCGCTCAAGCCGGCATCGCCCTCGGCGCCGCAGGACAACCAGCAATCGGGACCACCGAGCCCCGGGGAGTCTAAGCGTAGGAGCCAGGGTAGCCATCGGGGTCTGGTCAGCAGTAGGGGTCCTCGCGATATTCGGCGTAGTATTTTTCTTCTGCCGACGGCGGAGGAGAGCTCGGATGGCGCAGGAAGAAATCAACGCATTACGGGACGAGGAACTCGCAAGATCCCATCAAGAACACATGTCCCAAATAAGCATGCCGCTACCACCACCACCACCGCCGCCGCCTCTGCCTCCAGCACCCCCGATGATGGAACCAGCACACCTAAGAAGCGGTAGCGACGCCGGTAATGTCCGCCCTCCGAGCGGAGAATGGATGGCGACGCCGCCGTGGCAAGAAGATCCACCGACGTGGCGAGACTCGCATCCGTGGAGACAGTCGCAGCCCTCGGTCGCCGGGGGCGCTCTCGTAGGGGGTCCTAGGCCGCTCTTCGCACCGCCGGATACGAAGCCGGAGTACGACGGACGCGCTGAGATTACAGGTCAAGCAGAGAACACAACATTCGCGTATCGGTAGGGACGACCTCGAGAGAGGCATGTCCTCTGAAAGTCGCCAGGACTGCGCATATTTCTACCTTCTTGAGCGCTGCTTCTTCTACTTATATTCATCTCGTGGACTGAGTCCATAGTTAGTTCGTTGCGCCAAATAATTCGGTACTAATATCATTTGTTCTCGCATATGATTTATGTGTTTTGGCTTTGGATGCTGCTGATTTGAACGTGAGCTACATATTTACCAACCTGGTATAATATCGTGCAAATTTATAGTAAGACTGACGTTTCTATTGGTAAATTGAAACTTCGTCCTTATGGCCGGCCCAATTACTAGAAATTTATGTTGCTACACTAATCTTACGGGCGAAGGTATTTTTCTATACTAGTATCTATCAATATCATGGGAACATGGTAGGCTATATGATATTCCTTTTTTAGTGCGGTACAAATAGGTTATCACATTACAGTAGTTGTATTGCGAAACCTAGATTTAGAGTCGTAGCTCTACACTGATAGAGCAAAGAGAAGAAGTTAAAACGACAATCGAAATCAGAAACATTGCCAATTATATAACTTCTCGACTATCTGTCTGGCTAGTACGTCGCGCCAAAGGTATCATAGTAGGCTTTTTTTTAAAGACCATTACACCAAATTTAGAACGAACTATGTCGTCTAACGTCATAAGGAGAAGAGAGGCTGTGAGTAGTTTGTTTTACCATAGTAATCTTCCTTACATGATGACTTCATTAGAGACATCCTATTCAGTTTGTTAGCTTGATACCATATAACTGCTTTTAATATTCGAGATAGACTTGTATGACATACCCTCTTCAACTCCTTAAAAGGCAAGCAGACACAGTTTTGTACGCGGACTTCGTCACCAACCCCGCATTCCTTTCCTAGAATGGTGATACTTTGCACCTTCACACCGTTCTTCACAATGCTGGTAGAGTGGCTTGTAACGGGCGTGTGTGCCTTCAACACGAGCCCAGGCACCAACTCGGCTATTCCAGCCAACAATGGAGTACAACACGCAAGCGTCATGCTTAATTTCTGCGTCCTCGAGGACAATTGACTCCTTGACTCTTGCACCAGGTCCAATGATCGCCCGGGGTCCGATGGAGACATTAGGTCCAAGCTTAGCAGTGGGGTCAACGTGCGCGGAGGGGTGGATGAATACGGGTGGTATGACGTTAGGAGAAGGCTTCGCAAGTTCGCTCGACTCGGTTTGGTAGGCCTTCTGTAGGTATAGCGCATTAGCTGGGACGGCGGATCCAGCCGTCTTGATCTGGCGCCAGAAGTCCTTGGTCTCGTAGACGAAGAATTGCTTGCTGTCCGCGAGATCGCTTAGGATGTCTTGTTCTAGACGGATAACTTCATTCTTGCGCTCTTCATCTTCGTCGGCCATGAAGCTTGACTCGAGGTTCTCGGACGAGGGATATGACACTAATCGAGGTCTGTCGGTTCTTCGCTTAATAGCAGTCTTGATGCTCGGGAAGATGGCGTCGACACTGAACAAGTAGACACCACAGTTGATGAGATTTGATATGTGGCTTTCGGGCTTCTCGACGTAATGTAGTACACGACGAGAGTGCTGATCCGATACGATGCAACCAAAGTTGGTCGCAGCATCTTCGCCTACCCGTGTGCCTAGAATGACAGCTTCGGCATCCTTATCGTCGAATAGCTTCTCCATCTCGTTGAGGGGAAAGGAACAGCACACATCCGAGTTGAGAACGAAGATACGCTCGGGTCGACCCTTAAGGATAGCATCTCGGAAATGGTATAAGCCACCTGCTGTACCTAGCGCTTGGTATTCTCGTAGGTATTTGATAGGGAGATTAGGGAATTCCGAAGCAGCTTCCTTGATGAAGTCTTTGAATACGGATTCGTCATAGTAGCCAATCATAACAACCTCCTGAATGGAGGGCACTTTCGCAATGGCGGTCAAGCAGTGCCAGATGATGGGGTGGCCAGCAACGTCGAACAAAGGCTATTATTATCGTCTGTTAGTAAGGCGAAGGTAATGTATTTTTTATAGGAATGGTTAATGTGCAAACCTTGGGGACATCGAGCGACAGAGGGCGAAACCGGGTTCCTCTCGAAGGACCGCCAACCTGTAGTAAACAGTTGTAATTAGTGCAAGTTATGGTATAAGAGGTGGGAGGTGGGGTGTATATACTAAGATGACAGCTTTGGTACCCTTACTGGGACCATTAGCTTTTTCTCGAATCGGAACCTGAAGCATGATGACCGATAATTGTGTATGTAAATAATAAATAAAGTGCAGCTCAGATTCAGGTACAAGTTTTGAAGGCTTGAAATGCAACGACACAAGTTCGCCCAAGATGTTTTTATTTGGCGGGGCAGGAAAGTTTAAGTTAGTTGTTGTTAATTATTATTAGTTGTCGTCTAGCAAGTCTAGCCCCCTGACCTGGACCTGAATTGACCTGAAATTCTTAGGTTCATGCAGCTAACAAGGATTCAATTGATTCATGTGGCTTTTACTGACATGCGTGCGACATGTGGAGGCACTAATTGGCTTTGGGGACCTTTAAGGGATTTTTGGGGACCAGGTCGGAGGGATTAACTTTACAACCGGTTACCGGGCAGGTACCTATATACCTAGGTACCTTGTACATATATCTCATAATGGATCTAACATCACTGCTGACAGAAAGGAGATTTGGGCTTAAAAATTATCTTGACCTCGGACATGAATGAGTAGAAGTCTTTGCCATAGTTTTCTTCATGTATCTATCTCTTCCAGGTGCTCAACCTCAGAACAACTGAAACTCAATACCGTGGTGTAAAAACGGTTGATCATGTTGACTCGGGTATGGCGATATACCAACCTCAAAATCAGCTAATGCTCCTATGATTTGGTATTGATACATGGGCGACCCCAGGCACTTTTATACCTACGAGGTCTATGATCTAAAAATAAATCTGGCTCATTTATCTTCCGCGCTCTCATCCTTTGCTAGGTCGTGCTCCTTTAAGAGTGCGGTAATCTCGTCCGCACTCCAAAGTCGGTGGTAGATCTTACCGTCCTTGGTCTGTCCCACCGTTGCGAACTCGACTAGAAAGTCATGTTAGTATTGTCGAATATGATTTAATACCTACGGAGAACTCACTCTTTTCACTGCTTAGCTTGGTTGAGTCCATAGTCTTGCTTAGCACCTTGACTGCCATACCGCATGCCTCCTTCAATGTGCAATCCTCCTTATAGTCTTGCTTCAACAAGCTCGAGGCGCTTGCATTATTGGCACCAGCACTTGTAGCCTTCCAGCCGCCGTAGTTGCCTGATGGGTTGCTCAGGTAAAGTTGGAATTGTCGCTGAGGGTCCCACCCCGCGTAGATGAATGATACGCCAAACGGTCGTAATCCACCGTGTTGAGTATATCCTTGCTTAAGATCGCATAGTCTTCGAACTAGTTGTTCGCATGGATATCTTCGTTGTAGGTTAGGAGATACCGTTGAGCGGCTTGTCGGGCATAGTTGATGAGGATGTTTGCATCAGCTGTCATGCCCGCAACAGCACAAATCATGTTGCTGTAACCCGTTAGCTTTCACAGGTCAACCTAGATATATAGCTTTGATGTCACTACACACTCGTTCAAAATGTAGAGCTTCTCTGCTGAGGTATCTTGCTCTAATAGCTTCGACGTAACCTTGCGCTCTGCGGCTAAGACGATGCCATCTTTGGCGAGAATTCCGATCGCAGTTCCGGCGTGGGATATAGCTTCGAGCGCATATTCGACCTGATACAAGCGACCCTCAGGTGAGAAGATAGTGGTCTGATCGAAATGTGAGCCTCTGCGCATAGAATGTTATTAGGGATAGGTAGGGTAGCTCTTGAGCTTACTCGGGAATCGTAGCGGCGAGACATGGTGGGGGAATCTGGCCTTGAAAATCAAGAATAGAAATTTATTCCTAGTCTTGAAAATAATGTAAGTTGACGAAGGCCAGTTCGTTGTTGGTAGAAGTCGGATTAGTGGTGTTTGTATTAAGTATCAAAGCTCCGACGTTGGATGCTACTATGAATTGAATTCTGGAAAAGGCTGGGGCTATTGAACTAAGGCTAACAGCTAGGCAAGAGCTCCGACGCGTACAATGGGAATACCTAACTTGAATGGACTTGGAAGGTGCACTGACCCGTAAGGCTTAAGTATCTAGGTACCTAATCTACGTGCGTGCGGCTACCTGACGCCTCGGATTGTTGCTGAAGCTGTTGTGGCTGGTGCTTTAGTGGCTATTAGTACTTTGTATCTAGGTACTTTACGTATTGAAATACTGCTATCCCACTACCCCACATACATAACAGAATAAGCACTGCATTTCATCCAATTTGCGATTCATAAAGTAAAAATAATTTAGTTTTAGGAAGACAGGTAATATTATTACTAATATTATCATAAGTAAATTAATTATTGGACTTATAAGTTTGAGAAATCACTTACCTAAGAGGTAACTACCTAGGTAGACGTGCTTGCCCACCAACTTGATAGAAGTTTTTTGGATTGGAAGTTGTATATTAGGTACCTCCTATGAATGTACCTAAAGTACGTATAGGAGATGTGCGGGGAAACTGCTGCTTATCAATTAAGTACCTAAGCCACAAAACTACATGCTACCTAAAACTTACATAATGTACCTCTAAACTAGCCTCTATGCTTCCATCACTTCTAGATCTGAGGTCCGTGCACAATTGCCGTTGTCTTTTCATGGGATGTTTTTCCCCATTGAACATCAAAACCTCCACTCGTGACAAACTTCCCCATCGTAATAACTACCGCATCAGCATTCGGAGGACCACGTCACGACACGATTTAGCACCTCCCAACACGGCGCGTACCCGGCGGTGTCGGTTTCTGTATACGCCGGTCAACAATAAGTAGGTGCTGTCGCGTCACCAGCAGTTTGATTCTTTGCGACAACATCATTGGGCTGTATCTTACCTAGATTCTCCCTTTTCTTTTTTTTTATTCACTACTTTGGTCCAGCAAATACACTTCACCGGGACCTAAAAGGAAAGGGCTAGGTCTCTTTAAGTGTTAGAAGAGCTTTGAAGGTCATATTTTTGGTCACTTTGCCTTCTCTTTCCGGCCAGATCATAGATCAACCCAGCTCCGTAGAAGCCATGATTGTCTGAAGAGTTTCTGCTGCCAATTTCTAAAGTCGCAACGTAGACTCAGACTCTATCGCAACACCAAACAACTAAATACCTATGCTGCAACTTTGACCTGCATTCTCCTGATTTGAGCTTCACCGATTCTCAATATGTCCGGTAAGCGTACTACCCGCCATAGTTCTGCGACAAGCAGCTCGGCGCAAGTCTTAGTTGACACACGTCAAATTACTCGTCATGATATACATTCTGTTATTACAAGACTAGTTAGCGAGCTAAACCAGTTACTAACGCGTATGCACGTCTATAGGCGAACCAGAGCCTCGTCGATCCGTGCGAGCCACAAAAGGTCAACACACAAAAGCATTCGATCAACTCGAGAACGGACCGGAACCTGTGAAGCGACGCCAGACCAAAAAGAATAGCAAAAAGACAACCGAGAAGGACGAGAAACAGGATGACGATGAAGAAATCATACGTTGCATCTGCGGTGCTACTACGCAGGACGACGATGATACGAACGAACCGTGGATTGCATGCGACAAGTGTGGTGCTTGGCAACACAATGTGTGTATGGGCATGAGTGTTTTTACGGAAGATTTAACTAGAGATTATTTCTGCGAACAATGCGCGCCCGAAGATCACAAGGTTACCCTGGAGGCTATGAAGAAAGGGGAGAGGCCATGGGAGGAGCGTAGGCATAAGTATGAAGAAGAGAAGAAGCGCAAGAAAGGGGGTAGGAAAAGTAAGGGAAAGCGCGTAAGTGATCCTAAGGACCGTTCATCGCCGAGTACATCTACTACGAAGGCAAAGGCATCTCCTACCCCTGATGCGAAAAAGGAAGAAAGTACACCCGAGTCGGCTTCTAAGGGTAAGCGCAAAGCTCGGGATCAGTCACAAGGGCCACATAGCAAGCTTCGCAAGGTTTCAGATGTGCAAGCAGTTCCGTCAGGCCCGGCATATACTCCTCCGGATGACTTGCCCGAGAATATTCAGAAGCTTGAAGGCCCTCGAAGACAAGCAGCACTAGGCTTACAGAAATCCCTCGATGCGGCTATCGACCTTACCGAGAAGAAAAAGCTATATGCTATCCCTCAAGGCTCATCCAAAAAGGATATCACTGAACGATTAGCTATCGAGATCGAACGAGCCTTCCAAGACACTCACCCGAACACCTCTCATAACGCATCCCAACTTCGCGCACTGTTCTTCAGTCTGAAGAATATATAGAACTTGCTAGCCAGGTTCTGAATAGGACATTGCCCACCTACATCCTTTGTAGTGATGACTGGCGATCAGCTTGCCACTAAAGAGCAGCAGCGTGAGACAGCCGAGATGAAAGCGCGGGCGGAGAAGCAATCCATTCTAATCACTGAAGATGGCCCACGGGTACGACGAACTCACAAAGGAGAGGAAGTTGTTGAAGGGGATCACCTTACAGTGGAATTAGATGAAGCCCCGTCTAATCTTCGCCGAAAGGGTGTTAGAGAAGCGAGTGAGGCCGCTAATGCGAGCAATGACGCGACCACGTCATCGGCAGATGGAGTAGCGTCTCCTATGAATGCTGGTAGCCGTTCTAGCTCGTCCGCGGTGCCTCTCCGGGTCGATACTCAAGTCCACCAGCACTCGCCTAGAAAATCCGACTTCGATATTGGTAAAGTCTTCTCAAGCGTGCGATCCCCTTCAGTATCTCATCAAAGACGAGCCTCTACACAAGTTCAGTCGGCCGGTCCCGGTGACGATCCCGAAGTCGACCGACTACTCCAGGAGGATGGTAATGAATCTCCGCCATACTCACCGACGGAGCACATTGATCCTGATATTGTGTGGCGTGGTCCCCTTGTTATGACCAATGTGGCCGAGGTTGATACCGTAGCGAGGTATGCTGGTGGAGCCGATCTTAGCAAGGTTAGGAACATTGCATGGAAAGATCTGATACCGCCTCTTCTCACAGTCGCTGGACGTATCGCGGAAGAGAAAGCTATACCGTATCTTTGCGGGTTGAGGTATAACAATCAGGTAGACTTAGTCATTACTAGTTTGTCTCCAAGCCACCCCGCGGACCCCGCGGCGCAAAAGCAATTCTTAGCCGTCATCGAATATTTTCAATCTAAGAAACGATATGGCGTTGTCGGTGAGAAGAAGCTAGGCAATGTGAGAGATACCTACTTAGTGCCTGTGGCAGAGGGCGATGGTCCGATCCCAGAACCACTGCAGAATATTGGAGATCACCTCATTCCTCTGAAGCGTTCTGAGCCTATGCTTCTAATGATCTTTGTCTATCGGGATGAGAGACAGACACAGATCCGATAGATCAACAGCGATCTGAGTTGCAGAAAACTATATCGGGAACACCAACCCAAGGTACACCAATGCCGAGGCCATCACTCTCTGGCCCATCATGGTCACCTGCAACACCTCAAGGGTCCTTCGTCACCGCGCCCTTTTCTCAGCCACAATATAGTCAAACGCCGATTCCGCCTCCCAAGATTCCAGGCCACCCGACACCAGTAGTGCCGCCACGTCAGGCACCGTCAGCAATCGCACCGCAAGTTGCACAAGACCCTATGGTCCCGGCTTTACGAGCTGCGCAGGCTGAAGGCGAGATGAAGGCTCGTCAAGTCCTTGGTCCTCTATTTTCCAGTTCTACAGTTGCTTTCCTACTTCCTCATGCCGCTCGTATGAAAGAGGGCGAGTGGACTGCTGTTCGTAGAGCTCTAGAGCGTGACCCGCGAGCTCGTGACGATTTACAACTTCTGAGCAAGCTTTTGACTGAAGAGGGCAACAATCACCGTAAGAATGGTCCGCAGCCCAACCCAGCTCCATCTAGTGTCGCCCAGACTACGCTTGCCGCAACGATTGAAGGCTCTGCGCCAGCGGTGCAGCCTAATACATGATTCTTCTCATTCACCGATCAAAACGACAGTTCTATTCGAATATATACGTATTCCAATATCAGTGGCCAGAATTGGGTCATTGTGGTCAATGAGTCCTCGGTATGGACTATGAGCTCTTGTGACGGTTTGATTCTTGAAAACGTGCCCGCCCAATGCTGGGTTCGCATAGCACGCTATCACGATTGGCCTAGAGGGGAGGCTATGGCACCCTCAGCAAACAATTCCAATCATAATAGACACCAATTTCCAACTTTTACTTGCTTCACTTGCTCTGTTCCGCTCTGTTCCGTTCTGTTCCAAGTTTTATGCCGGTCTGCATTGAGATCCTGCCCCAATGTCTTGACATGATAACGTTTAAGACCCGTAAAGGTTATGCTCTCAAGGTAACCTGCACAGACTCAATGATATCGGATCCATAAACCTTGGACAGCCCTCACCATTTTGCACATTTCGACTGGAAGTCGGGTTGAATTGTGACTCACCGATCCGCCCTAGGGTCGGTTGTAATTATCAGACACCATCCGTTGGCCGTTGCTAGCCATTCCAATCAATTTACAGAGCCTCAGTGATTATAATCAACGCAGATACGTGTCAGCATAATCATCATCACATGAAGAAGATTTTGATCCGATAAAACAAAAACACGTTTAAGCTCTAAAGCTTAGTCCCTTAGCAATCACTAAGGTCAGTTTCAAAACTAACTATCATGTATTGTCTTCTATGAGGATAGGAGCTAACGTTTTGGCAGATAACTTCAGCATCTGTGCGGCGTTCCGAACGCAATTTTCTGCTCCAGTTCAGTATCGAGTTTTGTACTCGGCGAGCATTTCTGTTGGTTAAGGGAGTTGGAGGAAAAGGAAAAATGTTGCTATAGCTTGACGTCTCTTCGCATAACTGGCCCAATCCTGTAGCATTTCAGGTTTATTTGACTGAAAAAGAAAAGCAAAAAAGCAAAAAAAAAAAAGTTTTACATGTACAGTTTCCTTTTGAAAATTTATGATCAGGCCCGATAATAGTTGAATCAAGTTTCGTAGCCATCAACGCCTAGGGCAAATGTTACATGGTCATTCATTGAACTTGGTATGAACTCTTCTTAGGTCTAATAGGTTGGCAAGTGAAATGTATGCTAGGTACAAGTAACTGCGGCTATTGTATTAGCTCAATGTAGCTCTTCAAAAGGCCCGTGGGGTTCTCTATATACCATGCATGACCCGACGTGAAACGTAACCTCTAGATGACTCCATCGGGCAGCATATTCGTCTTAGGAGCGAACTTCCCCGTATTACCCCAGGCCAGCACTTCGTCATCCGTCAACCCCTTACGTGCCTCAGCTATATCCCCATCTCGCGTATGAGGTATGTATTCATGGATGCATGTATGTAAGTATGTATGTACGTGTCTCCTTCCATTATTGGAAGGGTATCTGGCAGATCCGGCTGTTATCGTCCGCATAGTTAGACCAGACCAGGCTCTCGCTTGTGCTGGTGTCAGTGATGTTGACGCTCCACCACCAAGTCTCGATGATGGGCGAGTTCAGGGGTCCTGCGATTTCGAAGATGACGGCTTGGATGGCCGCAGGGCCAAGCTTGTAGTCTGCGGGAACGACGAACCCGGCGATGGACGTGTTACCACTGACGGAACCGTCTCCTACTGCTTCTATTGAGGCATTTAGCGGAGGTACTTGGGTAAGTATATGACCTGGCTACGTAGGCAGGCAGGCAGATAGGCAGGTAGGTAGGTAGGTATGTTTCTTCTAGGCTGCAGCTGTGCTGTGCTTTTCCTTGCTTCTCCCCCTTGCTACGGAGTTGGCTGGGGAAATATCCTTGCTCGTTCGCTCGCTCGCTCGCTTGTGTTTTTGCCAGCTCACTCCCCGTAGCTACCCCGTACCTGGAGTTAGGCCGAGAGAGAGATATTTACTTACTCTGGAGATCTACAATCCCGTTGGTCAGTAGGACAGGCCCCAGGCTTCCCGGGCGCGGCGCTACCGACCACTCCTCGTCGTAGCGCTCGATACCCCAGAGCATAGTGTACTGTAGCGGGATGCCTGCCAGCTGCTCGATGGTGGCATTGAACGGATCGCCCGGTTTAATAGCGTCCGGGATACCGATGCGGTAGAGCCGCGCCTCGGCTATTCCAGCGGCGGCCAGCGTAGCCGCTATAGCGCGAAAGAACAACCGCATCTTGTCTTCTTGGTAGCGATGGTGGTGGTACACTCGACACTCGACTATTTAGCGATTTTGCCACCTCCGCCTTGTCTAATGCTGACGACGATCACTGGGTCTAGTGTAGCTGCCCGACCGCATTTAGCGCGGACGTGGGTTTCATCTTGATATTTATGGCCTTGTGGTACCTGGGGGCCTGGGGGAACTACTCAGGCTCGGAGAGGAGGCTGGGAGGGTCTAGATAGTGTATGAGGTATGTAGATAGGGGAGATTTCGGGTGCGACTGTATACGATCTACGTATCATACGAACTACCTAACATATGGGGATGACCTCGCGGTCTAGAAGCCTAGCCTACCTTGGATCTACAAATTTCGCCATAAAGATCGGCTCGTGGAGGCGGCTTATATGTAGTATCTGAGTGTGTGGTTTTGATTAAGGGATTTCGCCGTAGTCCCTGAAGTTGCCACCTATTCTACCACTGCTATTCAGGCTCGAGGAAGTCGGATTTCTCCTATTGGTGAGAAAGTAATTACGGTGCGATCCGAAGTTAGGGAACCCCCGGCACTTGATACGCTACTTTGGCATCGAGTTTTTCCGATCTTGGTTATTGATGTAAAGTGACATAGTTTAGCAAATATTTCTGAGTTATTTGACAATGCCTAACAGGTTAATGATTATTACATGGTTACATACAGATCTGGCTACCCAAACTTCGCACATTGGGCTACTAATGAGAAAAAGAAAAGAAAAGAAAAAAAAAAACTTGTTAAAACCCAGCCTGCTGGCAAGCTGGCAAGGTGATGAAAACGCTAACACGGCTACTACCGCATTTGGTTGTTGATGGGAATTATGATTGGTTCAATTCAGGAGTATCTGGGTACTTAAAGATACCTATATGTACCGCAACAGTGGACGCCTAAGAGGCCCAGTCGTGTTAGGTACTTCTAGAACCGTGGAAAGACTTTTGTTTACCGAGGCACCAATAAAATGAAATATCACAACTTCGTTTGTTTTCCATTGCCACAATAGAAGATAATTTTTTTGACAATTTGATAAAATATTGAATTGAATTAACTAATAGAATCCACGAATTATGATTGCTGAGTTTCTAATTGCAACCCTTCCATTGTCCCCCAATTCGAGCTCGTGCTCATTGTCTAGACCGGATACATGATGACCTGATAACAACAAGACATGACTGACGTCCGACAACCTTACACTAGCAGTACACGTCGTGAGGGCGAAATTAACATGATATGAGGTCCTCCCATTTGTTTCCTTTTTTTCCCGGTAACCCCATCTCATGTTCCATTTTCGCTTTCCCCTCCCGATCCCTCCCCCCCCGTGGTGATGATAATATTGTAGAATAACAAGTAATAACAAGTAGAAAAACAATGTAAATAATGAAAATGGTGGTGAACAAAGGAAAGAGAAGTAAATGATATGATGGCGGTGTAGTTTGTAGAATATGACTACAATCCGCTTGACAGTTTGAACAATCTATGGTTTGTTCAATTCCCCCTCGTACATGATGATGGTGATGATGACAGCAGCGTTCGAAATAATACAACAGCTGACAACAAAATATTCCCCCGCTCGTCCGTGCTTTTTGTGTATCCCGTAGTTAATAACCCATACCCTGTAGATCCGCGACAGCGACGGAATCGTTTCTGCTCGTAAGCAAGTAAGCGTCAGTCTTGGTCGAAGATCTCTCAATTCTCTCATAATCCCTCCGCTCTATCGTTTTCCCGTTGGACTCATATTGTCGTAGTATTATTCATAATGGTATTGGTGTTGTTGTTGTTGATGATGATGATGATTGATCTTTTTCTCTATCCCGGACCTCGATTAATATTTAAGTGGACTTCCCACTCTCACTCTCTCTTGGCGTGACCAGCAGCCTGTAAATTTATAGTGGCGACTTGTCTCTCTTCTTGAGTGTGTCGCGCGACATGACGAGTATGTTGCCGTCCTTGTCCGAGGGGTTGCGGACGAAGATTAGGCTGTTTGATGGTGAGCGGCTCTGACGCTTGTTGTTGCGTGACTTGGATCGGTCCTTGGATCGGTCTTTGTCGTGTAGCTTGTCTTGTAGCTTGCTCACGAGTGATTGTAGATCGATAATTTGGGCTGTAGATGATGCCTGTGTCGCAGTGGCTGTAGAGAGTTGGATGTTCGCCGTGTCAAGCCGTATAGTTAATGAATGCACTTCTCGACTAGGCCGGGTACCTTGTCTGCTTCGGCCTGAAGATCCTTGATCTTGCCTTCGAGGTCCGTCTTCTCCTGGGTTAGAGCTGTGACCCTATCAGATTCGGCCTGGAGGTCTTTAGATTTCGCCTCCAACTTGGCCTCGAGATCGGTTTTCTCTTGAGTTAGCGTGGGAATCTTGCTGGCTTCGGTCTGAAGGTCGTTCGTCTTGACCTCCAGGCTCGACTTCTCCTGCGCGAGCACGGAGACCTTGCCTTCAAGTTCCTTCACGCTCCCTTCAAGAGTGGCCTTCTCCTCGTGAAGCTTGGTAAGGCCTGAACCCTCTTCTAGGTTCTTAGCGACAGCGGCGATCTTGTCCTTCTCCTCTTGCAGTACCTTGGCAGCTTCTTGGTGCTTTTCGACATCAGCTTCGAGTCCCTTGGATCGCTCTTCAAGACCCTTCGAGCGTTCCTCGCAACCTGCGTGTTCCCGACGGAGCTTCTCGAGGTCGTCATATACCTTTCCGAGATCCGCGGTACGGATGATCAGCTGTTCTTTCTCCGACTCGAGAGTCTTGTTATGCTCCCGTACTAAGCTGAGGTCGTTCTCGACGTTGACTAAGTTAGCCCGAACATTCACCAGTTCTGCGTCAAGCCGTAGTCGCTCTGATGCAAGGGAGATGTTAGCTTCCTTGGATCCGGCAACCTCGGTGACTAGACCGTCAATTCTTGACTGCTTGTCGTCAATTATCGTCTTGAAGTCCAAAGCTTGCTTGTCGAGTTCCTGCTTAGAGAATTCCAGTTGCTTTCCTAGATCATCCCTAGTAGCTTCTAGTTGTTTCTCAAAGTCGCCCTTGGTCGTCTCAAGCTGCTTCTCGATACCATCTTTGGTCGCTGCGAGTTGCTTCTCAAGGTCGTCTCGGGCCGTCTTAGTGGCATCGAGCTGGTTCTGAAGTTCTCCCTTCTCGGACAACGCAGTCTCAAGTTGCTTCACAACATCTTCCCTGCTGGCCTTCACCGAATCGATGTCCTTCTCGAGAGACTGCTTGTCAGACTCGAGCGATGCGACATGTACCCTAAGAGACTCAATATCTTGCTCAAAGCATCTGACCTTCTCTTCAAGGGCAGCCCTCTCGTCTCGAAGGTCCTCAACTCGGTTGTACAGCTTCTGGTTATCCTTGTCGAGTGCTGCATTCTCCTCTCTGACGGGTCCGCTGTTGGCCTCCAGAGATTTAATCTTGGATAAGAATCTAGAGGCATCCGCCCGAGCCTGGTCTCTCTCTGACGTTAACTCCTTGACTTCGCAGTCTAGTTCCCTGAGTTCGTTATTCAAATCTTTGACTTCCTTGTTCAAATCTTTGACCTCGGTGCTCAGATCTTTAATATCCTTATTGCGAGCGCCCATTTGTCTTTCGAAGCTTGCTGTCGTGTGCTCCAGGGTTTCGATATCATGTCTGAGTGCGTCTTCCTGTTCTCTTTGGGCGGCATCTCGCATTGCCAGTTCCCGCTCGAGCTCGACGACCTGCTGCTCAAACCTGTCGCGTATGTGCTTGAGACTGTCTCGTTCCCTCTCTGCCTCTATTAACATGCCTTGCTGTAGTTGATAGTTACTGCGGAATTCGTCAGAAATCTGCCGTTGCTCCTCGAGGTCTCTTAAGATAAGTTCCTTTGAGTTGCGCTCGATGTTCAGGACGCGCACGATTTCCTTGTTCTCTTGTCCCCTAGTAGATAGTTGTACAGAAATGTCATCCAGGTCCCTGCTTAGTCTACTCCGTTCTTGTCGGAGGGTATCAGTTTCTGACTCTAGTTGCTCAACCTTGTACACGAGGTCGTTTTCTGGTTTCCGAGCGAGCTGAAGTTCCTGAGACTGTGAGGGGGCCTGCTGCGGCTTTGGTGGGACGAATTGAATGTGCACCGTCCTCTTCTTCTCTGGGACGGGAGGTTTAGATACCTCCGAAGGCGCCCTAGATCGCGTCCGCGTCCTGGCTCTGCTGGTAACTGTTGATGGTACATGACGTACATGTTTGACTTGGGTCGAGGGCTTTGAGGGCTTAGGGGGAACACTAGAATCTGATATGACGCTAGTAGCTTGTGTGTTGACTGAGAGCTCTGACGATGCCGATTGGGAGTCAGTCTCATAAGATGTATATCTGTCACTGTCCGAGTGGTATGTTGGTGATGGGGGTCCCGAAGGCGTGTACATTTGTTGTTCTGGCTCTCGCCTCGAGACTCTGTAAAAGCGTGCGGCAAGGGGATCTTGCGGCCGCGCGGGTGGTGTTGGGTTCTTTAGGATACCTCTTAGAGGGCCTGTTTGTGATGTTGTTGTTGTTGTGACTGCCCGGCTATGGGTTGTCTCTGCTTCGGATGCGGCCGGCCGTGATCTTGACCGGGGCCGTTCGGCGATTGCTGGGGCTGGGGTTGGGAATCCGCCGGGCATGGCGAATGCCCGCTCCACGGGTCGGCTTGTTCGCACGTCCATCTTAAAGCTTCTTCCTCTTCTTCTTATTCTTCTTATTTCTCTTATCCTTTCAGTATGTCGTATTCTGGGTGGAATTGGTAAGTTATAGTTGTTATCAAGTGTGCCCAGGTTAGTTCGGCTAGTGTAATCTCTTGAATTGGAGTTGAAGTGGTGAGGTGCTGGCTCATTTCGGTGGGCTTGTTCAGGTTTTTGTTGTCTGGGAATTACAAGACAAGACAAGGTGAGGCAAACGGATGAAGACGTAGCACGGGAGGGTTTTTGTCAAGTTTCCTAAGTTAAGGATCAGGAGACCCAAAGGGAAGGCTGACGGGTACTTGAATAATAAACTGGATTTTCTACGGTGGGTGTACGGGACGAATGGGACTACATACATACATACATACATACATACCTACCTATCTACATACCTACATACAATAACCTGAATGGGTGTGAGGATGACCAAAGACTAGTTGCAGTTGGCATGTCTGCACAACCGCGTGCTTTGCAGGGATATCCTCCCCGGGTCTATCTGCAAGGGAATTTGCTGTACCTACCTGACTCACCGCGAGGCGCCCAATGGGTATACGGAACGTTGCCCAACGGGGGGCCAACGGGGTCCCGTAGCAGTGCCCGTAGTAAAAAGTAGAGAATGTATAGAAAGTAGACACCGTAGCCTAAGGGCGTACACAGTAGAATACAAAGTTGTACCTGGTGAAGCTGATGAAGGGTCCGGAGGGGGGGGAGAGGAAGAGGAAGAGGTTGGAATCGTTGGATCAGATGCTCAAATGCCCAATGTCTCCCATATCAGGTTGGGCACTCATGCATTCGTGTAAGATGATTGGTTTAAAAACCAGGTGACCCTCTGAATACTACCCCACCCCCCTTTATTTGGCCATCATTTGCCACCTTTTGCCAAGTCACAAGAATTCATAAAATTACTGACCACTCCCCATCTCTATCACCCTAGGTGCAAGACAAATCGTACGCAATTCTTCGTTGGCCTAATGACGTCTTTAGGTTTCTTCTGCCCTACAGTTTTTTTTTTTTTTTTCTTTTCCACTATAAACTATTGACGCGAGTATTGACGCGAGGCTGGCCGACGGCTATGCATTAAGCGAAAACCAGTCTAATGTTCCTTCACACAATTAAGATAATTACGGAACAATGCAGAGAGCATTGGCATAAATGGAAGATATATGGGAATTATATCGGATTGGACAACTACTACTGCATCTTCATCCTCCAACCAGCTGTCGACGGAGTCAGTTGAGCCACATAGACCCGTCTCGAGTTTTATTTTCGGTCGGCCACGCCCCATCTGGCCCTTACTGAGTCGTCAATTGTGTTGTCAAAGTACCTAATGTACGCGTCTAGATTTGGTCTCGCCAGTGGACAATGGACGGATCGACCGCCTATCGCCCCTGATAGTCCGATTAGGATCTCTATTTAGGTAAGACTGGTGAGGTTAGTTTATAGATTCGTACGGTGGGCGTCTTTTAACGTAGCGACTAAAGATACTAATCTAGGCGGCTACATAAGCGACTAGGCGACTAACGACGCCGGTAGATGCCTATTGTTGGTGTGGCCTGTGTGGCCTGTGTTGGTTTATGTGGTTTAATGTGGTTTAATGTGGTCTGTGTGGTGAGTTGCGTACCATCTCTAAACCTAGTCCCCTTTCTATTAGTCCCCATCTTCAACAAGTCGTTGTAGTTGTGGTTGTAGTTGTAGTTGTAGTGTATATACTGGGGAAATGTATACAGGGGTCACTTTCGTAAAATCTGCACGGTGCTTCATTTGATAGGTATTCCCGTAATAATTACGAAGCGATAAAAATATACTTCTAATTGGATCCTTGAGGATTCTCTCGATCGGGAGCGACGGTTATACAAGTAACACAATCGTGTCTCGCAAATGCGTAAATACGTAGTTGTGCATCAAAAGGTCTTATTATTCTCTAACTCCGATTATATTGCAAAGCAGGTCTCGAACCTCGAATGTCTCTTAAGTGTACGAGAATACGATAGACCGATAGACCGATAGACAACCACATCGAAGATCTAAGGGTCCGATCATCGTGTACCATTTATCGCGTATTCTGTACCGAGCATAATTTCTTGAGATCCGGTCACTTGGGTACATTACTCGCGTTCATTATTTTGATTTTCTTAATGGTCTTCTTAATGATTTTCTCATAAACATTGTTCCCGATAGGTTGTGGCGCCGGCACACTGCATAAAACAGTGCGTGCGTAAGTGGAGTTTTGTAAATCATACAGTTCATACCAGACTTATTGAATCGTTGTTATGCCGTAGAAAGGAGGGGGAGGGATCCTCTCTTCTACTTCTCTACTCCTCTACTCCTCCACCTACGCACTGTGCGGTATAGATTGCGGTATAAGTTAGATTGCGGTAATATGTTGCGGTATAGGTTTGGCTTATTGAACTCCTAATAGTCCTAGTTAGTATTTCTTACTATTCCCAGTATATTCCTAGTATATTCCTAGTATATACACATCAGCTTGCATCGCAGTAGTACCTACATAATATGTACCTACTAACCATCTCTATGCCAACCTAAACCAATACAATTTGATTTTCAAGGACTTCGATCGTCGATAGTATGTATCCGTTCCTGCACGTGATCCATTCTCATGTAATGAACGTATGTCGTATGTTCCATATCTGTCGTATATCGTATGTATACTTATAGGTAACTATACTGTAAAGTAAGTACCCCTTTTCCCCAAGGACAAAGGACGCGTTGTATCACCTTGGGCTCCAAGGGAGGCTGGGGGCTGGGGAAAGAGGACAATAGAATTTAATGCTGATATCCTTGACTGTCTGCCTGTCTGTCTCTCTGCCTCTGCATGTCTGCATGTCTGCATGTTAATGAAGCGAGCGCCTAGAATCGAATGGCTGAAAATACGTCATTAATAGTTCAAGGCTTGAAAATCAAGCATTTACTTTTGGAAACCCGAACGCCTGTCAAACAACGGAACGTTAGCGTGATCAAGGCAAATCGAGCTTTCGGTATCCATTACCTTGCTAGGCATTACCTTGCTAGGATTATTTCATATCCACAGGTCCATCCACAGGGTCTCCATCTCATCCCATAGCGCATACCGCATACCGCAATAGCGCCCGTGCCCCGATGAAAAACGCGGGGAATAAAACCATTTCCAACCACAGTACGGCGCTGTCCGCGGCGGCATCATCCTTCCCAATCATAGACGCGTAGTGACATTACAAGCCGGATTTATTGGCTATCCATAGGTCTCGTGAGCCGTCGAACCGCGGAACTACAAAACAGCATCTAATTCCACTCCTGCGCCAAGAGACAATAAAACTTCCCACTTCTCCTCTCCTTTTAATGGCACCCCCTGCGCCGACCCAAAAGCAAGCCAGACCGGAGCCGAAGAAGAGGGTTTTAGGGTAGAGCCCTCGACATACGAAGGTAAGGCACCTCGCCTTTGAAGAAGACCTCTCCTTCACCGCTCATGCCGAAGCGTGATAAAAACCCAGGGCGCTCTGTCGAGCGTCGCACCAGATACTCGTGGCACCTTTTCTAGCGGCCGCCTCGATGGTGTAGCTCAACAAGGCGGACCCCACGCCTTTGCCCTGCCACAGCTGCGCGGTGGCGAATTTGCGAAATCGTGCCGCGCCACTACCATCATCGAACAGCGATATGATGCTCACTAATAGTTCTTCGGGATTTTGTTTACTACTGTCGCGGCTGTTGCTACTGTTACAACTGTTGCAGCTGTCTTCGCCATTATTGTTGGCGTCGCTATCATTGTTATTGGAGATGAATGCTCCGAAATGCTGACCGAAGATGTCGTCGGGTAGCTGCACGTAAGACAACGGCTTGTTGGGCCAAAGCACTGCCTGTCGTAGGGCGTAAGTGTCTTTCGCTGAGATAGGTCTTATAGATATGAGTGGTTGCTGCTGTGTGATGGTAGTAGGAATTATGTGACGAGTCTCCATGTTGGGTCGATATATGGTTCCAAGGATCTCAAAACCAAAAGAATGTTTTTTTGTTTTTCTTTGCGAGAATTATTATTTTACTCGTTCGTTGTGAGTCGATGGATGATGAGTCAGACGAGCCTTAATTTAGCGGAGATTCTCATCTACTAAACACAGGTGCACACTATATTACACACTACACTCACTGATAGCCCGTAGCATCGTGAGATAGGATAGGTTAGAAGATAAGAGGTAGAATATAGGCTTAGTCGAGGCTCTGCTAACACCTGCCAATTCATATTCAGACATCTGGCCCCACACATCATCTTCGCTGACAGCTGCTGACAATATGCTATAGCCCATATATAGCTTATTCGCTTACTCGCTTCTTAGTATTCATTGTACTAATAGGGGGTAGGTATAAATCATAAAACCATAAACCATAAACTATAAACCACATAAAATTCAATACATATACTATTGCACCCTGTGGCTGTGAGTCACGACTCACGAGCCCCCTTTGAGAAAAAAAATACGAACTTATGATATGAATTTTGGAACTATATCCCCATAAATTATGTAGGCCGCGTAGACCGTGAATTGCTAACTAGACTGCCTCTAATCGTGGTTCACTTATATAATATTGAGGCTCAACGCATATTATACGTTGAAAGAAACCAACAAAGTGGAAAGATAGGTAGATAATCTAGCCACCGCAGACTACCGCAGACTACCGCAGGCCACCGCACAAGTGTGGCTCGTGCCCCTGTGACAGTTAAGAAGGGTAGCATCTCGTAGTGCAGTTGGAACCATAGTTGAACTCGAATCTTGGAATCTTGGAACTTGGAAAAGATGAATTGGCAGATTTCCGATTCATAGCTCAACTCGGGTATACAGACACTCCGTTCCGAATTCGTTCTAGAACATGTCTTAGAACGGTCGTGCTCAGGGTCGTGCTCAGGGCTGGCTCCTCCCGGATGCGTTCCCATCGGCCAAGTTCTTAGTGCTGGTGCCATTCTGGAGCCCCTCTTTCCACGTCTGCCGCTCCGTTTTTGATACTCCGGGGCCCTCGTATACACCGCCGTATGGCCCCGTCGCCCAGCTCTTGCCTTCTCTGGCCGCCTGCGTCGTGGGCTCTACTCCTTGCTTACTAGTGTATCTGCGCTTATACCACTTACCGTACGCAAGAAGGTAGTAGAGCCGAAAACAGAGAAACGCAAACTTGTCGTGTTCAAGATCCTCGGGATATTCCGCTCCGAGGTCTATCGCGGCAGCGATTCCAGACATGACAGCAGTTTCGTGAGCGTTAACCAGAGTCCATGCTGCCGCATAGCGGGTATGGTTCTTCGCTTGAAGAAACATCATCCACGGTACGACGAAGAGATAGTGTGTATAGCTGTGGCAAAGTTGGTGCCACCAGTCTTTTCGAATGATCTTTTCCTCTCTGATCTGATGGTCTGTCCATAGATCCTTATCGCGGTCTTTGTTGAGATAGATGGTCTGGAACACATGCTGCTCAAAGGGAACTTTGTCCGGGAATTGGCCCTGGTAGTTCGTTGTATCGAAGCACATCTCAAGTTTCGACTGATCCTCCGGGTACATTTTGATATAATACATCGGTCTGAAGTTATTCACCGCAAAATCAAGACGCGAGGTTTGCCCCACACCGTTCACCTTATCAATAGCTAGGTCTTCTCGGTAGAAGTTTTCATAATGCTTCTTCATGTAATCCGAGTCGTTGTGAGTGATCGTAATATCATCGCTGAATTTAGCTGACCCTAGTACCTTTTTCTCTATCCAGGTCGCTGTTCGACCCAAGACTTTCTTCGCCGTGTCAGCAAGGCAACACATAACAATCTCATCGTATACCTCCCCGGTAACTGGAACGTCCGGATCGCCTCCAGTGGGGTTATGCCTGTCAGGCACAGGCGTCCGTGCTTTAAGTTCGACAACGACCCCGCGATTACTCCTCTGCACGATCTTAGTGAGCTCTGTAGACAAGCGAACAATTACGCCACGCGCGACTAGATCCTTCATCCAAGTACCGTAAAATTCAGAGAAATTAGGGAAGACAACCATCGGGGGTTTGTTATTGACAAAGGTGTTTTATCAGGAGCATACCACATTCCGTACGTTGGCGACGTAAAGAGTCTCTCGAACATAATGGTAGGAACTTCTGGGGTGGCATTCCCCGTTCCTAGAAATAAGGCAGTCATGGGTAGAGCAATTGTGTTGATGAATTCCTTAGAGAATCCAAACAGCCTAAGGGTAAACTTTAGAGGAAGTAAGGCAAATAATACCTCGAACCAACGTATTAGTTTTAACATTGTTGGTAGCCGCCTAAGTTCCTTCTCATGGCGGGCTAGTAGGCGTGTTGGAAATACATTAGTCCAAAAAGTTTCATTTTTGCCGAATGAGACCTGGAGATTCACAGGATCGGCATGGAAGCCCTGTCGATGGAACATAGTCAATGTATGGTGAAATATATAAGAGCCGCCCTGTATTATCTTCTGTCAATAACCACAACTGCTTAAAGAGTCTTAAAATTCATACTTGAACACCTTGATTGCACCATGACGCCCCATAACGTTCTTTGTCCAGTGGAATAGAGAACGCTTGCCCGCCACAATAATCCACAGCATCTATCAGAGTGACATGGAATTTATCAGGATGTTGCGACAGGTGATATGCTGTAGACATACTAGTGTCTATATATTAGATTAATCAAATGATATGGAAAGTTGGATAACCCATACCCAGCAGCGCCAGCGCCGACGACCAGAACACGCTTGCGCCCATCTGAGATTGTGCTTCCATTCTGAGCCATAGAGTCCATAGTTCGTTTGATACGAATATTAAAATTGTCGCTGGTTATTTGTGTCTAGCATGGTTGTGTTGATTCTATTACTTACATGTATATTAATAAATACCATTGTATTATCTGAGGCACAGCACTGAATTTATTGCCTTTGAGTTTGATGATGAGCACACCCTAAATCACGACGTCATGGATTTTATAGGGGACCTTACACGCTAATAGTAGCAAATAGTTTAACCACTAATGACGGCTAGCTATCATAGCTTCTTTAGTTATTTGAATTTGAAATTCCTAGTTGAGTTAAAAGATAGCCCTATTTTGCTCGTTCATAACATTACCCGTTTCTTCCGTAAGTTGCCTCTCGAGTCTGTAGCTGCTAGGCGTGGACTGAGAGGAAAGTCTGGACTGCAAATGAATGATAAGGCCTCTGTCTTTAAAAGGCTCTTGGACCAGGAATGTTCTTGTAGGGCTCGTGACTAAGACCTTGACAACAGCTTGTATAGTCTCTGAGATTGATATATCCAAAATGGTGGTGAGAGCATGTCCAAAGTCCAACTCAAACTCCTTCCGCTCATAGTACTCCGCTCCATCAATGAACCAGAAAACAATAACATCATTAGGCAATTGGGCGACTAGCCACCTTAACAACTTACTCAACTCAAGGATGTCATCATGTTTGATGCGATCTTCATTCATGAAACCTGCCAGCATTGTCGTGTCGATATCATACTGGCAGAGAAGTTGACATATGAAAGTTTTGAGCATTGCGAGCCCCCCTGTGTATTTGTCGTTTAGGTCATCCAAGTGGAGGCCGCAAAAGAAATACAGACATATGAAGTTGGGAGCTCTTCCTATGAGCAACTCGATGGCAGATGTGCAAAATAGCGAGAGTCCAGAGACGTACAGAATATCTCCATAGCCTCCATGAATGAGAAGCTGGGATGACTCTGGTGCCACAAGCCATTCTTTAACCTGCCTCCCCTGAACAAGACTCTCAGCGCGGGCGAGTTCTTCAGAAGACATCCAAAGTTGTCGTTTACCATTAATATACTCAAGATCATTAGATGATAGGTCTGGGATATCCAAGAGGTCGAGGACATATTGACGTGTGATAGAAGTATTATTCGTCAGGGAAAGAAAAGGAGACGGCGATACAGGTCTTAATGCAATGATATTATCTAGTCTTTCATACGCGCGTCGCTCAGCTTCTATAAAGACTAAATTTAAGCAACTGTCTCCAAAAAGAAAAAGAAGAAAAAAAAGACGTAAGAGAATGGATAAATTACCGTAAGAAGCATTACTTAATAGTTCAGGCAAGCAATTTTCGAAAAAACTACGAACCAAGTTTCGTGTCTGATGAAACTCCTTTCTGAGTAGTACTTGGTTATACTGTAGCTGATTTTGGCCATATCTTATGTGAGTTTGGCCCTGCTGTATATGCTGCTGAGAAGCCTTAATTGTATCAAATGCTTCTTTCCATCTTTGTGTTCCTATATAACAAATATGAGACGCGCGAACGTGTTAGCTAGAGACATCTGCTATAATATAGTTGAATACCTAGGTATATTGATATGCCGGGTACTCACGTGTTAGTATCTCCTGCATCAGTTGGCGGTCGTTATATGTTTTGGAGTTCGAGGCTTGGCGGATAAGATTTGCGCCAGCTGACTTCACACGCTCGAGATGATCTCTTACATGGCTTTGATTTCCTTCCCATTGAAGGTGGCAGCTATAACTCCTATCGAACCCATTAGACTAGATCAACTCAGTAGAGACTATTCAAACACGCACTCAAATGCTGGATAAAGAAGCCAAATCACGGATTCCATGGCGGCTAATACGGCGACCACTAGATCTACAGATGCGTTCTGAATATTTCGTCTCGTGGGAAAGTTTCGATAAAAGTTCCACTTCGGAAAATATGAGGTCAAGGTCACAAATCCACTCAGGATTTCTTTCCGCGTTTCTGCCGCAAACTTGGCTGACTATAAAACAGGTACCTATTAGTAAATGAATAAAGAAACTATGTATTTTAATGCAAGTTATGGATAGAGTACCTATATAATATGCATACCTCGAGTAGACCTGAACAGCTCCAAGGACGGGGGTAATACAATCATTATGGGGGATCAATTTGATCACACCTAAGGTAGGCTGGGCTACTCCTTCGGCAAAATTCCGATAAATCTTCCTTGTGAACCTTTGATTCCTTTGTTTGACGTGTAACTGTTCTAGCACGTTCAAGCTGGTCATATACGTCTTTCCAATCCTTCTTACCGCGAATGCTATATCCAGTCTTGATACGATTTTTTGGTTCTTCTGGGTATTCATTCCCGAACTTCGCCATCGCTAGGGGGAAAATAGCATCCCAGAATTTCATTGCTTCGGCAGGCTTTGCTAGGGGTCTTGAAGGGAGTTCTTCGGCTACGTCGACTGTATCCTCTAGTCTAGGGTTATTCGAGCCTGGCAACGTCTCGAGGTTCGATGGTGGATATTGTTCTGGCTGCGTGATGGTGACTATAATGCCCCAAGTTGGTAATCATACCGTGATGCTGGTATCGCAAAACCCGGATGAAATTCATCTAAACGATTTTCTATGAAGTCCACCGCTAGAGATTGGGTTTGAAGGTTTGGTATGGACATTTTGGAGATGATGAGGCTGTAGATATTGCAGATACTCCTTAATGGGTTTTGCATTTGAAGTCGAAATTGCCGACGTTCTATACGGCAAGTTGCAAAATAGCAGTTAGTACAATCGAACGAATCGAATAGGTCAGATAGCTCAGAAGAGGCTACGAACGTCTTTTTCGGTGATTCTAAGATACAGTGCTCGGATTAACCCTGAGAGAATTCCCTTTCAAGCCGAGATGTCCAGCTTCCCATACTATTCCTCAATATGGTATCACATATTAACGGCCGAGTAGTGGCGGTCAGACCTCTTGCCAAACGTTTCACTGCATACCTACTTGTGTAGTGATCTATGGGACTTAGCTTGAGGGGATCTTCAATCTTTAATCTTAGTTTATCCGGCATGGTCTATTCAAGTTGGACTTGGATCTTTATAAGGCTGCGAATTCCTCATGAAAGCTCATCGGCGCCAATGCTGTTCTAACATACGGCATATGAGCTATATATTACATATTAATTTAGTATAGTTGATTCTAGTCTAGAAGAGATGGAGGATAAAAGCCCGGTTAATACATTGGCAGCACCAGCCGAGGAATGGGATGACGACAAGAAGCAGAAAGGTCTATTTCAAAGTGTGTCTACCAATGAAGAATACAATGACCCCCCTTCTACAGAACCAGAGGCTTCTGCCCCTGATGGTTTCAAATCCGAGAAAATTCAACCAGGCCCAAAGATAAATACTACGAGATCAGACTTGGTTTCTGAAGTAAGGCTCTTGGGAAAAGAGTTGCGACAGAAATTGAAGATGCTAGATTCAATGGAACAATCCTCTGATTTGGATGGTATCAACCAGCTGCCTAAAGTCAAAGATGAGACAGGACTTGACAATCAAACAGCCACAACATCAGAGAACCTCGATAAAACGGCGCGTAAACTTATCAGGCGTGCTCGTTTTGCCCAGAAATACGCGAAGAGAGTAGAAGAGGACAGTGTCAGGGAGAAGTCGCTGCATCGTGAACGGTTGCCGGGTGATTCTATGCTTCGCGTGCGGCAGAATGCCGTATCGCGTCAAGATTTAGCTCAGCTCTTGAATCCCGATTACAAGCGCAGAAAGATTATACTTCGAGTGATATGAGGGAGAGTCGAATATACTTGGACAATATACGTAAGGATACAGTCCTACTAACACCAGCATCTCTCAGGCCGGTCTATTCCCGTAGGCTCGGTCCACCAAACCAATGGGACACATCGGATAGCGAAGAATGGAGCACTGATACGTCCACAAAGTCTCAAGACTTTGATTACTTTCGAGCGAGACTACGAGCGGATTTCGAGTGGGAGCTGGACCGTCTTTTGGCCCAGAAAACGATATCAGAAGCACAAAGAGAAAAGGGGCAAAATAAGGCAAAAAGCAAAAGGAGAAAACTCTGCTTCTCTGGTCGATGAAAGTTTGCGTTGCCACAACTGAGTTTTTTGAAATGGGCAGACTTCATAGGCGCCCGGGTCTCGTTACCCGAAGTGTCTCCTGCTATAGATATTCTCGTTGGGGACCCGGAGGTCTCTTCCAATTACTTCCGGCATTTATACAATAGGCGGGAACAAGGGAAGCCAATAGGGATATCAACCACAAAGTTGGAAAGTGTAACAGGTCAAGAGCCGCTTCCAGATCGAATCAGAATACGCTCAAAGCCCCTTATGAAAATCCTTTCTTTTATCAGGGGTTCAGATCTAGGTGGTAACGACTGCCTATCTTCCGTGATGCTACGACCCTTTAAGATGTTATGTCATTATGAAGACGACCTCCGACGGCGACATGAGGAACTAAAAAACAGGTTGACATCTAAAGCCAACCTAGCATCCGAAGTAACATCCACAGTCCAGAATGTGGATGGGAGCAATAACGTAAGACTCCAACTTGAATCTAAGCCGGGGGATCCGGAGATAGAAGGGCAGGGCACCGGAGAAGAATCTAGAGTGGTAGAGGATTCAAAAGGCTATAACTCTTCAGAGATAGGATTACAGCACCTCGAATGCCTTCTGGAATTCATGGACACTCATATTTCGCGGAAATACACCTACCTCAAGAGCGTAAACTGTGACAAAGTAACCTTTTCTGATCTTTGGCATCTATATAAACCCGGGGATTTTGTCATTTCAACTGACGGTAAACAAGCTTATCAGGTTGCTGGCGTCACTTCGGCGCCTCATGACGGCAACGCCAAAAGTACTCATCGCTGGAAATCCCCTAGATTTAAGTATGAATTGGACTCGGACTCGGTTGAGCAAGATCAAGATCAAGAGCCACTTAGCATCCACTGTGTGTATATACACTTTGATGGCTCGTGGCTCGGTCCTGTTGTAAAGTCCTTTGACATTGATCGGTTCGAAGGCGAAAGGTCTATTGTTTCTTTCGCCGTATATCCTCTTCGGTTCCACGCTATGAAGGAGCTATCTAGAAGAGTGGGAACTATGAAGTCTGAAATTTGTGGCAGTAACCTGATAGCTTTAGAGGATGAAGTAACGGCAAGAGTAAAATATCTTCGAAATAGTCTCATCCAACGAGGGAAAATGTTTGTGGACGTGGTCGGCATTAAGCATATGTACTACTCGGGGGTCACTGTTGACACTCGGGATGAGGTTGAAAGTCAGGTCGTCATCGACTTTCAGGAAGCATTTTCTCAAACGGATTTGATGCGCTGGCGCCCTAATATCTCATCTCTTATAGGCCCTAACGTAAATGAAAACCTTAGGTTGGGAGAGAGGAGAAGGAGAAGGAAAAGGCAAAATAGGGAGCTAAACGAAGATGGTTGTTCTACATGTTGTGCTGGAGAACATGTGATAGACGACACATACGTGGAAAATGATCGTCATCTCAATTTTGTCCGGGACACACTGGCCTTGAGGGAAGAAACCCCACAAAAGCTACCATCGACTATCATTTATCCAAGGTCCCTGGAGGATGTTAAGGCCGACAGAAATGACTTCACTGACAACGAGTTATTGATTATGTCCTACAGCGTTTTCGGGTTCGCTCTGCGTGATCGCACCTGGGGTGAGACTCTTCGCTTGCTTTTAGCTTTCTGCCGCACCAAAATATTCCTATCCCCTTTATATATAGAGACTAACATTACTTTAGCCCAACTAGATCTAGCATATCTCACTGAGGTTACTCCCATAGGCAATGACTACACAACTAGTGACAATGCGAACGAAGATGAAAGCGCGTTTAACCGACTTGTGCTTGACCAAAAAATCAAGGATATGGTTCTTTCTTTGATTGCACAACACTTCCGAAATAAGGAGTCTCAACAAAATGCAGATGAGCAACTTGATATCGTCCGCGGCAAAGGTAAAGGAGTTTTGGTACTGGTTTGAAGGTCTACTTTTACTACTTTGATATCTAATTACGAATTTCATAGGAAAGGGCTTAATTATACTCCTTCACGGTGCGCCGGGTGTAGGAAAAACAACAACAGCCGGTAGGTAGTCCAGGTCCAAAACTCTACTTAGTAAACTAATATCATGACAAGAGGGAGTTGCCGAGAGATTCAATAAGCCCCTATTTCAAATAACATGTGGTATGAATACTCAATTTCTATATTAAAACTTTTATATAACCCTTAGAGATAGACTAAGTCCTAACATTATAATCATTTAGGAGACCTAGGATCTACCGCAAAGGAAGTTGAGGATGCATTATCAATTAATTTCTCTTTGGCTAATCGCTGGGGTTGTATTCTTCTCCTTGATGAGGCCGATGTTTTTTCTTGCATCGAGAAGAAGAGAGGACTTTACGAGGAATGGGTTAGTTGCCGGTAAGTGAACATCCTAACACAAGTTTGTTGAGCCCCTAATTTACAAGATACCTACTCACACTTATTATGTATCTCAAGTTTTTCTACGTGTACTAGAATATTATGCCGGAATCTTGTTCCTAACTACGAACCGAATTGGCGATTTTGATGAAGCATTTGCTTCTCGAATTCACATGAGTCTTTACTATCCACCACTGGATGAAATTGCAACTAACCGAATCTTCAAACTCAACTTTGACTTGATTCGGGATAGGTACAAGAAGAATGGGCGACTTATTGACATTGATGATTCTGGAATCTACAGCTTTGTCACGAAGTTCTGGATGGAGAATCAGCAGGCTCGGTGGAATGGACGACAAATCCGAAATGCCTGCCAGACGGCTTTAGCTCTAGCTGAGTTTGAGGCCTTACCAAACGATAAGAGGTTCGACCTCAAGTTCAAATCAAAGGCCAAAGTACACCTTAAACGTTCAAATATTGAAACGGTCTCAGACGCCTACCTTGAGTTTATCAAGTATCTTAAAGCCGTCCATGGCACCGATCAAGAAACGCACGCCAAGGAGTTAGGCATTCGAGCTATGGAGAAAGTTTTTGACTCTATGATGAATGAGAGGGTTTCAAGAGGAGGTAATCCAGTCCCTCAAGAAAGAACACAGAACCAGAATCCTCTTAGGTCCTTCAGAATTCCAGACAGGTCACCCCCAGCCACACAGACATACCCATCTTTCGAGCAGCATAGGGAAGCTCCCTACAATTCACCTGGGCCTGCATATAGAAATCCAAGTCCTTCATCAGGCGCGGGGTATTCAAGCCACGGATACCAGCCAGACAACCCCTTTCTTCAAGCACCACATGCATCACATGCATCTTCTGGATATGGAGCCACTCAGCAATATCCCAGACATACACAGTCAGCGTCGACAGAAGGACCATCCGCCTATCCACCAGGACCCTCTCAACCGCAATACTATCATCAAGGCCAAGGATCTGGCATGACTAACGACCCTCGCTTCGCCCAATCTGTACCCGGACAGGGAGCCAGACCACAGTACCAGGGATGGCGTTCGGAAGCATATCCAGTCGCCGGCCAAGAGATAACAGAAACCACAGGCGTAAACCTAACATCGATACCGGTATCATACAGCACTGAGGACCCCAATATTCAACATAGTGCTTCAAGCAACTCTCAGTAACTACGGGGATAGTGCTTAGGAAGCCATAAAGGGGATATGATATATGCGACTCTGTGTAGTGGCAGGGGCAGGTGGCCCGAATCGGGAAGACAGTCAGGGGGTGGTTATAGGATGGCTTTAACGACTCTACGATTTCATGATATGACCTTGACGAGCTCACATTGATCTTATTTCTCTACTCTTTAAACTTCTTAATAGTTTTATGATAACATTACGTTCATTTACTAGGAAACAAATACAAGGTAGTAAAGGGATATCTAGTAGTGACTGCTAGATTTAGGACTTACGATCGTATGCGAATTATTATTAATTGTAGACTTCCCCGGTGAGGGTACGACCTTACATTTGCCTGTTATGCTACTTGCACTAAAGGTAAAGTAGTCGAATAAGCATTGACGACATAAGGTAAATAAAATTAAGAGGGTATCATTGAATAGGCCGCGTCAAATCAGAATTAAAGGTATCTAACAAGATCATTGGAACTTGGCGGGATTGCTGGGTATCAGTCTCCTCAGGACTTCGATCTGACGCGCTTGTGCCTTATTCTTTAAATCCGTGACGCCACGCTTATCAGTCCGTCTCGTTCCATTCGAGTATACGACTGTAAAGTCAGGCACTATCTCCCAAGGCTGTATAACGCTGTGGGGCGTTAAGGTGCAATGCTTTTCCACCGTTAACGCTCGACTTACCATAACCATATAGGACGAATATAATATGAACTTACCTTCCCTAGCCTCGCTCCCTTGCCTACTCTGCAACCTACGCCAACTAGACATCCTTCGCCAATCATTGTACCGCCGGACTCGAGTACTACGCCAACTTCAATGGTTACATAGTCGCTGACCACCACGCCGTCGCGTGACTCGCTAGGAGTCGGGTCTGCAGAGGTTGCCCCAATGCTTGTTCGTTCGTGGACGATACATCTTCGACCAATTGTGATTCGTCCGTTAGAGGAATCTAACTTTGCTCGAGGATGTATGACCGTCTCCGAACTGATGTTGATAGTATGGTTTCCCGCCAGAAGGGCAGAATCAGCTATTGTGATTGATGAAGAGAAGTTGACGGGAGCTTTCGGGCCAGACTGGACACGTGGGAGGATCGACTGGCGTTTAGAAGAGGACATCTTGCTTTCTAGTGGGTTATGTGGGGTAGAACATCAACGTCGAGAGTGTTGATGCGCTCAAATTCATAACGGCTTATAGATGAGATTTGTTTGAAGATGAGGATCAATGATCAATACCTAATACAATCAATAATACATACACTTCAAATATGCTTATCAGTGATTAAGTATCTACCTGATATGCATAAACCGAATATTAGCATTAAACATGACGCACTACGATAAAGCAGCAGTAGAAGACATGACCTCATTACTCAGCTATTCAGCCACAGCAAAACCTTAAGGCATTGTAGCTCTGTAACCCAAAGGCTAGGTGATCGCCACAGACGGTAGACCCGCCTCCAGATATCCCGAACCAATCATAGGCCAGTCATTTCTATTCAAAGGCCTCACTTTACTTTACCTTTTCCACGACAAAACCTACGAATTCCTTTCCATTGCCATCCGGTCTCTCCACCCCCTCTGCTCAATTGAGCAACCAAACACCTTCAAGATGCTGTCTAGGACCACCGCGCCGTCGGCAGCGTCCGTGAAGGCCCTATCACGTGTCGCTTTACCGTCCTGTTCTAGATTACCACAGCAGTCTACATCCCAGCAAAACCGAAGTTTCGCGACCGTTCAGGATGGAACCCCGAAGCGAACATATGGCGGCCTTAAAGACCAAGATCGCATATTCCAGAACCTTTACGGCCGTTACCCGGCCGATTTAAAATCGGCTAAGAAGATGGGAGATTGGCACAAGACGAAAGAAATTATTCTAAAGGGCCATGACTGGATCATTGGTGAGATCAAAGCCTCGGGCCTACGGGGTAGAGGAGGAGCTGGTTTCCCTTCTGGTTTAAAATGGGTATGTCTGATTATCACAACTCCCACCAGAAGATAATCGCTAATCACTGGCGCGATGCAGTCGTTTATGAACTTCAAAGATTGGGATAAGGACACAAAACCCCGATACCTGGTTGTCAACGCCGACGAAGGCGAGCCTGGCACCTGCAAAGACCGAGAAATTATGCGAAAGGACCCTCATAAGCTTATTGAAGGATGTCTAGTTGCTGGCCGAGCCATGAACGCCACTGCTGCCTATATTTATATTCGTGGAGAGTTTATCCTCGAAGCTGCCGTCTTACAACGGGCTATCAACGAAGCCTACGCCGATGGATTAATCGGTAAAAACGCCTGCGGCTCTGGATACGATTTTGACGTATACTTACACCGCGGTGCTGGTGCGTACGTCTGTGGTGAAGAGACGTCATTAATCGAATCTTTGGAAGGCAAACCCGGCAAGCCTCGCCTAAAGCCTCCATTCCCGGCCGCTGTGGGTGTATTCGGTTGCCCATCGACTGTCGCCAATGTCGAGACCATTGCTGTCGCTCCTACGATTTGCAGGAGAGGAGGTAGCTGGTTCGCTTCTTTTGGCCGTGAACGAAACCAAGGAACGAAGCTCTTCTGTATTTCCGGCCACGTCAACAACCCCGCGACCGTCGAGGAAGAGATGAGCATTCCCCTGCGTGAACTCATTGACAAGCACTGCGGTGGCGTCAGGGGTGGCTGGGACAACCTGCTTGCCATTATTCCTGGTGGCTCGTCTACTCCTATTCTCCCTAAGAGCGTATGCGATGACCAACTAATGGACTTCGACGCTCTTAAGGACAGTCAATCTGGTCTCGGCACTGCTGCCGTCATTGTAATGGACAAGAGCGCCGATGTCGTCCGGGCCATATCCCGATTAAGTCATTTTTATCGACACGAGTCTTGTGGACAGTGCACACCGTGCCGTGAGGGTAGCAAGTGGACGGAACAAATCATGAGCCGCTTCGAGAAGGGAATAGGCCGCGAGCGGGAGATTGATATGTTACAGGAGTTAACGAAACAAGTTGAAGGACACACGATTTGCGGTAAGTCGTTTTCACGATCTCTTGCAAGAGTGGTACTAATTTCTTAATAGCTCTTGGCGAGGCGTTTGCCTGGCCCATTCAGGGTCTTATCCGTCACTTCAGACCCGAGCTGCAGGCAAGGATGCAGAAGTATGCAGCGGAACATGGTGGTGCACAAGCTCTAGCTGGTGGATGGGAGCCTAATGCTCGAGCCGAAGGCAAGCTTATTGCTCCTGGCCAATAGACTCGAACAGATCGCCTACCTATTATACTATAGTGCTAGACGGCGTAATACGAAGGGTTAGAGAATCACCCAGCCACGTTGTACACCACAAATACTCGTTACTTTGTACATATCCGCAGAGGCAGCACTCAATTCCTAGATATTCCTAGGTACCTACCTACTAGTGAAACCAAATTTTATCAAGTAATTCAAATCAATACGAAATCGTGAGTGCAATGTCTTAGTATTTATCATCCATATACACATAAGACATACGAGTTCTGTCCCCAGTCCAACCCCTTTCGTGATATCATAAATTCGTTTCAACGATACATCGCGAGCCTATCCAACAATTCTATTCAAGTTGAACAAGCTTGATGTCTACGAGTGCTCTTGGAATCCTCTAAAGGGATGTGACGAACGTCAAGACCCGCTACCATGGATCTACTTACCCCCCGCGACTTCTCGTCCACACCTCTCCCATACATCCATACTTGTCAGGATCGTTGTTACAAACATAGCTAGACCAACGGTACCAGGGTCGGCTTTGATCCAGCCAACCACGCTGCCCGGTAGGACGATGTCGAGAATGCTAGCCGTGGCACCGCGACCTAGCTTGTACACCTTGGTCGTGATCTCTTGCTTTGGTTCCTGCTTGCGCTTTTCCCGACTTGTTGCCTTTTTCTCGGAAGAGGCTGCTTTTTCAGTTGGAGCGGGTGGCGCGGAAGAAAGCGTGAAGGATACTTCTAAGATGCTGTACACAGCGCTACAGACTAGGGAGAACAGCCAGAATCTCTGGCCCTCAACGGTGATGGTGCGTTCCCGCTCGGCTGTCCAGATCGCTAGCCCAGGAACTTGCAGCGCATCTACCATCGTGCTGGCTTCGAGAAGTAGATACATCCCCATGAATGTCTTTGAGAAGACGTCAATCCATGGGTGCACCTGGGATAGGAATCCGCGCGGTGCGGCTCCTTTCTGGCCCTGGGTGGCGGAGATCTTAGAGGAGAGCTTCTGCGCCGCATTGAACGAGTCCAGAAATCGGAATAGCCGGAAGAAACGCCGGGCGAGTCCTAGACGCTGGTTGAGAGTCTTTAGGACGACGCGGGTCGCTGCAGGGGAGGGGGCCTTCTCTGTTGTGAGAATGAAGACCTCGAGGAGCACATTAAAGGGGAGGGTGAAGTTTGAGAGGATCTGCACGATGGACTGGAACAGGCGGAAAGTCCTCTCTAGACCGACTATAGATTGGAGTTAGCAACTCAGTAAAGAGATATATATATTTGGATAAAAAAAAGTTGTTGGTTCGTGGAATATAAAAACTATTTCTTAGGTTCGATGACCAAGTCCACCAGGAATTATCAGACAGGGACCCTTTGTCATAACCTCCTTGAAGCTGACCTTGGCCAAAAATTAAAAAGCTAATAGGGACGTATGGTCCATTCCTTATAGAATTATATAACACTAGCATGTAGTAGGATTTTATACTCTAAATCCCACCCTCATTGGGATGTAAGCCACATACGTGACAACATTCCCGCCAATGAGCCCGAGACGTGAGGATCTCTACAAACAAGCCCGACATATATATCCAATTTATTTTGCGGTTTTCATTTGAATTAAATTATGACCGACCTAATTGACCATAAACCATAAACTAAGACGGGGTGCCCTAGGTAATCAAGAGCTACTTGACCCGGGTCATACCGCGTTTAGACGGCCCTTAGAGTATTTGCACGACGGCTATGTAAAAAGGAAAGAATTTGATCATACCTGAGTCGGTCGTGAATCTTATAAATTGTTCAAATTTCAGCGACATCTTAATGATATGGCCAGCGTCTATTTAATTGAGCTGGATCAAGGCTTGAAAGTGAGTTGAAGAATAAGTGAATGGGAAGTGGATTTATCTTATAAAACATTGTTGAAAGGGGTACTTCTAGGTACCTAGTTACTCCGAGTGCGGGCGGTTTGTTGGGTCGGATCGGCTTTACGGGAGCTGAAGTACCTACGGACCCGCACCTACCGCGGAGTAAGGTGAGGTCCTCTTTCACATTAGGTAGACTTGCGTTAGGTACGTTATGTAATATATTATATATAAAAGTTATTGGCTTACACGATCCTCCTAAACTAACTCATGAATATATTTCGCAATATTCTAATTGATGTGGTGTTAAGAATACGTGTACAGACCCTAGCAGAAGCACTAATACCTATGATAACTAGCTTCATAAAGAACCCAGCTTGCTACATATTGATATGATGACCTTAGAAAATATTATACATTTTCTATAGCTAGGTTGTAACACGATAGCATCAAGCCGAAATCCGAGGCCAATCGTTATAAAATTCATCCACCGTTTTATACGGTCCATAATTTACAAATCCACCACGGTCATTCACAGCGAATGGCTTCTTTTGAGCAATCCGCGTAATTACGTCCTATTAAACCATTAGTATGTTTAAGACTTAAATCAAATCTATCCAACCTACTGGATTATAGATAAATGGCCGGGCAAATGTGACAAGGTCAATCTTGCCCTCATCCAGCAGTGTTTCAGCTTCCTCGACAGTATACTCGTGGTTCACCATCAACATCGTCTCGCTGCCAGGATACTTAACCATGCGTCCAAATTGTTGAATCGGTTCCCAATTGTCCGGTAACTCAAAGCCCTCTGGGCGGAGATAGGTACCCTCCCCTTGCCCAGAGTAGCTATCACGGCGAGAAATATTGATATACGCCAATTTCCGCTGGACTAACTGAGGGATAAGGTAGTTGTATGTTTCAGTAAGCTCTGCATAGGACATCATGGAGTCATTAATGTAATCGGATGGACAAATCTTAATTCCCACCCGCCGTGGACCCCAAATATCGATGATGGCATCCAAGACTTCTAGAAGGAATCGACATCGATTCTCAGCCGAGCCTCCATAAGCATCCGTACGGTTGTTGGCACGTCTGCTGCACGTTAATTATGCTAGATATAAGAGCGAGAGTATCACCGGAAATATCATTATAAATGGAAGACTCACGAGCAGAGAAAGTTGTGAATTAAATAGCCACTGTGACGCCATTAATCAGCCAAAAGATAATAGTCATGTGGAGGGGTTTATAAACACGATTTACCCTTGAGCCAGCAGTTCAATTCCGTCGAAGCCCGCTAATTTAGCCAGCGTGACCGAGTTTCTGTACTGTTCAACAATGAGCTTTGGGTCTTCGATCTCTGTGATGTTGGTGGTATGGCCCTAAGTAAACCCTGATCAGCCGCCTTGAGATCGACGTAGAGTATAAATTATTATCTTCGTTCTACTCACGGGATGCCCTTCAAGTGTGCGGTACTCGCCCCCGGCTGCTGGGATCTTAGATGGCGCATAGACAGGATAATTATGCTTCTTGAGCATTGGCATGTTGTCATTTTGAATCCGTCCTGCCCGAAAGTTCATTATTAGCGAGGGAATCTCAAGTGACGTATCATCAGGTAGAAACATACCAGCATGCCACGGCTGAAAGAATATCTTGCCGTTTACATCGTGGACAGCGTCAGTGACGTTCTTCCATGCAGCTGCGTGATCATGGTTGAACATAACTGGCGTATGAGGCCATTCCGCACCATTATAGTATACAAATGTCCCCTCAGCAATGATCAAGCCAGCTCCATCTCGGGCGCGATCAGCGTAGTATTTAGCACTCGCGCTCGTAGGCTTATTATCATCGGTACATCGATTTCGTGTCATAGACCCCATACATACTCGATTGCGCAGTTGTATCGAGTCGCCAAGCGTGACCGGTTCTAATAGCTGAGACATGATGGATTGTACATGAACAGACAAGAAGGTATGGGAGGATTGAGAAGACATGACTACTATCTAAGGGAATAGGGACTTGGATTTATAATCTGATCTATTTTCACGAATCGAGCTTATACCTATTTGGTATATATGCCTGTAGATGTCTGTGATGCTAACAACATACTGATTAGTCACCCGAGTCTTGGAAGCGGGATTATATTTGCTTGAAGTCAGTAAACATTATAAATCATCGGGCTAACCAAGGAGACTTATTATACGATAGGCTAGTTCGATGCGGGAATAGTATCATTTTTACAACACAAGCCCGGGTAGGTAGTAAATATGGTCATAAAGGTGAGCCGATATAATATAGAATGAAAACCCCCTTTTCTTCGACCGAATATATTATTTTCCTGTAACATAAAGAGTGAAAACCAACTCTCCGAGATTCCATCTCCGAGTTGTGATATAGGTAAGGCTTTTAAGATCATCCTTAGTTACACCCATCCTTTCCGGGTAATCCATCTAGAAATCTCGCCCCTCACAATATTCTTGGCCATTTTCGATAAATACTCTCGTTCATTCATCTCGTTCAAACAAATTTATGGTTAAAGACATAGATATAATTAATGGTAACTACCCATTATTATTTAATATGTGCAATTGAAAAGTTTCTATATTATCTTAGATAAGTAGACATGACGAGAAGTATAAGTTAGGTACTTACCTTTATATAATCTCTACTTTGCTGAACAATAGCTACGACAATCCCATCTATAACACTATTAAAATGTTCTTATTAAAGGAAAAGTGGACCAGCCATGCATTATCTTATCGATAGATAGATAGATAAGAAGGTTAGATAAGTACCTGCTGACCTCGTGGTGAACAAAAAGTCAATGGCAGAAAGGTGGGTCCTCGTCGCGTTCCACAAATTTTTTTCTTCAGTAAACGGAAGCTCAAGTTGTAATTCTTCGCACCTTGAGGTCAATCAGGAAGAGCAACCTGCCTTTTTTCTGGTAGGAAGGTCCTACCACTAGCGACTTACTTGTATATTCTCATCTAAGGTTATGTCCGGCAACCCGCGAACTAAACCTCTTTCTATATCCTCCCAAGGTCCCCCCAATTGGTTATTCAGCAACAATTCTAATAAATCTTCTACATCGTACCATCGAACAGTACGACACCAGCAATGGCAAAGAAGAATCAAAAGGCTGCCAAGGCGGCAGTCGCACCTACGACAACAGCATCATCTACTAGCCAGAATCAGGCTCCTCCCAACCAACTCATGGACTTAGTCGAGTCGTTCTTATCCGATCAAGGATTCGATAATGCTCATCGTGAGTTTCAGAAGCATAGAGCAAAGAAAGGTTGGAAAGAACAGAATGCTGGCAAACAAAAGAACAAGACACATCATTCCCTAGTCAGCGTATTTCAGACGTGGGAGACATTCTCAAGCCAAACAAACACCCCATCATCCCTAGGGAAGATCCCATGCAAAAGATCACCAAGGTCAGCAGTAGCAGCAGCGAAAGCGATAGCAGTGACGACTCGAGCTCGGAAAGCTCCAGTGATAGCGATAGCGACAGCGATGATTCCAAAGATGTTGCTATGGCCGACGCACCTGTTGATGATGAATCCAGCTCTTCTGAGAGTTCTAGCTCCGACGATAGCGACAGCGAGAGCGAAAGTGAGAGCGACAGCGAGAAGGAAACATCGAATAAACCAGCTACTGGTGCTGTTACAAATGGCAAAAACCCGCTGAAGCGAAAGGCAGTTTCCGAAAGTGAGAGCTCCTCTGACTCCGATTCCGAGATGTCGGACTCGAGCTCGGAGGATGACGACCACAGATCAAGAAGGCTAAGACTAAGGCGAGCTCTGATGAGAGTTCATCCTCGTCCTCTTCTGAATCTTCTGATGACGAAAGCTCCGACGACGAAGATGAAGGCAACACTAAGAAAGTTAAGCCGCCCCAAGTCGACGATGAGTCCTCTAGTTCTGAATCTGAGTCTGACTCTTCGGATTCTGAATCCGACGAAGAACCGAAAGTGGATCTAAAAGTTGCTGCTGTGTGCCACTACCTGATTCTGGCTCTTCTTCTAGTGATTCTGAGTCCGACTCGGAGTCGGAGGATGAAAAGCCACAGCGACCTAGCAAAGGAGTAGCTCCGAATGGCACCGGGTCAGATACCTCTGTAACTCTGGACAAAGCCTCACCTGAGTTCGCATCTGCTTCTTACCCCCCTCTTCCGCCTGACCCTGTCGCATCTAAAATGAACAACCGGGGTAAGAACGGAGCCAAGACGCAGAACCAACCTTTTTCCCGAATTCGGAAGGATTTACCATTGACCCAAGATTGTCGTCCAATGCTTATGTTTCGCATGACTACGGCGACAAGGCCCACCAGGACCTTATCGTGACCAAGGGCAAGGGCTTCACCAAGGAAAAGAATAAGAAGAAGCGGGGATTACAAGGGTGGTCCTCTGGATATCAACAAAAGCCGAAGCATCAAGTTCGATGATTAGAACCCACGGATTAGTACCGAGCTGATCAAGAGATCCCCCAAGATTATGAACAAGGAGAAGCAAGTTATGGGCCAAGCGGAAGCATCTAAATCCCTTAAGATATCTAAGAAGGATACAATCGACAAAGCCTACCGACAAGCTTAATCAAGGTCCTAAAAAGGCGGCGAAACGTGTTCATTTCGATTGATTCACACTAGACACAGCACCCGTGTTCTTGAGGGTAGGCTTGCCTGAGAGCTTTTGAGAAGCACTTAGGTATTCGTCCTACTAATCCTTTACATTTGTATTTATCAAGCCTACCTAGAAAATACTCGTATTTATTGTTTAACAGATCTTTCAAAGTCTGTCTATTATAGACGTTGGATTCAGGTTGACCTGTGAAGTGGAAAGAAGCCCAAAGGATATGGCTCTTTATTGCCTAGGTACCTACTGTACATAGGAAGTTAATTAATACCCTCTCGTAAAGCGTCGTGCCTGTTGTATAACTCCATCCTCTCTCGCTTCTTGCTAGGCCTAGCAGAATTCTTTAGGATTTCAAAATAAAGTATCTGTCGTCCCATGAATAAAATCTACCTTGCCCCTGTCCCTGCCCCTTTCGCATTGTTCTACGTGACATGTCAGAGTTCATTGGGTACCCCTGGAGGAAAATAGGGAAAAGGAGTAGAGTGGGTAACTTTGAGATTTCGGCTCTATCGTTCCAGGGTTCCAACTAACAGATTCATTCAGACGATTTCTGCAGCGGCATCTCGTCATCGTGTCATGTTGTCAAATTTAGACATGCTTAGTTAGAACTAACTTCCATGTAGAATAATTTAGTTTCTACCCCAAGGCTGATTGATGAAATTACCGGTGTTGCCTAAAAGTTGACTCGTTCTCGTTTAATTAGCAAATTGTTAAACGCCGTAAATGCGGGGCTGGCAGAGCAGCACCGCCTCTTGAGAGGAGATATAAACTACATAACTATACCAATCTTCACGAGCGGTTCCGTATGAGCGGTGAGGCCGCACGATACTATTCTTTTTTCTCTCCGAGGCCTGTATGAAATGATCGCTGTCGCGTGGGGAAAGGCAGATCGCTGGATCTTTGTGTATTGTTGAGTTGTGACAGACAAGGGTCCCCTAGGAAGTGGAATCGTAAGGGAGCCAGGTTAGGGAATTTCTTGGGTCCCATATTTTAGTGGCCCTGTCTATATAGTTGTTTGTAGGTTTCATTTTTCCGACCAAGGCTGACATTATCTAGAATGTTTGGGTTTCTAGTTATGAGCCCGCGGCTGTGTGTATGACTAGATGATTTAATCTCGTACAGGTAGTCCTTTAAGATGTAAGCTCGGATTTAAACGAATGACGCCTTAACTCCTTTTGGTGAGATAAGACGGTATGATTCTTGGATAGCCGTAGTCCCCTATCATCTGACAATGTACTCATATCGTGACTGACTTATGGCTTCTCTTGATCTGCCACATGCGGTGTGCTCTGTGTGGCTATGGCCGGACAGGCGGATAATCGAGTCTAAAGTGCTCGGCCGACTGATCCCGTTTGTTGAGCGGGTCGAAGACTACTGTATAGAAACACCAATAATAATCTCATGGATTAGCATAACCATAATATCGTGGAAAATCTTCTAGGGTCGGCTGTAGAAGATAGGGGTATCGCTGGATTTTGCGGTACGCCTATCCATCTAGCTCAGCATACACGACATCGGACAGCCGGAAATCAGGTTTGCTACCGCTGAAGTGGTCGTTTAGGTTTCAAAATAGCCATCTTGATGCCATACGTTGTCAAAGGCGGATCCTTCGAGTAGCTTCGTTAGGCTCACTAGCCTTGTCATGTTTACTTTAGCGCCCTTAAGTCCTAGGAGAATGGAGGCATAGACCTGGTATATCCAATGTATGGTAGAGGCGAGAGTAGAAAATAGAGGTAAATGATAGTATGATGCTTGATAATCTAGATATTTAATAATTGTAGGTGTTGAGTGGCGCAGTATTTCCCCTGCAACTAGATGATCCAAGTTTTGACAATACTCGGAAAAGATAAAATAAAGATGATACTATAAGACTGATAGGTCATTTTGGTCGTTGGTGGCTCTTAGTGATAGTGATATCTTGTCATAATAGGGGTCACTTGGTAATAATACTGTTGTCGAGAATCGAGATACTTCCTTGAATCTTCATTGTATCGACGATACCAAGGATAGTTGACTTTAGAATATGCTTAGAATTACTTGGTCGTTCACATCACTATAGTAGTGCTTGTTAGGACAGCCTAAATGGGATGCTAAGTCTGATTCAAAGGGGGGTTTGTTGTTCTAATGTAGGATTAGTTAATAGTCAAACGAAACATCAGTAGGTAGTGAGTGTATGATGAATATAGCCTAACTTAATTTTTTTTCCACTTGATCCCTCCTACTGGCTCGATCACTGTATGGTTTGTACAGCACACGGGTGCGCCCTCTAAGCCAAGAAGCAGTTTCTATCGAATTTGTGGCGGAGTAATACCTGATAAAAAGCTAATAGGCCAGACAAACGAACGATATCTATGTACGTGGTACGGGGATGATCATATTATTTCGTGATAATTCATATACATAGTAGTCATTTGTCCCCTACAAACATTAGGTTATATGGGCATTTAAGCAAGCAAGGGAGAAAGTGTTTGCTATAACTAAGCCAGCCTATAAAGATTAGGTATAATAAAAGGTAGTGAATTATAATAATCTTTAGGGAATTAATGATCGGAGTTTCAGGGATGAGACGACGAGCAATATAGAGAAAGTACACTAGCAGGAGGTACCTAATTCGCCTATCAGTCAGCCTTGGAGCCGCTGATATAGATGTACCTTATAAGTACATGGGTACATTAGGTACATATACCTCTAATACGGGCACCTACATCCTAACCTAATGTAACCAAGCCCAGGTACATCAATCATGACCTTTTAGCGCCACCACTACGTTAGATATCTTAGGTAATCTATCTACATATAGCTTAGAGCCTTATTACCTTGTCCCCACGCGACAACCGAATACATTCCACTTACTTAGCTGCACCAAGAGAGTGACTATTTTACATACCTCCTAAGTTACAGTAGCAAAACGATATACCTAGTTTGTCCTAGGATGCCCATATATTTTTACTAGATAAATTAGCAATCCCCAACTTTGATTCACCATTAGTAGCTAGCATTCACTAGCATTCATTATATGCGCTTATGTGTCTAGGTAATCTTCGCAGTCTATATAAAGACGGCAGTGCCGACCAACATGAGATATCCATGAACAACTCTCCACAAAAACCTTCTAGACTGCTTCAGTTGTGCAAAACAATTAGCAAAATGACGGAGGATCTCTTGCAGTCAAACCGCAGGGGTGGGGCTCGGGTCGGACTACATTTTCAGGATAATATGATGAAGCATGCCAGCCCTGAGGAGAAAGACGCAAATGAAGTCTTACTAGAAGAGAGAGAGGCCGATGAGCGTTGGTACAACGAAGGCAAATATAATGGAAAACAGTTCGCTGAAGACCATTTTTCTCGAAATGTCCACATCATCGAAAAAACCAAATTGCTGAAGGCAGCACGCTCTCTACCGAAAGGTGCACATCTTCATCTTCATTTTAATTCCACTCTTCTCCCCGAATCCTCTTGGGTATAGCCAAAGAAATGCCCAATATGTATATCTCGAGTCCTACTCACAAATTACGATCCAAATCTGATTTCGACAATTGTGAGATCGTATTCACGCTTCAGAGTACGAAGGAAATTCTTGATGACCCGGATGTCAGCCTCATACTTCAAGAGCAGAAACTATCTCCTAAGGATCTACAAGGCCCAAATCTATTCCACGACGATTATGAGCCACGCCAACTTATGCGCTACCAATACTTCCGTTCCGTATGGAATGAAGAGCAGAAAACGAGGCAAATTTATAGATCACGAATTCAAGAGCAGGCTAGCCGAGCTGAGTTTGAGCTCTGGGATATGGATATAAATTGTGACGATTGGCTCACTAGTAAACTCATCTTCCATAAGGAGCAAATCGATGAAATATTCAACTCGGGAGATAAATCTTCAGAACAGACAAGAAAGCGCGAGACGAAAGAGGAGAAACGGGCAAGACAAAAGCAAGCTGAAGATGCAAAGTGGCCTAAGGATATCGATTTAGATATCCAAAATAGTCAATACAAAGATGTTCGTGAGAGAGCAGCAAGGTATTGTGCACTCGACGTTATCGTTATGAACTAGCTAACAGATTTGTAGAGCATGGGAGAAATTCAACGGCCGTACAAGAATGATGAAGGGCCTATTCAATTATGAAAAGGCATTCCGGGCATATACGAGGAAATGCTTAGAAGAATTTATTAGGGATAATGTCCAGTACGCCGAGATCCGACCAAATTTCATGAAAAGTAACCAGGTCTTACGGGATGATGGGTCCGAAGGTTTCAATAACTTCGGCTTGATGGAAATCATCATCGAAGAATACGAGAATTTTATGAAAGATATCGGAGATATGGACGAGCATGGGCAGATTAAAGAGAATAGGAAGTTGGATTCTGATGGCAAGTTAGTATACCTAGACAACACAAGAATACCATGCGGAAATGGCCATACCCCATCCCTCGGCGGGATGAAGGTTATCTACTGTACGCCTAGGTCTTTTCCGAAACCTATGGTAAAGGAAGCATTGGATGAATGCATACAGATGAAGAAGAGATGGCCACAATATATAGCTGGCTTCGATCTAGTAGGAGAAGAGGCCTACGATAAGAAATATCCACTACGATATTTTGAGGAAGAATTCAGGCAATTTCAAGAGGACTGCCGGGAAGAGCAGGTTGAGATCCCATTTCTATTCCACTGCGGCGAGACCCCTGACGACATCGAAGGCAACCTCGAATGCGCGCTTGATCTCAATGCCAGACGAATTGGACATGGATATGCATTGCCACAAAAGCCACATATTATGAAGCAAATGAAGGACAATGATGTCTGTGTAGAGGCATGTCCTATCTCGAACATGGTCCTTGGATTAGTGGAGCATATGGACGAGCACCAGATTTACGAGCTACTTAAGCATGAAGTTCATTGCACATTAAATAGCGACAACGGTACCCTTTTTAGGTGAGTTTCTACTATCCCACAATTTAGAACACTTGGACTTATTTTATTAACTTATTTTTATTACTTTAGGTCTACATTATCACATGATTTTTATGAAGTCATGGTCGGCAATCGCAATATGAATCTGTTTGGCTGGCGTCAACTTGCGAGATGGAGCATAGACCATTCTTGCATGAGCCAAGTTGAACGCGAGCGGGTCTTAGTAGAATGGGAGAGGCGATGGAAATATGAATTTATTCCCCAGATTCTTGGGCAACAGCCTACTAGTCGTCTAGCGAGGCTTGATAAATTAGATCAGATCGAGGAGTGTCGGAAAAGGCGGGAGGCTAAGCTTAATTTAGAAGCGTAATAGCTGGTTTATTGGTTGGGCGTCTTTGGAGCGGGGTTTAGGGGATGAGACAGATGCAGATATTCACGATTTTGATACCCGATATGACAAGGTGTTTGGTGGCGTTCATCTTGTTACGCCTGGAATCAAGAACATGAGTAGGCTTTCCTCTTATTAATTTAAGGGACTTCGTATCATGTCTCCAATGGGTTTCCTTGTTTTTCTATTATTAATTTATGAGCTACTAAATAATACAAAGGAGTACGCGATCTTGATGGATTATCAGCCACATAAACGTTTACCGACCTACCTATTGCAAACTGCCCGATGTCTACTTCTCTCTGCCTACTATTTTTATAAAATGCTTATCCTATAATATTTACCAGTAGTTATGCGCGTGCTGCGGGTAGTCGCAGAGGCTACCTCCACAGGAAACACAGCATGGAGGCGATGAATAATATATACAAATGCGCCTCAAACAAAGGAGGCTCTGACCGGTCAAGTGGAGTTGTTGTTTGATCTGTTGGAGAGTCTTGGCACTGTTAGTTTCCACTAAGTCCAATCGTTTAAAGCCAGTTGGGGCTATCCGATGCGTGCCAGCGCACTGGACAGTAGGCGGGCCGTAGCGTTAAATGCTACGCTGAAGACCCTGGAACTTTAACGCACGTTAATCCAGAACCAAAGAAGGTTGGAGTGGGGCTCGCGATATCAGCCAATCAATGCAGTATAATCTCCAAAGCAGGCAAGGATCATCCCCAACTCCAATATCTTTCGAAACTTGAGAGACCGCGAACGTTTATTTCATTTTCAGCCAAACACCTTTTTCTCTTTTCCATCCCATTGTACTATACCCTTTTTAAAGGTTGGTATCTTGCCGCCTGATCCTGTATATTTTAGATACATATATATTATACAAATGTAGTCGTTTTTAGCAACATATACTTTCCGTTCCCATCGGACACGTCGTTTTAATTCAATTGACTCTAACAAACCAACCTCAGATAGTTCGAACCCCCCGAACCCCAAAACTCAGTAGCGTTAGTCTTAATTTGCTTTTCAACCTTCCTCCCACGCCTGCACGCCTACGATAAAGTTCGAATCTACCCGCCTACCGATCGACTAAAATTAACTAAACGACCGTCAAAAGTATAAAATAATGGCCGACGACGGAGATGGTGTTATCAGATCTACGGCGGCCAACTGGTTTTCTTCCGACGTTCAGGGCGCCGAGGGACCTGGAGGTTGGCGCCTTGATGTTGTAACCTTACTTGCTGTCATCGGCGAGTCGTCCATAGCAGAACATTGCCAAACTGTTACTGCTAGCATCTTCTGCCTTCTCCCGCGCATTATTCCTGCCCCGCAAGCTTTCCTAAAACCTTCCCGACCTGGTCGCTTGCCCGAGACCACAGCAAAAATGACCGGCGTCTACAGCGGTGTTGTCCTCGATACAGTGGGATTCTTTGCCAATATCATTCATCCCCTCGACGAGTTACAACCATTTGCTTTCCGAGTTCTAGAAATTACCCATACCGACCGCAATAACGCCGGTGGCATTAAGGTCCCCGGCCCACTCAATAACAACGAGCTTCCTTCAAAGCATACGTGCAAATGGAAGGTCTACCAGCACATCACATGAACTTCGTACTCTACCCCGTAGTCCTCCTCCCGAAGACCGCAATACACGTTTACCAAACGAGCCGATAGACACAGGATACAGCAACGATGTCGAGGCCGGTCCAACACCGGGCGTGCACAGGCGGCCAACAATGAAAGAAAACATTCAGGATTTCGTAGCCAATCCAACGCTTGCCAACAATAAAAAACGACCCGCAATCCCTGCTACCCTATATTCCCCTGTTCACGTTCTTTCATTCTTCTCTCTTTTATTGACATGTGGTATCATTGCCCTTGCAGCAGTACTCGAGGATGGAACAGCAATTCTTGCCGTTACCCTTATTTCCTTTGCAAGCTCCATTGTTGGCTGGGCTTCGTGGTGGAGGCCCATCCTAATGAATCGCAGTCACACTAATACTGTCGTTGCTGGAGACGTGATAATCCGTACGCGCGAGGGCGCATTCCTCCTTATCAAGTGCACTGAAGAAGTAGCGCGTGAGCTCTATTCGGGCACTGAAGAGTGCGAATATCACGTTAGCGGACGCGCATATAGGGTGCTCATGGGATTTGGAACCTGCTTGTTAATGGTGGCTGTCATCCTCTTGGGTAACTGCAAGTGGTACTCTCAGGTTTTCATCGGTGTTAGTTATATCGTATTGAATGGACTATACTGGACTATGGGATTGATCCCAAAACGCTTCTTCTGGGACTTGAGCCGCTATGACATTAGAGATATAACTCCTGCAATCTCACAAAATGCCCATACGCAAACCTTTGATGACCCGCGGGAAGGGGTTAAAAGCTACACGCGTACTTTATGGTATGCGATCCGCGAAACTAAGCGTACAGCTTGGGTTAATAGGAGTGGCGCCGCTCCCGACACACCCCAATGGCGCAAGTGCTCGCAGAGGCTGAAGATGCCGCAATCTCGAATAAGACGGACTGGCCTTCTGTTGCTCGCAAGGACGTGATTATGAGGATGACAGAGAGCCAACTTAATGATAGAGAGGCTTCGGCATCCGAGCCGACTCGAATATTCGACCTGGCAGAGCAAGCTGCACCGGCCACTCAGATACAGCCTCGAGACCGACGCCCTGCCGACGGCACTCTATAGGCAACAATACCCTGGGCTTGGGCATCGGGCTCTTATCTTATATGGAAAATAGTGTGTTGGATACCCCTTTATATGAGCGAGCGAATTTGCGATATCAAGATGATTGAGATTTTATCTAATCTATGAGGCTCTGGGAGATTGCTATTTGAGCCAAGATTTAATTACGACTAACGATTTTTTTTTCTCGTTTAATTTTTAATTTATCCAATCTACATACGCATATATCTCTATATTACTAGATTTTACATCGGTTGGAGGAGCATATTTGATACCGGCTCTTGCATTGGGCATGTGGAACCAAAAGGACAAAAACCCGAATTTTATTGGATATATTTCCCTCGAGGTTGGAAGAGGGGACGTTGTTATTTCAGCGAGGAGTTTTGGTGTCTAATAGTAGGCGATTGCTAGCTTGCTCGTCATTACTACTACTAAGTCTTGTAAAGACAATAATTGAGATTTTTGGATATTGTATTCTTAACTACCCTGACACATGAATTCGCTGTGAATGAGAAGAAGTGTAACAGGGTGGGTGGGCTGAAAGGTAAATCCCATACTATGACGAAATGACAACTTCAAGTTGGATTCTTATTAGCCCCTTTTCTAGTAGAGTCGGTCGAGGCAATCTAATTACTACATAGCTGCGGACTCGAAAAGTGAGCTGTTCTAGCCTCAGGTAGTGAGGACCTTCATGAGATCGGGGTCGTAGGAATATCAGTGAGCTAAGAGGACTTTGGGCTTTTACCGTACAATTAAATACCTATAGGAACACTAAAATAGGGGTAGATATGGGCGTAGATCACTCCATACTGTCCGATACATGCCCAGGGCGGAGAGAAGTCGCTATTGGTCTTATCGGATCTATAAAGGGCAGTCTAATACGAAATAAGGCGGAAAATTTTAAAATCGAAATGGATCAAACTACCTGAAGGTGTGTATAGATTTATATCAAAATAAATACCTAGCCTAGGTAGGGATACGAATGTTTCTTCAATACTTTATTTAGGTAGTATATCTACATGGTGAATGAGCCTATCACTAGTAATCTACACGAGAACTAATACCACCAATACCACCAATACCACGTAGGTAATGACAATATGTTGCTGAAGATTATTCTGCTCCTACTGGAAAATTCTAGATTAATTTATCGTTTGGCTTTAACTAAATATGATCCTCTTCACTGTAATATACCACGGTACCCCAGGCTTCTCCGAGGCACTCTCCTCCTCCGAAACCAAGTAGTCCCTTCTACCACTCACGAGATCCGCATCAGCTAATCGAACAATCTTAGTCCTCTTCACGAGCTTCCACCCGAAGTACAGAACCGTGAATATCGCAATCACGACGTATGAGAAGACGAAATCCACCGCTGCGAAGCCCCCGACGAAGACCTCGTACCCGGAAATGAAAACAAGGAACAGATTTAGTAGCACGACGAACCAAGCACCATACGGGTATAGAAAAGCCCGGTAAGGTAGCTCGCTGATGCTGTGACCTTGCAACACCCAGGCCCGGCGTAGCCTTAGGTGTGTGACGCCTATGAAGGCCCACGCGATGAAAGTGGCAGCTCCAGAAATGCTAATCAGATAACTAAATACCTTTCCAGGAGTAGCGGCGATGTTTAGCAAGGCTAGAAGACCGAGCACGTTTGAGAAGATGATAGCGTTAGCAGGTACACCATTGGCTGTGGTCCGGGCGAAGAAGGCGGGTGCACGACCGTTGACCGCAAGCGCTACAAGGCTTCGTGAAGCGACATAGATGGCGCTATTGACAGACGATAGCTGCGCGGTAATCATAACGACGTTTACCAGGTTCCCGCCTCCCGCCCAACCGGCATGCACGAGAGCAACTGTCCAAGGAGACTGTGCAGACTTGCTAGTCGCCGTTAGAAGCGAGCTATCGTTATACGGCACGATAATCCCAGCGAAGAAGACCAAACCCAAGAAGATGATTAATATGCGCCAAAACGTCTGTCGGATCGCCTTGGGCAAGTCCCTCTTCGGATTGCGGCTCTCGGCAGCAGTCAGAGCCAGCATCTCCGTGCCGCTGTAATAAACTGCGGCTAAGACGAAAGTCTTTCCGAAACCGTTGATCCCGTTTGCGATCGCCCCAGGGTCACGCCAATATCGGAATCCAATGTACTCGCCACCGATAGCTCCCGTGTTGACAAGAATAGCGACGAGGAAACCACCGACGACACAGATAAGCTTCCAACATGCGAGCCAGAACTCCATCTCGCCGTAAACCACGATGCCCAGGAGCGAGGTACACTGGAAGCCAACCCAAAAGATCAATATCCAAGCATACGACGGTACCGCATCGGTCCAAAGCCCCATGATCAGCGAGATATTGTTATAATCATTGGCGATATTCGTCACCCAAGCATACCAATAATTAACCCCGAGCGCAAACGCCAGTGCCGGATCGACAAATCGACCGGCGAGCTCGATGAAAGCGCCTTGGATGGGGAATAGCGTCGCCATCTCGCCTAGGCTTTGCATGACGAAGAAGACGTCAATGCCAATGATGAGGAAACATATCAAAGCGCCGACGGGCCCGCTATAGGAGATCGCTGAGCCAGACCCGTACCAGATACTAGCTCCTACTACGCCGCCGAAGGCGATCATTTGCTATATTCTCTTAAGTATTTGCGTATGATGGAATTACAATTGTTACTGACTAGGTGGCGATTTTTGAGACCGCGTTGTAAACCATCGTCGATGACATTCCCATTACTAGCGAGAACAGTTTCCTCCCTCTCTGGTAGAATTTCGTCAGGGGAAGTTGACGACTTTTCGTCGTTAGCTCCTGACGTTGAAGGTGTTCCCATTGTTGAAGTTAGGGTGGTACTTAGATGTTACAAGCCTTCCTACACGACTGGTCAAGATTAAGATGAGGCTCGAACTGGAAGAATAAACAGAGGGCTATTTCTAGATGTGTCTATGCTGCCATAATGTACCATTCAAAGATCCACTATAACTGTCGGTAAGGGAGCAGCATTCGGTATAGCCAAATCCATACTTAAGCCTGTCCCTAATCAAGACAGACACGCCAACTACTTCGAGGTTCTCTTAACTGCCTAGGTAGGGTAGATGCTTTGTTCCGGGTGGTATCTATAGTATCCCTCTCTATTATTGGTGGAAAGTGTTACATTCGGGATTACGACATCCAACATGAGTAGGTCTTATCGCGCAAGTAGTCCACAACCAGACAAGCCTCGATAAGAACGTAGTAAGCCTTAAGAAATGCTTATTTGTCGATCAGTAAAGGCGTGAGGCGGTTTATACAAGTGTGCTTAGGTATTTGGTTGCTACTATATGCATTTTTACGAGTTATTAGATCGAATCTATTTGGACTGGGCCCGTTGGCGATATTACGGCATTTCTGTTTCCTTGAGAGTAAGTAACAACTGAGTAAGCTGGATAGTGGTCGTAGTTGAAGATGATAACGAGGAACTTGCATCAACATGGTGGTAATTTGGAGAGGAATGGTGTGATCGATATAGGTCTAAAAGGCGTCATCCCATGACCAAAACTCTTAATAAAAAATAAGAGTAATCCATCGTAGAGTTCACATAGCCAGAATTTTGGCAATCAGACGTAGGTATGTAGATAGGGAGCAGCACCATATCTTCAAGCTCACGTAACAATTGAGCCAACACCGGATTGATTATAGCACCTTAGTGACTTTTCTCACGCGCGAAAAAGTAGTTGCCAATCTTCTCACTACCAGTTACCTCCTTCCAGCCAAGACCAGGAACATAAACTACGCCCATACATCTAGGCTCAGTCCATTCTGTCCTGTTTTGGAGAAAGTGGGTTTTTAGTTCTTCTTCGTTGATGTATTTTTGCCAGTCGTGGGTACCTTTCGGTACTATACGAAGTAAGTCTTCCGCCACGAGATTGGTCGTCACCCAACTAAGCCATGTCCTTGCGATAGTGCTAAGAACCAACCAGCCTCCCGGCTTGACGAAAGGAGCACACCGATCAAGGAACTCGGCTGGGTTCGACACATGTTCTATAACTTCGAAGATGGACACGATATCGTAGCCGTCCTGAGGCGTACTCGGGACTGGCAGCTTTTCGATAGGCGTATTTATGTAAGTTAACTTAGATTGTAAGACAGGGTCCCGCTTAGCATGTGCTTTAGCAATAGATAACACCTCGGGGCTGGGGTCTATGGCCGTTACAGACGCGGTCGTAGGTAACCGGGCAGCAGACTCGGCGAATATACCACCTCCACAGCCTATATCTAAGTATTTTAGGTTATTCGAAGGCGGGGGTGGATCATCGAAGGGTGAAGAGCGACATGAGCGAATGAAGTCGTGGCGCAGTGGGTTCATCAAGTGGAGGATGCGGGACGGTCCCTGAGGATCCCACCACGAGGATGCGAGGGCGTTAAAGTGAGAGACCTCATCAGGCGAAACGGTCGTAAACGTGGCATCGGCAGAGGTAGAATTCGGGGTTGAATGAGAAGCCGAGGCCGAGGCTTTCGTGGCCGAGAAGCTCCGGCTTGGAGATTTTATTATGCATCGAACGGGACGCGGACTGGCTGGAGAATATCGGAGCTGTCGGAGAAGCGCGGGTTTTATACGGGGTGGCATGATTTACCGTCCTTGATGGTAGCTTTACCCTCACGTAATTTTAAAACTCCTCTATTTAGCAGCGACGAATGCTGTCGTCGCGCAAGGGTAGAAGACGGGAGAGGACTGATGGTATGAAGATTGAAAAGTTCCAAATTAGGTAAGGAGCTTACCCGGTGAGCTAAAGAGCCATGCATGTGAGTTACCCTTTAACGGCATGCGCCGGCTCAACCTAGTGGAAAATCCGATCGTATGGTACATGGAGGGCAGAATTTGGGATTGACCAATAAAATTGCGCGATAGTGTCTAATGTGATGTAATTCTAGACCCTGGAGGGATGACGGATTAACTTGTGCCCCACAGATCTTTAATGCGCAATGGAAGCCCCTCATAGTTGAAATCCGACCCCGCCGAGGAAAGTCCCTTTAGAAGTCCCTCGGCGAAGTCTTAGCTTAGCTTAGATGAGATAATTGGGGGTCATCAGTCAGCATTTGCAAGTTGCTTCCTCTTTGTTCGGTCTAAAAATCTTAGGATGAGTAATTGTCTACCGTAATTGTAGTCAGTTATTTCTTACCTACTCATATGCTTTCTAATCCCTTCATCGTGTAAATTGCTCAAACGTTGAAAACTTTATTGGCCTTTATTCTTAAAGACGACTTGACTCTAAACAGACAGCATTTTACCACTTATACGCCACCGTTTGGCCGTTGTTGGAACACAATCCTCCAATTTATTTCCGATTTGTGATACTCTAGAGAGCCCCGGAAAATAATATCATCAGGGTACCATACACAAATTCGCCTATCATGCCGTCCGCGCTCATCAATCATAATAAGTTTGACGGCATACCCGAAACAATTACCGCTTTCCGTACGTGTCCTTAGTCCTAGGTATCTAAGAGGATTTCCCCCGAGACCAGCCCATGTCGCAGTCGACTAACGCTAACCTATTGGTATAGGCAATGGCGAATTTATAGTCGTTATGGACGACCCGGGTCGCGAGAACGAAGGAGACTTGATCATAGCTGCTGATAGCATAACAACTGAGCAAATGGCTTTCATGGTTCGACACACGTCCGGCTTGATCTGCGCGCCTATCACACACGCCCTTACAGAATCCCTCAAGCTACCGCAAATGGTAGAAAACAGCGAAGACCCTCGCGGAACCGCCTACACAATCTCCATCGATGCTGCCGATCCTTCCGTTACCACCGGCATCAGCGCCCATGACCGTGCCCTAACAGTCCGACACCTCGCAGACCCCAAATCTACCGTCGCCAGCTTTCGACGCCCAGGCCACGTGTTTCCCCTGCGCGCACGTCCAGGTGGTGTCAGGGCTCGGAGAGGGCATACCGAAGCTGGCGTGGACTTTTGTAGACTGGCGGGTAAGCCGGAGGTCGCGGCGATCTGCGAGATAGTCGAAGATGGGGACGAGGTCACCGGAAGAGCCGTGCGGGAAGGCCCGGGAATGATGAGGGGTGAGGGATGTATCGCATTCGCGAGGAGATGGGGACTCAAGGTCTGCACAATCGAGGATCTTGTCGACTACATAGAAAAGACCGAAGGTAAACTTGGCGCCAATGGGAGCTCATAGTTCCTTACTGAGGTATAAACATAAAAAAAGGATTTTGCATATAGATGGACATGAGAGCATCTCCCATAAGACTACCCGAAGTGGTCGGGGATGCGCATGTGTCTATTGGAGAGATAAGGACATAACTGATGAAGTAGATGGAGATACTTTACTTGGATCATATGGGGCTTATAGAGAAAATATTGGCGGTATCGAAGTCACAACTTTGAATACTAATTATACCTACATTGGATCGGATATCGAAGCTAAAATAAAATACTCCCAGATGTATAAATTTTTGGATGACTCTTACATAGGAGGTAGGTATATGGTCCGGTGTGATCTATAGCAAGTTAAATAGCTTTATTTTCACTGGTATTTCAACTCAAATTTGGAGTACAAGTTCATATCTTACCTTTATCTCGGCAGTATGATAAAGCTATAGACTATTTATAAAGACCAATACTCATAGCTACCTAGGTACCTATTTAGACCGAAGAAGTAAGGTAGGTAGGTATAAATTACGAATTGTCAGAAATTATGTACACTCTCGCTGTAATATTAGTATGCGGGTATACAATCCAAGTCACCTACCGGGGCCCGTGTTATTCCCGCTGTTCCCTTTGAAAATGTAACGTATCCGGGGACAAATGGTGCAATGCCGACGTCGGCTGCCTCTGCCGTTGACGGTGCCCAGCCGGTGCCGGCTAAGGCTAGGCACCGACTTCTTTTTGCTTTGCTTTGCTTGCTTACAAGAGGTACCTACCTTAATGTAATCTATCTCGTAGCACATAAACCAATAGTTACTATTTCTTACATGCATTAGACATTACGTTGGAATTTATTGGTGGTTTTTTAAATGCTGTTATTGGGCAATCCAATCGTCCTAGATGTTCGACAGAATCGTAAAGCCCCTCAAATGGTTTTACCATGAGTTCGGCATCGCCGCGATCCACGAGACCGGTCGGAATGCCTACCTTATTATCTTGGCGCGGACGTGCCGTATGTTTGCGTACGGGACCAATGCACTGATTTTAGGTAATTTTTTTCTACCTGTTAAACCTGTGAAAGTGTAATGGTCCGGTTGTTTTAATAATATTTATAGCCATCTTCTTCTCCGCCTTGGGGATATCGGATCATCAAATCGGCCTGTTCATGACGTTTACGCTGGTGGGAGATGTTATCCTCGGAACGTTTCTTACGCTCGTCGCAGACCGTGTCGGGAGACGAAAGGTCTTGCTCGGTGGCTCTGTACTGATGATAATGAGCGGTCTCATCTTTGCTATCTTTGAAAATTTCTGGATTTTGCTCTTCGCTGCAATTGTCGGTGTTATTAGTATTACCGGCGGAGACTTTGGACCATTCCGAAGCATCGAAGAGTTAGTCGAGTTCTCTTTGAAAAATGATATGAGGTTTATAACTTCTAACAATTACCTAGGTCTATAATATCGCAGCTCACTACCCCTTCGACAAGAGCAGATGTATTGTCGTGGCATGTCACCACGGCACTATTTGGCTCGTCGTTGGGAAGTGAATTGTCAGGAAGAGTCCTCCGCTACCTGCAGAGTAAGGATAATTGGACCGAAGTCGACTCATACCATGCCCTCTTTTGGATATATGCCGTAATGGGCGTTGTTAACCTTGTATTGGTCCTATTTCTAACAGATGCATGTGAACTACAGCCAGAGAAGGAAGCCTATACAGAGCTCACACAAGATGATAGCACAGATGACACTGACGTAGATGCGGGCCATTTTGAAGAGTCCTCAGAGGTGACTCCTACCCCTCGGGCATCTCGAAATTGGGTTATTCGGATCTTTAGGTGGCTATCGGATCAACTAGCCCAAATATCACCGTCAACCCGATCGGTGATGTATAAACTTTGGTTCCTGTTGGCTGTCGATTCACTTGCAGACGGAATGGTGCCGTACTCACTAACCAATTATTACATGGACGAAAAGTTTCATCCGGCCAAGTCAACCCTTGGCGATATTACTTCGTTCAGTTACTTCATGGGAGCAATCTCAGCGTCGTTCGCAGGTCCTCTAGCGCGGAAAATCGGGTTGATCAACACAATGGTGTTTACTCACACTCCATCCTCAGCCGCTGTGTTACTCTTCCCTTTTCCACCCTATCTTTGGATGACGGCAGGGCTTTTACTCGTCCGTGCAGGGTTAAATAATATGGACCAAGCACCACGGGCAGCTTTCATAGCAGCGGTGGTGAAGCCCGAGGAACGAACGGCAGTTATGGGCATCACGTCTACTATTAGAACTCTAGCCGCTACGACGGGGCCCACAGTCACCGGAATGTTGGCTTCGAGCGACCGATTTTGGATTGCATTCATTGTGGCAGGTAGCTGTCGCTTATCATATGACTTCGGCCTATATGCAATGTTCGTGAACATGAAACTTCACACGCATGAAAAGCCGGCCGACCTGTCTAATCAGCATGGCCCGAGACGAGTCCCTGACGAAGAGATGGAGTTAGAGAGTCTCGCTGACACGGATAGCGGAAGCGAAGAGACAGGTTCTGATTTCTCAGAACCGGAGACGGCTACTCTTCAAGTTCCTGACAATAGTAATCAGAGAATTCGAAGTAGAAGTCCACGCCGAGCAGAGATCTAGAGCTGATACTTTCGAAAGAGAGAAAAGTCTAGCTCAGGAACTGTCTCTATTGCTATTTATATTAAGCAGCCTCCCCAGTAGGCTTTGAACAGAAGATTCTATATAATAGTGCTCTCATATTATCAGTTATATCTTGTCTTTCAGCGCTCACTAAACTTCCCTCTAGGATAGAATTTTAGAAAATATAGAATTCAGAAATGCCAATCTAGCAATTCAAAGATGGGGGTATATAGGTAACTATCTATGCTAAGGGACATGAAGCTTGCTTGGGATCTATCTCCCGTATAGCCGACTTTTCTATGGGTATTCTAATAATAGCAAAGTTGGTTTTCAACCAACTAGGTAGGGATCGATTCGCTTAGAAGGCATTGTCCGAAGTATCAATCCATCCACTAGGCCGTGGGACAGAGAGGCTCCCATTGAATCTCTCAGAAACGAAATCCCGGATTGGCTCAAACTTCCGACACGTATGAACCGCATCCGTCTTCACGTATTCACTGCCGTACCCCTTGAAATACTTTAACGGGACGACAGCTGTACTGCCCCAACACATTATCGACTGGCGCAGTTGGTCCAAGCAGTGGTCTTGTAGAGTTAGCGGTGAGGAACTTATGAGGGGGTATGGGGGAACCACAAACCGGTGTAGACGGGTCCGTGAAGGGGGGTTTCCGGATAGACGTCGCGGTGTAAGGCTTGTCTGATTTGGTTCAGGCAATGCAGTTGATGGAACATATCAAACCTATTTTATTTATAGTTAGCATACGGAATTCAAAGTGCCTGTATATAGAAATGGGGCGAACAACTCACCCTGCCGTGTAGCCGCTCCTGTGGTGGTCCCAATACTCTGAGTATTCATCTCCCCATAATTCCTTCGCCTCGGTCTCAGAAATCGAGAAGTATCTTCCCCATAGGAGTTTCTTCCAAGCAGCATCGACATCTGCAGTTGTACCGATGTAAGATTTATCGCCGGGCTGAGCGACGAGGAACTCATCTCCATTTGGTGCAAAGTCCACGGGTAGCTTGAACTGGACTTGCTCAAGCTCAACAGAGCTGGGTGGTACTAATTGACGAGATATTAGACAATGGCCCTATGCGCATCATGTTTTCAGACAGCTTACAGAGCTTCTCTTCTTGGAACCCGGTTTCGTAGCTACCATTCGCAGGATTTTGGGATCTAAATTCGATGATAGCCAATGCAGAAATTATGCCCAGCAAGAACATCCCAAGAGCGATAAGAATTATGGAGAGAACTCCTTGACTAGTATCATCTCGCACACATTGTCGCCGTCTTCTATATCTCGGCTGCTGTCTCTTTGGTAAGAAATAGACCGACTCGCCCTTCTCATAGTCGTCCTCGAGTACTTCATATATCGGGGGTAAAGATGGAGCATGCATTGTCGCGAAATGGTTTAATCGAAAAAGAAACGAGCGAAATGAGAATGAAAAGAATGACGATTATTACAAAATATTATGAGAACACAAGGACCGGCCTTGTCACTATTTAGAATATACTGCCCTGCAGTTACTGAGAATTGAAGTTAAAATAAGAAAATGAGTAATAGTTCTACAGAGGGAAGAATCCGTTCTGAGTTTGTATTTTCCTAACGACCTTCTACCTTGGCACTGATACTGGGATATAGATAAGATAGAAGTGAAATGAGTCTTTAGAGGGCAAATGCGAAACCGTTCAAACGAAACGCCACCCTTTGTATGAGCTTCCGCTAAGATGTCGCGCTCTATCCTGGTGGGTTGGGGTTATTAACAACCCCTTCTTATTAGTACTAAACCAGATGAGGCACGCGTATCCATTCTTTCTTGGCTAGTTGAAACAAAGCTCAGAGGACTGAGGCTCTCGTGCTGAAGGTAAGGGTAGTTCGTCTCCTTGAGCTCCACAAAACCTGTTAGCCAACCATATTAATTGCCGTTTAGATTCTGTTAGAATACAAATCGTAATATATCATAATACATTGGAAAGGTAATATAATCCGGGAGCGAAAGAGTTTTAGGGCTACTAGTATGAGAGAACAGACCGAATAATAAATGCCAATGTTAAATGTTGATAACTATCGTAGAGAGCTGTGCCCTCGCCTTGCCAAGGATCCCGGCCAATTGGAAACATGGTATTATGACAGCTTGGACCCTCAAGACCTTGTTCAAAGGTTATCGTGTATCTTGAAGGTAAATATCCCTATAGCTTTACTGATATGAGTGTATAGAATATGAGAATAATGTTTCATCTCAATGTTCAACAGTGTAAGAGGAAGAATAATTTTCCCTATTCGAGATACATTTCACTCGGCTCAACATAGGCTATTAGTGCCTGGCTGCGATGAGGATGCGGCTGATCTTCCCTTCCATAGGAGACGAGACAGATTGCTAGGAAACCAGTTGATTTAGATAATGAGGTTATTATGGTATGCTAGTAGCTTAAGCCTATCCGTCTAGCGTTAGATCTTTTTATTCAAGGCCGTGAAGCTCGCCATCTATAACCAAATCCTCAGGTCCAGTATGATACTAGTATGCTGTCTGTTTTCGTTCTCTTACTTCTCAAGATTTTACTAGATAAATCCCCCTTTACCATAATTTAAGATGAAGTACTGACCTCACAGTTCCGGCGACGCTCGTCCTATCCGTAACTGTCGTGTCTATTAGGGACAGCCAGGCCAAGACAGTGGATCGTGTCTTGACTCGGTCACCCGCGGGGATAATTCATACGCCTGCCGAGAAGCGCCGTACTGATCAAGAAATCGTTGATGATCGACTAGAATGTTCCGGCCTGTGCATCAACTCAGAGCGGCGCAGATGATATCTACGTGCCTGCTGATAAAACGCCACACCAATGAAAAGATAATCGAGGAAGTCGAAAGGCTTTAAGAAGAGGCCAACTAGAATATTCTCGAATGCGTTTCGGCCCAGTCCTGTGCTGACGGAATTCATGTTCCTGCGGAAGATCTAATTTTGCTGCGCAACGTGATAGCCGTCGACCCCGAGACACGCCGAGTCGGCCCATTACCTCCTCATACGCCATTAAGCGCAGTAGGCGGGCTTACGAGACACCGGCGGTGTATAACAACATGGAAAATATGAGACTGGATGATAAAAAGGAAATATATTTACCCAACCTAGTTGTCTAATGGATAGTTATGGTTTATATTATTGCACTAAGGGTTCTCTGAACTAGAGTATCCATTCTGAAGGGAATTATTATAATAGCGTTAATTCATAAACATCCACGAGCAATATCTTGATTGACTAATTGTGTTGATAGTAGGTAGATGTGAATGTTTAATATAGGCATCAGGCACTTCGTAATTCGTATGTTGAAAGATGTTGGAGGATGTTTTAGGCAGTCTTAGTGTCGTAGTCAGAGCTGAAGCCTCGGCACGAAATAGCGAACCCACCTAATAGGTAGGTACCTACATAGTACCATTGAGGGTAGCTGCATGCGGGTACATTCTTTTTATTCCGGAGCTATATCAAATGGCGTCACCGTAGCTTTCTTGTACGACGTTAGTATGTAGGTACCTACCTACCTATATTAGAAGACTTGATGAGTAATTAAATCGCGGTAGGACTATTCCCCCGAATTACCTTCCAAAATACTCCGAAGTAGTAGCACCTGATATACCGGATAAGGTACCTAATGTACCTAGGTAGTGGGCTGCGTTCCCTTATTAAAACCACTGACGCACATCTCTTCTAACATCATTTACCACAAACCACTTTAACCCTTCAAGCGATCATGACGTCGACAGCTGCAGTTATTGGTAGTACAGGCCTTGTAGGCTCTCACATATTGACCACTCTTCTCGGCCTCGATGCCTTTAAGTCAGTTTATACCGTCTCTCGACGACACCCGAAAGCAGAGTCGCCCAAATTAGTCGCCGCCGTCGAGGCCGACACCACCAAATGGGCATCCAATCTTTCCTCCATTACGCCCCCGCCGTCTGTAGTTTTCTCCGCCTTGGGAACGACCAGAGCTCAAGCTGGCGGTATCGCAAACCAGTGGAAAATCGACCATGACCGTACGCTAGAACCCTTTATGCCCTTATGTAGATTCGGTTATAGTAGGCAGGACTAACAAAAGTTGCCAATTGCGCAGTTAACGTCGAACTCGCCAAAGCCGCACACTCCGCCGGAGTCAAAACGTTTATTTTCGTCTCGTCGGCCGGTACGCGCGGTCTCCTTGGCAGCTCTGCTCCCTACTCCAAGATGAAAGTCGGCGTCGAGGACTCGATCAAGTCTCTTGCCTTCGACCAAGCGATCATCCTACGACCGGGCCTGATTCTCGGGCAGCGCGAAGTCGAGCACACGGGTGGGCCACTGCTCAACACCATCGTTCGCGGCTTAGGAAAGATCACCCAAGGCGCGCAAGACTTCTGGGGTCAGGATGCGGAGGTTATCGGACGCGCTGCCGTTCGCGCTTCCGTGCTGGCCGCCGAAGGCAAGGCGCCGAGCAAATATTGGGTTCTGGAGTCATCTGACATCCTCAAGCTCGGACGAGACGAGTGGAAGGCTTAAGAAGGATGTATAGGATAGTTATACCTTTTGTTTTGGGACATGGAGTCTGGCGCATGGGCGATAGGGAGATTGGTTTGAAGAGATAGGAAGGAAGTTGAGAAATAATGCACTTATCACGAATGTTATTGCAACCAGGTATATCTGCGGCTCCGTATACTAAATTATTACAGCCAGTTTCTTGGTAAAAGAAAAATGCAATACTCTTGGCTTATCGTACTCCTGTCGTATAGCGTCTCATTGGGTGGTAATACGATGACCGCGGGGACTTCGATATAGTCTCCACAAGATCTCTCCTTTCTTGTCATAGTGTCACTCACGAATCAAAAGCACATGAGATGCCAAGTTATGATTAGCTAGATTCAATAACTAGATTCGATATTTCGTGCAGTTGTTTGATCCGCCACACACATAGTGGAGGATCTTGTTTGATCTTGCATGAAATCTCCACTACTATAGACTCGAAGGAATTAGTCTAGGACTTATGAGTTTTCCTAAATCATTATTATTCCACCTATGTCTATCATGTGGAAGACGTTGGTAACAGCTACTATGTACCTAATCAGCCTACATCATCTCCTTAGACAAGTCATGTTTCCCATTGGCGGTGAATTATTGAACTTGCAAACATCTTTGTTTGCTATCATTGAACTAAGGTAACTAGCGTTCTAAAATTATTACAACAATCAAGAATCATGAGCGAATAATGTATTGACTATATGGTCTTTGTCACCGAGTAACATATTCTCTTAGTCACGCTCATGAACTAAGGATCAAAGGCGTTTTTTCTTTCTTTCGTACATACGTAGCAATTACCCTCTGGGAAGAATATAAATATCCAAGTAGAGAACCGAAGAACTTGCCCTGGAATTCTTTCTTACTATAGCAATTATGGATACCAAAAAGACAAACAAGAGTTTCTGCAAGAGAGCCGGCAAAACGGTTAAACATGTTATATACATCTTAATCATCGGCACTGTTGGATTTGAGTTTTATTCGTCATGGACTGGTAGTTAAGGAGTATCGTTATGATCTTCGGCTACTAGAGTCTTTGATAAAGCTCCTGGAAAATTCCACTTCGGAGTTTTCTTCAATATACATAATTTCTATCACCACTAACCATGTACATCTATCTTTCCGTGCTAACTGTAGAGTTCGTAATGTTTGCCCTTCGGCCTGGGATTATTTAACAAGGAACCCCCTTTATGAATGTAGAACTGTTATTTTATGCGGACTAGAAGGCTCAGCAATAGCTTAGAAGTATTATATATCGTCTACTAAAGTAAATAATCTTTGCTGATTCTATTGTAAAGGGGTTGTTTATCTAGATCAAAATACGAGAAAATAATATCTCGACGATATAGAACTAACATCTCTACCCGACTTCGTCACTATAAAAGCCTATGACTTACAGTCTCTCCTTTAATTGTCACTTCTTCCCCATAAACGTCTCCACAATCCTCTGGAACGGGACTCTCTTCGGGCCCTCGAGAATCTCAAAGCTCTCCTTAACATGGCCCACGGGAATCTCCTCATCGCCCCTAACCAAGCCCGCCCACGCCTCGTCCGTGAACTGCTCAACGGGAATACCAATATCGCCCTGTCCGATCTTAACAAGCTCCGCCTGCTGCGAATGCAACTCGGTCTTCACGGCCGGCGGTAAAATCTCGATGACCCGGATATGCTGGCTGCCCTCGTCGTGGGAGAGCTGCGCGCGAATAGACCACAGCAGCGAGTGCAGCGCCGCTTTGGTCGCGCAGTAGTTGCCGCACCGCGGTAGCGGGACTAGGGCTAGCCCGGAGGTGACGGCGACTAGAGCCGCGGGTTTCGGCGCGCGCGCTTGCAGGTGCGGTAGCAGGTGCGTGATTAAATACAGATACGAAGTGTAGTTTGTGCCTAGCTCCTGTATCGTGCGGGGCAGGTCGATCTCCTTGGGCTTGGAGAAGTCCAGCGTGCGCTGGATGCCCGAGTTGAGGATCACGGCGTCGATGTCGGGGTACTTCTCGGTGATGCTATGCGCATCGGTTAGCGAGTTGGAATCAACGCGGTCCTGGTCTTATATCGGTAGGTTACTTACTCTTTGGCCCACGCCTCGATCTTGTCGAACTCGGTGATGTCGAATTGCGATCCCGCGGCCTTGTTAGACCCGTGCTTAGCTACGAATGCGTCGAGCCTTTCCTTCCGGCGACCGACGCCGATGACGAAGATGCCGTTGTCAATCATGCGCTCCGCCAGCGCCAGCCCGATTCCGGCTGTAGCGCCGACTAAGAGGACGTTCTTATACAGGAAGGTCATTTTCCTATCTTATTATTTTTCTAAATAGTAGAATCTAAATCAAGTAAGTGGTATCTAGGTATTGGAAGAGTTGATCTCTCCTACATACTAGATATCGATGATGATGGTGAAGTTCTCTCAGTCACCACTAGGAATAGTTACATGGTATATCCCGAGACCTAGAAAATCTATCTCCCCTCTACTTTATCTACTAAGCGCACATTTGCCTGACAAGCTAAAGTGGAATAGACGCGAATGTTACCTCATACCTCATATACTAAACAAAGCGCCTGTTCGGGAAATGCATACGGGACACACCTCAATGCCTCCTATTTCCACATGGTGTCATGGATTGCGCTTGATCTACCTAGGGTAAACCCCACAGCCAAGCTTCGAAATATTAATGATCTACCCCAATGGCATTCTATATCGGCAGCTTGTATTCAACCGTCATTGGCTATGTGATATAGCTAAGGTAGTGTAGTTCTTTAAGGTCGCTGTGCCAAGGCATCTCCCCTGTCAACCGAGACCCATCTTAATTCGGTAGTCGAAATGCCTTCACTACGAATAGGCATTGTAGGATTTCTCGATCTCAGATCTGTGTAACTTGAAATTATCATTATGAAACCATCTTATAGATATTCGTTCATAATTGGTATTTCAAGGTTAGAAATATCCGTGACTTTGAGTCGCTTTGTTTAAATTTCGATATTTCGATATTTCTAGTAACTTCGTTGAGGTTAAAAGTGCTTTAGAGGATAGGTAAGCTCAGATATTTTACTTATAGAAGATGGAGCATAGTCTTGATAAACAGTAGAATGCTTTGAAACGTGATTCAATTATCTTTTCGTGATTTTTTAATAGCCTGAATTGGAAGTACTTAGTATTAATCTCCTAGGTTAAGACGTTCCTAGTTGTTTTAACCCCTCGGTGAACCCACAGCGTTGCTATTTGAGGTTCAGCTCTTAAAATATATTGAAATATTTAGTAGGGTTTCCAGTTACCTGGACGCAATCTATCTCAGGGTCTCGCAGTAGGGAATTATCATCGTGGCTACGTGGCGGTTGCATTATACGCATGTCGTCGTTCTATCATGTCAAAATAGGGAGTTAATTACCTTGGTTTCCAACGTCAGTCCCTAGTCAGATCGTCTAAGCTTTTCGAGATCAATGCCTAGAGGATTATAATATTTCGAATACTATGTAGTTGGCTTTCGAATAGAGAGGTACGAGGCAAAATAAACTTATATATACGTCTGAGTAACTGGCCTCAATATAGTACTGCGAAAAGAACAATTTTTGATCGGTTACATAACCGAGCTTTCGCTATTTACAAGTTGGCAAAGCCAAATAACTTTTTGCCTTGGTCAATTGGTGACCTTTTCCCTGCCTTTACGCAATGCCGAAGAATGCGAGATCATCCTTCTGGTGAACAGGTACAGTGTGGCCAACGCCCGCGGCGCTGTATCCAACGAGCTGCGCTGTCGTGGCGGTGCCATCGCCGTAGATGGTCTGGGTGTATCCGCTCTGGGGAGTGTTGGCGGTGTCCTTGGAGGTGGTAAGACCCAAGACGTTGGACCATTGCTTAAGTGTCTCCTGGTCTGTTTATGAAATTAGCAGTTTTCGCTACGTGTTTCATAGGGTTAGAACGTACAGTTAGGGTATCGCAGGGTGCTGTCAGCGGTGCCGTGCCAGCTGCAGAATATTGGTTAGTTCAAGTAGTCTGAATTTGTTTTCTGACGGTTAGGATTCTTCTTACACTAGAACTCGGGGACGAGCACCGGTGTATCCTGGGTAGTAAGATCGCACGAGGTCACCCCATTGAGCAGCAGTCTTGGTGCTCTGTCCGTTGGCGCACTGATTGTTCCATCCCGGGGGGTCCTGAGTGGCAGTAGATCCGGGGACAGCGAAGCATCCGTCTGGCACACCGGAGTAGATGGATCCTGCCTTGAAAACATCGGGGTAGGCTCCGAGAAGGACGTTGGTCATCATGGCACCGGAACTGGTTCCAGTGACATATGTCCTGTTTGCGTCTCCACCGTATTTCTCTACGGCGTATTTTACCATGTTGGCAATGGTCTGACTGTCACCACCACCATCGTGCTTTAAGGCTATACGGTACGGATTCTGTTAGGAACTTTCTTATCATAGCGATAGATTGGTAGTATAGTAGGAAAAGAAAGGGAGTCGTACTAGCGTCGGAAGCGACATCGAAGCAGCCACCACCAGACTTAGAGTTGGGGTAGATCAAGATGAAACCGTACTGGTTAGCTAATGGCGCGTATTGGGACTCAGAGAAGTATCCCTGAGCTGAACCTTGGCAGTGGTGTACAGCTACGATAATAGGCGCCGGGGTCTTGAGGTTACTGGGCACATACGAGTACATGCCCAGCTTCGTGGGAGTACCGCTGAAGTCATTGACCTTAGTGAGGGATTGGCAACTGCCAAGAGCAACTATAGTTGCGAGTGTCGACAAGACCTTCATATTGCTGGTTATGTACAAGAGCCGGTATTAACTTAGATGTCCCAGTAGTTTCCCTCAAAGAATCACTTAACATCCGGTGGGCGATCCTCAAGGTAAATAAACATTTTGATTCCGTTCATCCTACCTAGGTCAGTCTTGTACACGTCTCATGTGACCACTGCCATTTCCCCGGATGTCTCCTTTGCATGTTCATCCCTTAGGCTAATCTACTAGTTGGTAAATTCATCGTGGCCTGCCTCATTCCGAATTCGGAAAGCGGATCGTTCGGTTAATCAGTAGGTAGCATTGCCCCTGCGGAGAAGTTGGGGAATAGGGATCCAAGTAGCAATCCTGACGCGTGTAAGGCCATTAATATTGAAACATATAAAGTCAAAACGCCGCGACGTTCTAGGTCAAGCCGTTCACACATAAATCTTCTCGGCTAAATACGAAATAATACGAAATAGCTGCTCCCAACGTAGCGTCCCGTCCGGGAGCCTCCAACTTGAATACTAATATTAGCTTACGAAAATAATAGACAACGTATTATTATATTCATTTACTCCACTCGGAAATAGTCTAATTCAGCCTCCATGATTATCTCATCTCATAGGATAAAGCGTTTCTTCTGGTTAGCATTGACAACGTAAATGTCTATTCAGGCCCCAGTCTAGGTCTCAAGTCTAGGTTCTCTTGAAGCCAATCTCTCCACTGTTGATCCTTCAGAATAGATCGAACTCTGGCCTCGAGCCATTCCGTGTTGCCCCAGAAACCCCATGAAGCCTGGAATCTCAACCAGTCAACTAGCGCAGTCTCCCAATGCCGAACAAATAGACTCCAGCCGTATTCCTGCTTCCGTCCTTCAGCGTCTTTAAAGCCATTGGTTAATTTTGAATGATAGTATGCAAGGAGCATTTCTTCGCCCTTGCTCATCGGGAGCTCATTGGGGATATTACTCTCTTCGTCTATAAGTAATTCTAACGGAACTGAACAAGTAAATAATTTAGCGAGATCGCAGGCACCTAACCCGAGACCGACATATTGAAAATCGAAAAATGCGACCCTATGACCGGGCTCAGTTGTAAACAAGTTCTCGGATTTGACGTCCCCATGGATGATGGTTTCATACTCTCGGCCACGTGGGATTAGAAAGTTAGCCACCATCTCGGAGATGGACTGTCCGCCCGGAGTGACTGGTGTACAGAGCGTAGACCACTCCGAATCCTCGTCTTCGGCAAGGGCAGCATATTCTGTACGGCGAGTGGCGAGATATGTATACCCTCCATTAAGCCATAACTTCTTCCCAGAGTCATCTCCATTCCGTCGTCTCTCGGCTTCTTCAAGAGGGGGTCGCAAGTATTCTTGCAGATTTCTGGACACCAATTTCCGACTGGCTCCGTGGAAATTAGAGAGCCAATCTAGTGCAGCATAGACCTGCTTCTCATTGAGTTCTGACCTCTTCTCCCCGGCAATGGGAAATTTAGGTCTCAGGTCAGACATGACTACAAGAAAAATGGGTTAATTCTCATTCATATCAGGAAGTACAAGGCGCATATAGGAAGTCATATGACGAGTCGTGCAGTAGGAACAATTTATAGAAAGCTGCAGATAAGTGAAAGTGTATTACGTACTTGTTGCTGTTAGACCTTGGAGCGTCTCAGCGCCAGGTTTCCCATGAGACTCTAGTGTCGTAGCAATACAGTGAGCTACGGCGGTGTCCTCCTCTAATAACGGGGCGACGGAGCTGTAAAAGTATTGCTCAACTCCATAACTCATTAGTTTTCGTAAATGGCCTTCATCTTTCAAATCCAGATTTCCCTGCGGGGGCGCGATGTATTTGAGGATCAGAGGAAATAGTTCTTCGCTCTTAATATTAGGAATGCCAGGACTACATATCCTTCGAAGTTCGGCCGCCGCTTCATCATTAGTAGCTCGAGCTTTGACCTCATATATGTATCCGTACCCTGCCCATAATGTTTGCATTTTCCTACACGAGACTAATTCAAGAGAGTGCCATGACAACATGATGGCAGCCACGCGCTCGGGCTCGATTTGATTCTGAACAACATGACGCATGGCTATAGCCTTGAAAGCTGAATAAATTTGGATTTATAAGTCTGATGATAGAGTTGTCGGTGAACTTAGATTTGGAAGACCCGTAAATATCGACTGTGCTTCTTTTCTTGCCGGGCCGGTAATATTGCTAACAGCTGCTGACTGGCGTATAAGCCACCTTAACCCCTTTTTACGTCTCTTTAGTTACACATTATATCGATAGGAATACAAATTCTATATATCATTAATATGTTACTTAATAAATAATGAATCCTTATGAGATTAAGAAGATTATAGTCATGCTAGAAGCCATTCCCTTGGTCCTATTCACATTAACTGTCCAGTAAGTGCCTCTTATAATGAAATCTTCACCCTTGGTTTATGTATCCTTAGTCTGCGACCATAACCATTTTGCTTTGAAACGCGGTAACCCGCCCATCCAAAAAATGAGGCCTACGGTTGCTATTGTGAGCGGTGCCGGGATCGCTATGGCTAACCAAGCTTCTTGTACAAGCACTATACTAAGAGCTTTGCCCGGTGTGTCTGTCTCTCGAGTCTGGACAAGGTTGGAGCCAAAGAAAGCCTATAAGATTAGCTTCTGCATGTCTTTCTTAATATTTCTAGTACGAGAACCTACCAGCACAATACTCGTAGGTAGGTAAAGGGTTGTCATAATAGTCAAAGCCTTGAGTAGCTAGAATCCTTTGCGGATTGCTTCAATACCTGGGCAATCTGATCGTTTGAGTTCGCCTGCTCTCTAGACAATTGGGTCAATAGCTGTGTTTGAATGCGCTAGATTTCATCGTGACGGAAATCCAGAATTTTCCCAAGCTATTGAATAGTTAGTGGTTCCTCATCGGTCATATAATCCTAGAGAATATCTTACAAGTCGAAGTGCCCCTTCTGAGCGCTGAAGAATTGCTTCTAGGGTCCGCTTATAGCCGACAAGCTCCTCCTCTAGAGCCTCTAATCACGTAAGGGTGTAAGTTCCAAGGATATGTTAGATAGTCAAGCGACATGTCTACAACGATTTTGACATCCGCGCACTATGCTAATATTGGAATCCAATACCCCCTTAGCTGTTATGATATCCTGGCGGTATCGCTCCAAACGCTGACAATCGGAGAAACTCACCGAGAATCTACTTTGGACCTCTATTCCGACTCTCGTGATATGCTTTGTTTTGCTAGAGACACTCTTAGTTATATGTCCGTGGAAATTGATATGGAAGCATACCAACTCTTTGCACGTGGATTGGATATGATCAATATAACTCCAGCCATGTGCGGGAGGCTGTGAAAAGAATAGACCCATGCAGATAGAGCGACTGTGTATGAGGATGACGTTCTTTTTCCAATTTTCTTTTTGGGTTATTCTAGTAGCTCTTCGATTTGAGGAGATGGCTGTATCAGCATCCAAGTTGAGATTGACGTTCCCGGCTTGGTCTTTTGTAGATCCCTGTATGTCTAAGTGACCAAGGACGGCCCTGGGCTCGGCCATTCTGTTGGAAAAATCTACAATATAACAGAATTCTATGCTAGTAGTCAGCAAAGAAAAACTGGTAGGTAGATAGTAGTTGTTCGGGGTGTCTATACCATCTGCCGTTGATGTCCCACCACGGCGCCAGCGGTATCCGGAGACCTCCCGACAATGGTCATCTTCTCGATACCCAAATGTTCTAATGAAGTCGACAAAGTATGAATGCGGTTTTCAGTCGATCATAAATAGTCTCAAACACGGCTGCAGTTACTGAAAGGCGACTCCACGTATTGTATTGGCGAATAATGCTAAACTATGTGAGGAGTAACTCAGGTTGGCATAGAGGCGCTCATAATCTTACATGAATAGCTCACCCTCATACTTTGCTAGATCCTATATTATTCAAATAATCTTAGTTGTAATATTAGGTAGATACGATTTCTGAAGGTGTACTAACTGGAATATCAATAGACGATGTTACTCCAGAAATCACGGTTGGTGAAACTAACAGTATCTTGTTAGCAGGAGCACTGAGTGATCTACGGAACCAGTTACTCGGGCTGATACGTTTGAGGCTTTGGCTAAACTCGATAAACTCAAGTTTATTTTATCTTTCTTTTCGAAAAGCCAGTCCGTTTCGTTGAACAGTCTCAGACGATCAAGATTACGATTATCAGGAAAAGCTGAGCCTTGCCACTTTGTGGATAGGACGTCGGCCTCAGGTACTGTCGCTGACATGACTGAGATGTGAAAGTTATACGTCCAGTTCAAAACGAATTGTTAGATTGCTCAACTTAGCTATATAGCCTTGCCTTATTATGATACATATTGCAGCCTACCTACCTACGTCCACTTTAATAGAACAACCTAGGCGTCAATTTCAAATTAATGGAAGCTTCAGAGCCTGCATGATGGAATATACCATGTGAGGTAGGCAATGCATAAAGTACCTAGGTACGTAGTATTTGGAGATAACAAAAGGATCCTACCTTTGGTACCTATTAGAGAAATTCTTACTTTGATGAACTAAGCGCCAAGATATCGGGCACCCTGGCACACAAGCCTGACTCTGAAGGGATCTCCCCAAGGATCGACACCCCTTCCCTAAAATCTGTCTTGGTATACCTATCAGCCTTGAGCCTCGCCTGCTTGCTCCCATCATCCTTCAGCTCTACATCGGCTTCCATGGACAACAACTCAGTGATAGAAATTCTGAACGGCAGATATGTAGATAGGAAGAAGCTAGATGAGGTTTTAAGCCGGCTATTCGAACAAGGCACATATCAAATCTACGTAAGCAGATTACGGACCCCATCCTCTCAGACCTTGCCTAACGAGACATGTTATTAAGCCAATCGACGACGGAGCGTCTTTACAACTTATTCTCCCTAGAAAACTCCGCCTGGTAAGACTAAGAAGAAAAGCCTGGGTTAGGTACCTATCACCCAACGTTCGCTAAATCATTATTCTAGGCAGAGAAAGAGGAGTTCCGACAATCGCCTCAGGCCGAGTAGGTAGTAAAACGATGACTAGCCTACGTCTTTCGCGAGAAATCTTCATCGATATAAAACGGGAGGTAGAAGCATCCAAGGCGATTGGCGGCTTAGCACACTTTGTCCCAAACAAAAGTTTTACGATGCTATTACGCAAATATGGAAAAGTCGAGGCTACGATCTTGTGAAGGACATGATCGCAGCAACCTACCGGGAGAATGATTTCTTGGTGGGGCGGCAACAACTAGAAGACATAATAATACCGGGCGGCCTGAAAGTGTATATTGCCTTCATATTAGCGGACGAGGAAAAACTACTACCTAAATTGGTAGCCTCTGGCCAAGGCCTATGGAAAGATGATATGATAGTTTTTCTCACTCGCCATTCGGACGTAGTGGTACCTTTGCCAGAAGCTCGACGGCGTATCCTTACCGAGAAACTGAGGCTTCTCAGTGCTCCAATCCTAAAAGAGAACAATTTTGGGCATTTTCACTCCTCGCAGCCCCTTCCATTCCTCGCAGTAGCAGCTGCCAGAGGTCGTGGCCAAAATAGTGACACGACTGAGGTCATGGTACCATATGAGCACGTTGAGTTTTCTTCTACAGAAAGTAGCCTCAAGGCTCTCATTGAGCAGACCCAGGAATCAGGGAATTGTGAGTCTTACTACAACAAGCCGATAAAACGCGTAAAGCTTGTCCGTAAGACGATGCAGTATAATAAGAGAGTAGAGATGGAATTTAGAATACTAAGGGGCTTGCCAAAACATGATAGCCTTTAGATTATTCTATTCCTATGGAACATACGAAGACGATCCTGAGACCTTGAAAACACTACATCTCCTATTTCCTTACTACGACATGACACTCGAAAGGTTTTTGAGAGGCGAGCTACTTGAGGAATGGGACGCGATTGACCTTATCAGTGCATATCACGGGCTCGTCGATGGACTCGCAGTATTCAGCGAGACCAAGTCGCCGAATCCGGAATCAGTTGTACCAGGTGTTGGTACGCATAACGACATCAAGCCTACGAACATTATGGTGGACACAGAGGCGAAGAAGCTGGTTTTGATCGATTTCGGCGAAGCTACAATCAAAACCATCACTACTAGTATTCAAGATCGCTCATCTGAGTTTAGAAACTCATACCTAGCTCCAGAAGCTCTGCTGTCTTCCACGCCTTCTAATGGGCCTAAAAGGGACATTTGGGCTATAGGTTGCATATTCGCCGAGATCATTGTGTGTTTGAGCTCCCCTGGTAGGGCACAGCAAGCCCTTAACTCCTTTAGAAACAACCGAACGCCGCCTAAAGGGAGTTACGACCTATTTTTTCATTTCCCAGACCAGAATGACCATCGAAAGCTCCATCCTCATGTGGACTCTACCTTTACGGGTTTATTAGGCGAGCCTTTGACCACTACACTTATCAAAAGCTGCATACCAGTCGCCCGGAAACTCCTGGAGGTTGACCCAAGTGAGCGACCTGACGCGAGGAAGGCCGCAGAGTTGCTCCAAGAGCTAGTATCACGGACCAGCAATAATACCATAGCAGGTGAATGCGGGAATTCCGTGAATATAAGACCCAGGCCATTTCCCGATAAAGCAGGGCCAGGAAAACAACCAAAGTGCGGGACATTTAATGAGCATTCTAGCACTCCCCCTTCGAGACACGACGCGTTGGACAAGAATATACCACTTCATATTAGAGTCGGTTAAGAAGCAGGCAAGCATTCTAGAACGGCGCGCTGGCGAGGGTCGGAACTTAGGATCCAGGCCGACTTTCTTTTCTGGACGTGCAAAAGCATTATGGAAACAATCACGGACCTACTGTATCTCTAGGTGGGCATCTATGGCATCTTCAAGTTTGATCTTATTCTACAACGATTCAGGTGATCGTAGGTCCGACTTGGCTGAAATCATATCTATCGTCGCGGCACGTATTCTAAAGGATGCTGAATATCAAGCACTCGACCATTACGCCACCTATTACTTCTGTGACAGCGCGGATAGTGTAGTCACAGATAAGTGTGCCTCTATAGCTTCCACTCTCTTGGTACAATTACTGAATCAATGCGGTGATTCTAGCCATTCAAGCGAGGTCGCGGAAGCTATCAACTCGGGCGAAACAGCTAGAATCATGAGCGTTTTTGCCGATATATACAGCAGGGTACCCAATTCAAAGGTTATTATTATCGTTTTAGATAGGTTAGGTCGGGGTAGCAGGAGCAGAGATGGGGAACCAGTCGTTGGTCAGACCGCGGACATGGTATGTTTGCTAGTCAAGTTGGTCCGCGACAATATCAAGAATAGTTCCGACAGTGCTCCGATAAAACTGTTTTTAAGTATCCCTTTCGCAAAATGGTATAAGAGGTTTAGAGAAGGATGGGGTGTAAACGCGATAGAGATGGTTCCAATGTGCAATCTAATGACGATAAATTCGGATTTGATGAAAGATTTTGGCAAAATAGCCCTCTACCTTGGTGGATGAGACTAAGTACCAAAGGAGGAGTAATATAACCACAACAACTACCTAGTTAGATAATGTCTAATCGGTCAGTTGAAATAACCTTCATCCAGTGTACCTTAGGTAGTTATCTGTCTATCAATCCAAAATAAGGGGTCGAACCTAGCTGGAAGGCCCTCTCTTATCTTACCCCTATTCGAAGCTAAACTCACTGTCTACATCACTCTCTGACGACGAAGAGTCAATATACGCTTCTGTAGCCTCACCATCGATATATTCCACTTTTTCATCTGGGGATAATCTGTTGAATTTGAAGTATCCAAGTCGTGAAAAGTACTCAACCCTTTGATGAAAGCCTGGCTCCTAGCGAGGATCTCATCAAAGTGCTCTGTTTTGATGACGATCGTATCGTTGTCGTCGATGATGTGGGAAGCATTCATTCTCACCTCCGGGATGAGACTATTCAGACGCCTTTTTTCCTCCTTTAAGCTAGCGCTTTGGTCTGATTTCCCTTCGACTTCTTCAGATCCTTCTTCAGATTCAGTAGTGTGCTTGCAATCTCGTTGACTTTACTTTCTCCTTCTTTCTGCTTTTCGACAAGTCTATCAAAGACTGCGAGGGCTGTAGCTTCCCTAAAAGCAAAATTGAATACGGCGCCCATCCACCAAGGTTGTGCCTCCTGTTCTTCACGATCATGAGTTGTAGCATTATAGTGGCGTTCCCACCAGGTGTGAACTTCTGGTTGAATCTCTACCTTTGGCTTCCTCGACCCACGCTCAGCAACTAGTTGCTTGACATTCTGTACAGTATATTGCCCATACTTTTGACGCTGCCGCTGAATTCAAATGTGGGTAGAACAGTTGAAGGTGGATTCTCTGAGCAACTGCACCGTCAAAGTCGAGGCTCCGGTTACTCGTTAAGATCATAATTCCAGGGTACCATTCAAGTTGACGAAGGAAAGCGCTGACAATGGCATTTCTCTCAAACGTGTCACTGCCTCGCTTAGCTAGATATGTATCGGCCTCGTCAAGCAAAATCACACAACCCCATCTCTGTCCCCGATCCAAAATCTCAGCTAGGTGTGTCTCAATCTGACTAACAGTACTACCCAGCTCTCCACTTGTAATGCGATACAAAGGCCGTTTTGTGAATGCCGCGAGAGCTTCGGCGGTAAAGGTCTTTCCAATTCCCGAAGGTCCTTGTAAATGTATAATAACGCCTGCCCCTTTACCTGGAACGCTGTCACTCTGGACGGATGTGTCCCTGGCTCTGAGGTGACTTCTCACCGTGGCGAGTAACGCTCTCTTATATCCCCTCGGTAGTTGTAGCTCGGTCCAAAGGCTCCTATCGAAGATGGCGTCCTGCATTGCAGAAATCTCAAAGTTTACCCATTTTCGCGCCGATAATACAAATCCTTTGACAATTCTAGGGAAGAGCATGTAGTTCTCTTTGCTCACTTCTACGCCGGAGGGGGGGCTTCTCAGAGTATCCAATAACGGCGGTCGTATGTTCTCTAGGCGGCTTTTGAAGATCTCGTATTCTAGTGAGTTATCATCATGAATCGTATCTGAGACACTAAACCCGTGGCATTCAGCAGAAACGCGCTCAGGAAGCTCTTCTACCTCTCGAGCATCACCTTGATAAATGACTAGCGAGGTTGAAGAATATGGGCGAAGAACATTCATAAAGTTTGTGATTTTTTTCAACTCTTTTTCGCTGGGGCCAAGCGACAGCCCAGGAGCCTCCAATCCTGCCTGGGACTGATCAATGATTACATCCGATCGATACTTAGCATTTGGTTAGCTTTCAAAGGTATACGGTGTTACGTATAAGAACACCAAGTAGTATTAACCTACCTCCGCCTTTCTTGACTTCTCATCAAGTCCAATTCCCTTCAAATGCTTGACCTCGCCTGCCCTCAACTTAGCATAACATTCGCCTTCCTTGGCTAAACGTACGATCCAATCATCACGCGTTTTCTCTGGGTGAAAATCTCTGCCGGGCTGACAATATTCATATGGGAAGATCTTTAGCTCATGGATATGTCGCTCGCCCTCCCAGCGAGGTATCGTGAAACAACTATCCTCAATGACTATTTTCTTCCCATCCGTATCAAGGTAAAATCCGCGAACATAAAAGGAAGATTCTTTTCCCTTCGACATTCCCTTGGGGAGACTTGTCAAGAGGTGCGGGTCAGTGGTTACGGATTCATTACCGTTGAGTAGTTCCCTACCACCTCCATACTGTGTAACTCTCCAAAGTCGGTGTATATCGGGAAAGGCCTCATCTGGCTCTCTCACGTAACAAACGTCGCCAATGTCGAATAGGAGCCATAGGTGCTCGAAAAGTAGTGTGGTGCGCTTGTGATTCCGGAGCTCATATCGAATTTTGAATAGGGGGCTCAGATACTCTTCAAACAGCACCATTAGTAGTGAAATCTGAGTTCTTTGGTTTTCATCTCGACCAGAAGGTTTGTAGTAATCTAGCTTTGAGTGACCATCCTCCCTGTCTAGGAAAGTAAGAATATCGGCATGGTACCGTATGAATAATTTGAACGGGTAAAGAAACACCAGCGACGCTATTGATAGATCTGGGGCATATGAGTATGCCTTTGGGCTGAAAGTTGTATTTGTAATATTTTCCAGAACTTCCAGCATGTATGGACACCGTATCCTGATCCGACTAGGTAAAACAGTGGTGCCAATTTGGCCGCTGCTGATGGGCGCGCCACCGACAAGTCGACTGACGCCTCTTTTCAACTGGCGCGAACTTTGTAGCACTTCAATGCAATGCACAGAGTCCCTCCTGTTAAAGAATTCTCCTGCTGTGTTATATACTTTGATAGATGGTTCGGGAGTCGAAAGCGCCTCGGGAGAAAGTTTATTGAGATTCTGCTGAATTATGGAAGGGGGTTGGGATATCGCTGGCGATCTTGTTAAGACTTCTTCGTCTTCATCGATTAGCTCATCCTCTACCACGAAATAATTATCGATTCGTTTGGTAATCTTTTTAAGTTGATGCTCTAGTTGCAATACCTTACGGTCAAGATTTCGGATTTCGGTCTTAGGAAGTAAGCCATCATATAGAGGTAGGTTATTAGATAGCAATCCATCGAACAGATTTTTGCGACGAACTATATTCGGAGCTTTAATCTCTGCACTTCCAAATTCCGGATAGGATGGGTTCATGCTGTGATTTTTTGGTGTATATGGCCTAATATAAATATGCGAAAAATATTGAACTGGGCTGAAAGGTTTAGGCTTAGGTAGGCTATGGGTTAGATATTTTTTCTATAGAATAGGTACCTACCTACCTACCTAATGTAAGCATGTAACTTGGAGGGGTAGGTAGGTACCTCATATGCCCGAATGCCTAAGTGTCCAAGTTTACGAGTGTTCTTATAGGATATTAAAAGTGTATAGAAGAACCTAATAAAGCCGCCATGTATTGCATAAGGGCTTACTAACTATGCATTATTACGAATAGGATACTATAAGTATATCGTGATAGTATCTTGCAATACGGCAATGTAGATTATATTTATATAAAAATAAGGCTAGCACCATCTTATTATAAGAATTAGAATATTATCTACGTGCTGTCACTTCATTTCCTACCCCTATTTTCCTTTACCCCTTACGACAAGGTATTATCCCAAATACTACCAATACTAACTCTACTCTCCCACCCTGCCTTCTGTCCATTATCGCTAATGACGCTGTATCCAATGCGCTTCTCCTCACCCTTCCTTAGCAGGAATCCGTTGTGATCGAAAGCGACGATGACATCGTCGGCATCCTTGTCTCCAACGCTGACCCAAGTCCAGATGCTAGTTCCCTTGTCGGCTCGGACCACGAACTCTTTAGCGCTGCTGTCGTACTCTACGCTTACGCCAGGATCAACTATAGCAGCTGAAGCTAACGGCGTAGGAGTGTAGTAATTGGTGTGCGTGAAAGTCTTCGTCGCCTCGCTGTTCGGTGGGGTTCCGGTAGCCGTTAAGTTGGCCACCAGCACGGCCTTACTGGCATCAAAAGACGGGTCTAATTTCAACTTGTTCATGTCTATTCGTGCAAGCAAAGTGGTGTTGAGCGGTCCGATAGTAAAGTCCACGTCTCCCGCCTTGATATCAGTTGTATCAACGTCGAGAACGCTGCCATCCCAACCAACCCAGCTAAGACTTGCCTTGCCCTTCGTCTCTTCCCAGAGGTCGCTCACTGCGTAAATTTCAAGGATGCCGGTGGTTACGTTCCAGAGGTTCGCGACGATGACAGATTGGTAGATGTCCTTGGCGGTATTGTGCAGGATCTTCCATCGGCCCTCGTACTCAATGCTCGACCATGTCGGCGCCTGCCAGATATCCTGAAGCTGCCAGTACAAGCTTCCGAGCTGGCGCTCGGGTCTTCCCGAACCGATACGGTAGAATTCGATCTGGCTCTTGTAGAAGTCGGCTTGGTAAATCTGCGTTGAGTGACACCAGGCGGAGAAATTGGCAATGGGATCTGTCTTCATTGGCGTGGGATAGTATGTCTCCACACCGTTAGTCATTTCAATCATACCTTGGGTCGCCCTCTCGAAATCACTAGTGTTAAGCCCACGGGGAGGTTGGTGGTGGTTCCGGAGCACGATGGTTGAACTGTTGTACCATAGATCTTCTTCATCCACAGCATTCTTCCACGAGTTAATGCTAGGCATACTGGTGAACCCGAATTCAGCTGCGAATCGACCAACAGGATAACTCGATGTGTTAAATCCCTGCCAGATATCGTAGTTGTAGTAGTCAGTGTTTCCGTAGATTTCCCCGGGCGTAGCATTCATATATCGCTCGATAATTGGCCTCGGGTTGCTGTGATTGAGAGACAAATATCCGGTATTCGCACTACTCGACATATAACTAATACTACGGGTGTTTCCGAAGACAGCGGGGACCAACGTGTCTAAGAATAACATCTCGAAGTCGTGCTTATAGTGATCGAGCTCATCTGGTGCAATTATTTGGAGAATAAGAATCATCAAGAGCAGGATCTCGTTATTACCGGCCCAGAGAGCTAGCGAAGGATGGTGGTTAACACGACGGACATTGTACACGGCTTCCACGCGAGCGTTCTCGAGGAAGTCCGGGTCAACGGGGTAAAGAGCATCGCCGTACTGGAACTCAGACCAGAGGAAGATGCCCATCTCGTCTGCAATGTCGTATATGAAATCAGGTAAATATGCGCCGCCCGCCCAGACACGAAGCATGTTCATATTTCCAGCGACTACCGCATTAAACATTGTCCGGATCTTCTCTGGAGTTACTCGGGGCCAGAAGGTATCTGGCGGGATGAAATTGCTACCCTTGGCGTAGAATGTTTGGCCGTTGACCTCGAAATGCCAGTGGGTACCTGGGGCCACTCCTTGGGCTATCTCCTCGTCCGTGACTTCGCCCATGTTCATAATGATCGTTCTAAATCCAGAGCGCTTCACTACTGAGGCCAGAGTCTTGCCCGACTCAGATACTACATCGACGGTAATATTGTAAAGGTTCTGCGCCCCCAGTCCGGTCGGCCACCATAACTTGTAGTCCTTGGCGTCCAGAACAACATTGCCAGTGATCACGTCTCTATGATTCTCCACGTCTGTCAGGTCACCGCTGCTAACCTCCTTTTGAGTAGCAAGGTCGAAGATCTTGTAGTTCATGGTCGCCCCTTCGGGCACGGTGCCGATTACATCAATGCTGGCGTTCAAGACCCAATTGGCATTCTGGTCAGGGGGAAGAAGGTTCAATTGACCCTCGCGATAGAGGTCGAATATCGAGTTGCGAACATGGACCTCCTCCTTTTGAAGTTGCACGATCCATGCCTTCTGCCAGATACCTGCCGGGGCGAATGCTGGGCCCCAATCCCAGCCGAAATCCGACTGCTCCTTTCGGATAAACTGGCGGTTCCCGAATTCAAACTCAATCTCAAGACCAATAGGAGGGCCTTCAGGCCAAGTAGGAGCCCCAGGTAGAGCAGCAAGCTCATTGGCGATTCTAGGAGCACTACCAAATTCAACAAGAAGCTCGGGAGAATCGGAACTACAGCCGGATAAAATATCGGTGACGTCGAAGAAGTATTGGCGGAACTGGTTATTTGTGTTCGCAACAGATTTGGAACAGAGGCTAATATTTGCAAATGTGTCGAGACCGTTAAACAACAAGAAAGTGCTCAGACCTTCCTCTTTCGATAATCCAGCGACTTGAGCAGTGTAGTTCCAGTCGGCCATGGCAACCCATCGTAGGTCGAAGTCGTTTAGCCCATGGTATGGGTCATCTATGATTTTCGCGGCAAAAAGGTCCAGGTGAGTCTGCGAAGGGACCTTACCAGGAACCGAGATATCCTTTTCGTCGTTCGTAAGAGTCCAATCTACGTCGGACAAGTCGACGATGTTCGCGGCAGCAGCCACAGCTGCCGATGCGATGAGGTGGGCGAAGCGCATGTCGTCCGGTGTCGTGTTTAGAACGAGCTAAGTAGTTGGCAGTGAGCTCTGAGGACATAAGCCATAACTGTAGGGAAACGCTTAGGCAGCATGGCCTTTATATACCTTTCAACCGAGGCTCGAATCCCACAATCCTGTCAAGACGGGCTCGGGAATCATAACGGGGACCGTGGACGTTCACTCCGCCACACCGATGACGAGTGTCATTGGTCCGAATACCAAGATGATGTAAATACGATACAACGTCAGCAACGATTGTTTGGATCCGCGGGTTCCAACCCGCATATTGACAGCTTGAGATCCCCACATCGCTTAGACGTACGATGAATTCAGGCAACTTTACATAATAATGAGTAACTACCTCCTAGGTAGTTGATAGATATGAACTTCCATAAATAATAATTGAGTCAACTGGTATAAGTTAACTCACGGTAGATATTAATATAAAAGAATACATGACGTGAAAGTTTATTTCGGAATTCATATAATAATCCCAGCTGGAGGAGGATTCGATCAAGGGTACGGGCCCATAACTACCCAACCTAGACCACCAATACTTAATGTTATGTATTTTATAGGTAGTTCCGACGTCCATTTACCCAAGAATCTCTACCAATGTCTCTACTTTGTTAGTGTCATGATTTCTAGTTCCGAAGATATATGTAAATAAACTACGGTCGAAGCTTTGTTGAATCTCATTGGCCGAGGTTGTTGAACCACTTTTGGCGGAGCACTTACCAACGTCTCCTTAAATCTCAACTCATCAACCGCAAGAGTACAAGAGTACGATCAAACCAATGAGATATTAAGCGATACTACACAGAAAGAATAACATAGTAACCGTCGATAACTAAGCGGGAGTAGAGAAACTGAAGATAATTAGAAGTCACAAGAGTTTTCATATTAACAGGTAGTTATGCATGATCTAGTGTTTTATAGATCTTCTAATACTATAATTTAGACTGAACTAGTATTAGTTGGTGCATTTCCCATCTCCAAGATACTCTCAGCCAAACGCCATCTCCGTTCGAATACGCATTCGCCGGCAACTTATGCCGAATACGGGGAAACCTGCCTGCAGGACAAAACCCGTAAAATATTCACAAATCCGAAAAACAATTCGTTTTCCAACATTAACATTGACATATCCAAGCCTCGTGTATTCCCTCCTCCTCGTAAATATTTCTGACGCCAAGTTATATTGTGGATATAGTTGTAGTGTCGAAGTTGCTGTTCCTGCTAGGTTCTAGTGGGTATTAGATCTCGGTCAAGATCCTCTCTGTGGTACGAGCGGTGGTTGGTTGGTTAGTTGGTTAGTTGTGTGGCACAGCGATCTCCAGTATCGCATTCCGAGGCCCCGAAGCTGTGAAGCCAATGCGTGATAGTAGTTGCGCACGTGCCATATTATAAACGAGAATTCACCCAGCTTGGCGGTGCGTAGGTAGTTAAATTAGAGTTTATGTTCCTTTCGTGCCCTCGGGATGCGATGCCAATGCTAAGGTTTCGTTGGGGTATAAGTTGGAATTGGGTCCGATTCTCTTCAACATTATTTGGTGATTTTGCTTACGCCTCATATGACGTAGGCCAACTAGAACAGCTGGCGTTCACATTGGTAAGGAATTTCCTAACGTCAATGGGCAATTAATTCTTTTTTGTCGCTAAGTCGTCTTCGAATGTCCGGTAGATAGTTAGTATTCGCTTGGATTTAATATGGCGGTTCTGGTGGCGAAACCAATTCAAGGTTGGTATGTTTTGTGTTCCTGTCAGTTTCGCGACTTATTCTCCTAGTAAATGTCGAAGTTGTGGGTATGATTTGGTCGTGTGTGGTTAGAGGGGCGGAAACCTGGCGAATATCGCTAGGATTCATCTAAAAATAATATGATGAGGGTGAGCTACTCCTTTCCATGTCATCTTACGGAGATGGGGAGCGGCTTGCAATGACGCTCCATAGTGGCGCTCCGTGAGTCCATTTGGTAGTAGTCTTCAAAGCCAAGTCCGATATTAGGGGTGATTCAATCGGGAATGATGTGAATGGTATTGAAAATCCCGGGTTGGAGTTACTTGAGAGGTTGTTTCGTTCAGATCCAAGGATTTTAAGTACCTTGGGGTTAGTCCAGCGGTTTTCGAAGTTACGGTCCTCCATAAAATGGTCAAGGAGGTCGTCAAGGCTCTCTTGAGTCATTCGCGGTACTCCTTGGAACTTTTCGAACTTCTTAAGTGTCGACGATGGAACCACATATGCATTGCGAGTATAGACCCATGATGTTTTCGGCTTTGGTAGATGGCATCCTCCCTCAAGTTGAAGGAAGTCGCGTCGATTATCGGGCCTTACTGAGCCCTTAAATGCACGGAAGTCATGAAGGTCTTTTCTGCGGTGGCGTAACTGTTTCCATGGCGGAAGGTAATCGTTTTCTGGTCCAGAGTTATATGCCGAGATAGTAGTAACCAGGTAGTATCTTGAATCCTGAGAATGTTCCAAGACTACAAAAATTAGTAATAGAACTTATATCAACTATTTTAGAAGATTAGGTAGTGTACTTACTTATTACCGGGTGGTTTGTCGCCATTTGACTTAGGTATTTGGTCTTGATTAAGGTGTTATATGCCGTCTTGGAGAATTCGTAATGTGGCTTGAAGAACGCAATATCGCCATCTTGCCAGTTGTCGTTGTCGTTGTTTTTTTGATCGGGTGTAGTTCGTTTACGTTGTTTACGGGCATTCGATACTAGAGTGAACCCATCTGGGTCACATATACTTGTCTTAGACATAGTCATTATAGTGTATAGGGTTATTTTGAAAGGAAGTGGCTTTTTCTTTTTCTTTTTATAAAAAAAAAAGAAATCTCGGAGGGATGTCGGTGATCAATAATGTTTTATCGAAGGGTATTGGAGCAAATATCCAAGCTTTTGCAGCCAAAAGGTAGAAGTCAGGGATGTGTAGAAGATATGTAGGATGATGTAGAAAGAATATGAAAGTAGAGAGGTGTCTTCTGGAATAAGAGGACAGCTTGTTGGTGTGAGCAAAAGTTAGAAACGAAATTCGAATCTTTACTATTCTTTGGGGCGTCACACATTATGTTTAAATGGGGATTCTATGCCCATGTGTCATAATCTAGCATATGCTTTTGGCACTGCGCCAGTTCATAGCAAGAGTCGTTATTATAGTTACAGTAATAGTAATATCTAGATTTGATAAATGTGTGAGCTAGTGAAACCCACGCATGAGGCTTTGCATTGCGGTAAAGCATTAAGTAGTTTAAATTGAATACAACTACCTACCTCATATTATACTTATCTTAGTACCGGTCAAGCTTTTTCTTTTTTACATCGGATGAAATAGGGTTTGATATACGTCAAAGCGCCTACGAAGCGCTATTGTGTTTTTATATCATTATATATTTTTAGTTGGCCTTTTAATATAAACATGTTACAATGTTCGCAAATGTTGCCGATGTGTAGTCACAACATCAAATTTACTGAGTAACAATCCTTTGTGACATAAATACTTGTCTAAGTAATCATTCTTAGTAAAAAACTATATCTTTATTTGCACTAAAGAATATTATAAAGATCACCTTCGCATATGCGAACAGGGATAAGCATAGGCCTCGTAGGTCTTCTTACTATTATGTCTGAAGGGTAAGAACCCAAATAAAATGTTATAGCGCTTATTGAAGACCTCTTTGCTAAAATACTCTTAACAAGCTATGTAAATTTATTCCTGTTAAATAATTGTATCTAATTCTTAAAATAGCTACTTAAGATTACATGAATGCCAGTCATACTTTATGGTGACTATGTTGAGCGCGTTAAAATAAGGTTAACAATATATCTTAACAAGTAACTAAGTTACTTGTTAACTAGGTAGTTAAGTTATTAAAAGTTCCCAGATATTCAATATATAACAAGTCGAACACGTAGTGTACCTGATTTTATATTTTTCTAGTACTAGATTAAGCTTTATAGCCGACCAATCAATATCAAAACTTTTATTCAAATAGGTAAGACATAATGAAACTATAAGTTCCATCCCATTGTTGTAACCTGTTATCGATAATATAAGGCTTATCTAATCTGTGACTTACATGTCAATCCCCCACTATGCGTTCAATTCTATCGACGTCCATGAGGAGCCATCATTTACTGAGCAAGCTTCATACATAATACCCCTTCTTCATATTGTTATATAGATCCGAGTTATGATTGTCAACTAGAATACCTAAGTGCAACTTTCCTATACGGTAGATACGGAATAATCAAGTTTTAATATACAAAGACAAGATATAGAAAATCCCCGCCGTCAATCTTAAACATCTTCATCCCGCATCAGAGACAACTACTTCCTGCAAACGCCAATTAGTGCAACATCATCCAATCAATTATAGTACTACCAATATCCCTTAAACCCACGTCAGAGATCGACGCCATGGTAGCCGAGGATCGTCCGCGGATTCTATACGCAGACTCGGGTCCGGAGCCCCCGTACCCGCTGCGCATGGAAGGCACCGTCATATCCGGCTTCGGCCGCGGGTCCAAAGAGCTCGGGATCCCAACAGCCAACCTTCCTGTCGACTCGGTCGCTACGCCTTGGATCGCCAGCGCAAAGTCAGGAGTATACTTCGGCTACGCCGCGCTAGCTCTACCGTCATCTCATCCCGACCGACAAGACGCCAGCGATGCCCAAAACCAAACCCACGAACCCCGCCATCGCTCTAACCCCCCGCTGCCGCCAACGCACCTCCCGCCTCTCACCCACCTCCTCCCACGACGACAACGTCCGTCAACACTTCTTCCACCACCGAAGAGGCGCCCAACTCCACTACCACTATCACTACCGATACCACCTCCTCTTCCGCACCGACGTCGCAAAAGCGCTGGCAGATCTACCCCATGGTAATGTCCATCGGCTACAACCCTTTCTACAAGAACTCGGTGCGCTCCGCCGAAGTGCACGTACTGCGCGAATTCGGCGCCGACTTCTATGACGCGCCTATGCGCCTGCTGATCCTCGCTTCGGCGCGAGGAGCGCGACTACGCCTCCCTCGATGCGCTTATCACCGACATCAACGTAGACTGCGAAGTAGCGCGCCAGAGCCTCGCGCGCCCCGCTTGGACCCCGCGCGAAGGCACTGCGGATGGCGTCACAGGCGAGTTTGATGGCTCTTGGCTCGTTAGGGAGTCATAGGGATAGACTACCTGCCTATGTATCGTATTGCTGGGATACTTATCTATCAACCTACGTATATATGATATATCCTGTTTTTCTTACTACTACTAGGCAATATATCATAAGCATGCGACATGGGTAATGCGATCAGGAGGGGCAAAGGGGGGGTAAGGGTGGTAAGGGAGGCGGATTACCCGAATTGTCCCGTCCCGAGGCATTCTCGTTGGAAATTCCCGGATATTCTCAGCCGCACGTGAGACGTGTTAGATGCGGTTCTTCTATACAAGACCAAGTATTGATCGAGTAACTTATTGGATGGGCGTTCAGTGCATAGAACAAAGATGTGCTGAATTTTTGGTATCTTAGAATAAGTCAATGAAATTCATGGTGGCTCGGTTGTAAAACCGATTTTGAAACCCATGCTCTATGCCGGTCTACCCTATGTTGAGCCCTGAGATAACATGCATTATGACCAGCTCCCTTCAAAGGGAGAAGAGCTCTTAAATACGAGCTCCATCCAAAACGCCACCCATGCTATATATAGTAGTCCCGTGAACTAGAAATGAACAAATCAAGAATGTGCATGCCTCTATACGTGTGCTCCAACTGGCCTATCTCTATACAGCCAATTGGTCCTGATTGCGGTAGTAACACGGTAAGAACTAGAATGGAGTTAGCAAATCTATCAATCCAGGTGGGCACAATAATGAAAAAAAAACTCACATTCATGACAATCAGCATTGGTATATCAAAAACATCGCGCTTGATAGTCCAGCAGAATGTGCAGTCGATTTTACCATCCTTTTCGAGTTTGGAGATCCCGTGTTCTCCATCTATCCGCGTGACCCTATTGCTCAGAATGCTACTGTTGCGCCGGTCCTTGTGAGTCGATTCGTCACTGCTTAAAGGCTCGCTCATTTCCTTCGTTCGATATTTGAGGAGTCGGCATTTTCTCGTGACATGGCCGCGACTATCGCCAAAGGCCAACTGAGCGAAATCTTCGTAGAATTGAACCACACTATCATCGTCCATAAACTCTGCAATGAAGGCCGGCTGTATCTTGCCTTCCGAGGCCTTGCCCAAGTCTGGTTGGGCTGTTCTTAGCCGCGGCGTAGTGTACTCGGACTTGCCTGTGCTACCGAGGCTACTCAACTCGGATCCCGACCGACCATTATTAACGTTCATGTTAGGTTCTTTTCCTAGCAGTATGTTTTTGGTCCATCCAGTCAGAGCAATGAATTCTTTGTTTACAGCCGCCACTTCTCCAGTTCTTCGGCAGACAATAGTTGGCGCGGAGCAATGACCCATGAAGTCTTCGTATTCGAATAAAGTCCGCTGTAGGCATTTTTCCATGAAAATAAGATCTTGCCGATTAAGATTCCTTGTGCATGCAATGAATGAGGGTCGGATACTAGCAAGAGACTTGGCAATGCGTAGAGTCTTATTGGCGGAAAACCTTCGCTGAACAAATGCGATCAGATTATGAAACCCAGTAAGATATGGATAGGGCTCAGTGACAGTGTCATAGATCGCAGATGGGTCGCGTTGTCGTTTGCCTAAAATAGACTGAGGCCCAAACCGGCCCGTGGAACCAGAGGACTTTGGTTTTGGTCGTGTAGGTTGAGCGATTGGTTGAGAGCTGGCAGGTGTATAGGTGCTTGCAGTTGGCGACTTATCGAATCCATAGCCTGTGGGTTGCGGGCTTGACGTATTGTCTGTGCTTGGACTCGCTAGACTATTTGGCGTCGGTCCGGCGGCCGCCACGGCGTACGCATGAGGCAAGCCATGCTGCAGATTACCCGGATATGTGCCGCCGTTGCTAGGATCAACGTTCATGAAGCCGTCGTTCATGCCATTCTCATATATATGATTATGATTATATTGATTGACCCCATTTCGATATACTGGCGTAGATCCGTAGTTAACATCCGTCCCGGGAGGATGAGCTATAGCGTCTCTGGGAGGAGCCTCCGCGGCCCCAGAAGACATATGGCCAAGCATCTCAAATTCAAGCGCGCCGTAATGGTTCCCAAAATTCAGGCCTTCGAGGTCAAAATTGAATATCGCGGGATTGCTGGGATCAAATAAGGCAGTTGAGAAGTTATGGCCCATCTCACTAGACACTTGAGGAACTTGCATAGAGCCTATCTGTGCTGCTCTTGATGTGTTCGGCGGCTGAAACCCAGGCGTTACCGGAGAATGCTGGTTAGCGAAAGACATGTTGTCGGAAAGTGATGATAGTTGGCCCTGAGTATTGCCATTGAATATAGAGTAGGTAGACGAGTTGGAAGCTTCCGAATAATACGGCGACGTTTCGGAATTTCCATTAGACAGGTGTCTCCCATTCGTGGGCTTTGTATGAACCGCCGGGTTGTAAGTCGGTCCTCAAAACCGGTCTTAAAGCCTCCGGAGGAGCATCGTGAAGATATTTGGCTTTCTTCCGGACCCCGTCTTGGCAGGCGTCCGCAAGACCGCGTTTTATGCACCTTTGGCATGGACGCTCATCTCCTACTAAAGTGTTAGCAAATCTACTCAGTCTAGCTTCATGGTGTCTCGACTCGATTCATGCTGAGACACATTGGCTGTAGCTCAACTGTGGGGTCGTTGAGACAGTTGGACTGCGATGCAGGCCTAGGCACATAGGCATAGGGCTGAGACTTACCGCATGTGAGATGGGCTCTCTGGCAAGCATAACACGCACGCCTCGCCTTCTTTCTTCTTGGACGGTGGGGGTCTTTAGGATCGTACTTCTTCTTGACCTCTCCTGAATGGTCGGCGCTGCCAGGCTCAGGCGACGTGTTTTGGTCAGTCATCTTAGCATCTTCGTCCTTGATACGTTGTTCCATGTCGTCGTACTCGTTCTCATTATCGGACAAGGCATCTGAGACCTCTGTCCCATTTGCCTCAACGTCTTCCGGCATCCTGTCTTAGTTATATAGAATAGCTCCTTTTCAGCTTTCCACGCGGATGAAAGGTATGGCAATGCAAGTCCCAGGATAGTCTGGCACAACCACACTGATTCAGAACAACAAATAGCTGAATTTTGCGAATCCCCGCAGGAGTAATCACAGTCAGAGCCAGGGGGGCCCTCTCAGAATTTCAATATCCCTATTTCAAGCACTAGTTCAGTCTTCCCACCGCCTCTTAGCTTCAACTTCAGCACAGACCCTCGGCTTGGATCGTGGTCCAGTAGCAATCGACTTTGGTGGCGTATGCAAGCCAATGAAGTTGCCCGAGAAGATGTTTATCGAAGCTGGAGGTAATGACGAGCTAAAGATACTGCGTGAGACGCTAGCTTAGGTATTATGGCGCTGTACGCTGCCGCGGTGCGACAGCCGTGTCTAGGGGCCAGTACCCCCCCCAAGAAGGCTTGCACAAGCACGGCGCAACGACAGGCCGCTCGTATTCAGCGTAGTCAAGCAAGGCGGACGCCAATGGGCTAGTTCCCCGTTCCCCGTTACAAAGAGGCGTTCCTTGTGCAACGGGGACAAGGCTTGCTGGGGGCCCCGTCGAGCGGGTCTATCCGTTCTGTTCGTACAGATCGCGGGGGGGGGGATTTATTTCGTTTGAACAAGAATTAGAACGGGCCGGGCTGCGCGGGGGGACAGGTCTTTGCTCATGGAGTCACGCGGCGACGGATAAGGCACTGGGGCGTCTGGCTGGGGTGGTATGCGGGATGGTCGACGGTGATGCAGCTAGCCGCAACTTCTGAGCTTGTTCGCATTTGGTACTGGGGCGCACAGAGTTTTTGTTTTGTCGTCGGCGATTCGGATATGAATAGAACACCTGAAGGGGGAGGGGGGGTAGAAAGGAGGGCGGAGATATGAAGAGGTAGCTTGAAGCAGGTTGTATGTATATATGTATGTATATGTGTGTATATGTGTAAGATATGTGTGGTATATATGCGTATGTATATGGATGTATGTATTTACTTTGGATCGGCGACCTATGTAACTAATGTACCATACGCAGGTAAGAAGGTAGGTAGGCTACTGCGTATGCGTTATTGCTGCGCGGCTTTGCGAGGGTGGTCGAGTATGGCGAGAGCTGCACAGGAGATTTGGTACGAATGCATCCAGCGACTCGATGATCGACGACGAACTGGGTGAACTGAGTGAACAGAACGGAGAGCTCTACCTAAGCGACCAGATCAAGCGAAAGCAGAGCGAGAATTAAAATAGCCGAAACGTAATATTGTAATGATACAATATTGACGAAGAAATGTCAGTAGTCGGAATTTTTCATATTCAAAGGTTGTAGCGCCAATCAATTGGTATCAAACGGCGGTGGCGCAAAAGTTAAAGAAGATGGAAGAGTGAGGTTAGTAAGAAGTTGATGTCGACACCAATGACCCAATGACACGGGCCTCGAAGCTTGGTGAGCCAGCAGACCTGAAAAAAAAATAGATAATAAAAAAAGAATTGACGATATCGGTCGGTAGAGTGGTAAGCCGAGAAAGAGGAAAGAGGGCAACCTTATTGGCTACTGCATTTCCGCATTCTCAAATTGTAGTCCCTCTGGTCCTTCAACCGAATTGCGGGGTTCATAAAATCATCTGAACTTTAATTCATTTTCATTTTGTCGATTTTGTTATTGAATTTATTTCTTCCCCTCTTTAGGCACACACTTTTAAATTCTTCATTTTTCTCTTTATCGCATGTAAGCCGAGTTAATTGTAGATGGAGAAAAAGCCGGTTTGCCGATATGGTAAGTGGATTTTCCTAGAGAGTCCCATAAGAGAACAAGAAAAGCATTTATCAGAAAGGAACAAAAAAGCGAAAAAGCCAAGCAAAGCTAGACCTAAAACTGCATGTCCTAATGCAGTAGATAGCCCCACAAGGCCTAATGGACCAGTCAGGCACGGACCAACCAACGCCAAGAATTGTTGCCAAGGATACGATTCGAACCACGCTACAAACTTGGATTACTAACTATAAAAAACGTGAGACCTTGCACGACATCATTTTTAGGTGTCCTTTCACCCACCCCAAGCCTGACGAGTCCCGGCAGGGCTCTTTACCGTTGATGCAGCGCTTCCCCAGACAAGCCAAATACCTGTATCTTGGCAGATCATGGTCTATCTAAGCATACCACCTTACTTATTTACATGTTGCTATGTAATAAGCGAAGTGTGAATGAATTGTTATCGCACCTAATACATGCTGTATTTGATGCATCTAAGATTGGATACCTTTAGGTATGTACCTCAGATATGTAGAGGATCAATAGGAGGCACTCAAGGAGGTACATAACATGCCTCATATATTAGTAGGTATACATGTATGTGGTATAGATGTACATTGTATGTGTTGCTATAACCTTACTCTCATCTCTTTGTTTCTTTCCTTACCGCAAGTATGTTATGTTATGTATGAGGTAGGTAGGTACTGTAAGTAGCTATTTGCCTCTTAAACAGGTAACCCAGACAGTTTTAGATATTCAATTGTACTTTCCTGTATACCTGTCTAACTCAGGGGTATATTAGGTACCTACATATACGAATTCCAAATTGGTATCAATTAAATGCCAGTAAGCACGAAGACACTTTCATACATGTATTTAGGTAGGTACTTCATTCTATATTCTCCATTCTCTTTTTTTTTAGCACAAGTTGCGAGTCGTCCAACCCTTCCACTACCCCTTTCTCCGTTCCGCTATTTCATCCCGGACGATACTCCCGTGCGCTCATTTCTTCCAGTTCTAGCAGGTGAGCACGCCGGCGTCTATCCTCTATTTCTTCCTACATACACGTATACTATCTCTGATATAAATCTACACGGGGCCACTATGAATGGACCATCGGTACGTACGTATAATCCAATAACAACAATAACAGCTCCAAATTGGCCCCCCTTTCGTCAGAAAGAATGGCGCTCTATACATGCATAGCGGTGGCTGAATATAACCAACGCAAGCGAGCGAGCTTTTGTCGAATCATGGCCTACTTCTCCGTTGTGCCGAGCCTGACTGGGAAGGAAGATGTACAATGCAATGCCGAATCATTGTCCCAGCCATGTTTATCATGGGTCAATCCATATGCACATGCAGTCAAAATTTGATAGGGACCAATCAGATTCCAACGGGACCAGTCGAAGCTTTCTCTTGGACGCGTCACTTGGGACGTGGAATCGATGGATGAATTGTTACATACAGAGATTCCTTCGTTCTTTGCAGATGCTCCAATGTTGTTGCTACGCTCGCTGCCCGCTAAATCCCAGTGAAATAGGAAGGTCACCATGCTGATCTAGACTTTCTGTCGCCCGCTGGGTCGTCCTCATCCTATCGCCAACCTTCCCGAATTCTCCGGGGTACCTGAAGATCTTCACTGCAAGAGACCTTCATCTTTCGTTATACCGCCACTCAAAGGGCAATATGTAGTGATCACCATCAGTGTGACCAAGGAAAGTCCACATCCGACTTCTAGATCATCCATTCGCGACTATTTCAACAAGCGGTTGCATGCAATATGTATTACTATCGCTTTACCCGTCATTATCACGATACAATAGCATTCATAGCCAAGATAGGTTGCCCACATATACGGAAACCCTATACAGCTTTACAGCTTCGATATAGTCTTGTCCATCTCAGATCGCTTACCCAACTCCATGTAGTCCACGGCGCCAACCGTCCGCTGCTGCAATGTCGTGCATTGCATGAATAGCGCGCTGTTGTTATTGCGGAATGCAACCTCATTGAAGGCTTGTTATTCCCTTTATACCCGTCGTGGATAGTAGATGCGGTCCTTCCACTAGTATAGTCGCATCTTTTTTTAACGCCGGCACTGCTTCCATCGTAGGATATCATAGGGCATATCAGCCCTGCTCTTGGCCAGATGGACTGGGGCGACACAGCATGTCAATCCTCTGGAGGATCATGCAATAGCACCGATCAGTTATACTTGAACTCCAAAAGCACGGCATTTGAGTAGCCCAAGAGCTGTGTTTACAGGCCGACCAGTTTATAATTAAAGTCACGTGTTTCACCTGCATACGACCCTCGCGCGTTGCAATATAATCTAGGCTACACGACTTAGAGAAGACAGGAAGCCATGGAAGAGGTAATGTAGGGACAGATTACTACCTAAGTGGCTAGTGTGCCTCTCAAAAATTTGTGGCAAGTGGCTAGAAAGCCAAAAGCTCATCAAGAATAACAATTCCCTGGGGAAGCAGCTGAACGGCTACAAGCTTCGTGTAACTTGGGAAGCGCTCTTCCAAATGCAGCCCGGCTCGAGACAGTAACAACGGTCCTAGACATGAACAACTCATGAAGACGTGGGCGTTCATTGCGTCTTGATATTGCAGTCACTCGTCGTGGTATTACACATGATGTCACGGTTCGAAGCATGCTGCACATGAGAATTGCGTTACCTATAATGAGGTGTTCTACAGTTCATCCCAACAAGTCACACAGAACTTTAACTTGGAAAAGTTGCTTCGGACATGCAAGATCACGATGGTCCGCAGGAATCTGACAAAGCGATTACAAAAGTATTGGGGGGAGACTTTCGACTACGTACCCTGTCTTTGTATCACGGCAGTATCATCGAAGTTTCCATCACGGACTCGCACTGGTAGTCTTCAACATCATGAGTTACGTTAGGCTGAAAGGCTTAGGCCCTACATATTCTTGGCGGTTTATAGACAGTGTTAATAACTAGTCTCTAGGTCAAACATGACCGCACAATTGTTTGTTATGGGCAACGTGCTGGATAACGTTCAATCATAACGGACGAGAGCCCCCCCAAAGGAGAAACTATTATGGCCTAGCCATGGTATAATCTATTCGGACTTCCGGACAGACAATACTAGGTCACTTCCAAACTATTCCAAGTTGGTATATTTGATGTACCTATGCAAATTCACTCTTAGTAACTCTGTGATTATAGTTATTTATACAGATACCCAGCATCCCCAAGGCCTAGCTAGGTAATACCGAGGGGCTTGGTTAGGAGAGAGGCGTTATATTTTCCACCTGCAGGTATGAGAGCGGCTAAAAGCAGGCAACCCGTCAATTTGGTAAGGCAATTTGGTACAGTGTCATATCTTGCGTAGAAGACACACTCATTAGCTCTCCTCGTACGTCGGTTGTGGGCATATATTGAAAACTTGATACGAGGTTACAAGGCCGCCGCTAAGGCCTCTGACAGTTAATCAATACATCTATCGCCAAGTGGTCGAAACAACAAGCACGTCTACAAAGCCACCAATAAGCTCACGCGTAGTAGGGCCCGACGGACTGGGAAGAATAGATGAGGAGAAGTATGTCCTACAGCTCGTACGCTCGGGTCGAAACATCATTATGTGGCGCTGCACATCGCAGACAAGAGGAGCCAATGACCTATCTTGCAAGAAATTTTGACATCATTCGATATGAAGTGGCGCTCGATAGCATCTAAGTCTAGAGCAACAAGAGATAAGAAGAATGTTGAATCGCCACGAGGAGTTGGGGAATTAGCGTATTCGGAAGGCTAGGTGCTACTTCCGACCGCGACGGCCATGAAATGATGCATTTGCAGCATCAATCGACGTGTCTCTCGGCACTCGTACTAGGATTCAGCTGTGGAATCATCTTTACGGCCGCAGGTGCAGGAGGCACTAGTGCAGGTCCTGCTTTTGCATCCCAGCTACATATGTCGTCTTCTCTCAACTACCGACTCGTAATCATCATTTCTATAGACCAAGCTTAGAAATAACCGCCGGAGCAGGTCGTATTTACGCATCAAAGGTAATACCCCAACGCGTTTAGAAGTACGAACTTGGGTTTCGAATGGCGCGATTTCTAGTTTCTCCCGAGATCTAGCTATGACCGCTCCTCCTTCGCTACATACCTACGTTCCTGGACTTCACAACAATCTTGTCTTAGTATGGAAGTAACTTGCGAACCGCAACTAGCCGTGTACTTGGCACATATTCAAACGGCTATAGGACGGCAAGATTCCTTTAGTTTTGTCAGACAGTGACAAATGGAACAGAATAGACAGTCTACTAACCAGGTTATTGATGTTTCCTCTTACTATCTCTTCGATATCACAAGGCTATCACAGTCAGGTTTAGATCTTAGGTTAAGTCTAGAACATCATGACGCACGGGTCGGCCCTTTATCGGATTCAGCTAAGGTATCTATTCTAGGCAGCTAGATGAAGCTGTAATGAATATGACGATGAGTGGCCGTTTGCAGGACCTTCAGCATTCAGCTAGCCGATTATCCTGCGTAATCACGCTTATTTCGCACTTTATTTCCACCTCTTGAGTATCGTACGAGTCACCTATTCAGTATACGCGGCAATGTAATCCAATCCCGGCTTCCAGCCTCATAATACCGTATTCGGGCTCGCCCGTGGCCAGTCAATACGATTCAAACACCGGCATCAGACGCGGGCATATCAAGCCACTTCTCGGTTCTCTCCTGATCTGCTACGCTCGCCTTGATCGATCTAGATTTCTGTCAACCGGCGAACCTGTCAGCAAAAGTTCAATCAATGTAGGATCAGCCGCAATGCAACTCTGTGGCTGGGGGGGCCGAGAGGGTACGCAAAACGCGGCAAGCAAAGCCAAAGCTTTAACGTGCGTTCCATCAGCCTCCTTTTCGGCGGCCCCCACCCTACATCATCGGTCTCGGTGTATAACGGGTTACTTTCCTAGAGGCCGAGTCCAAACGCTCCCGGTAGCCACACCGAGATCATCTTCATGCATGCTACCTTATCTTTTGTTTGACATTTCCTTTTCGACCGCAGAGCCTCATAATCCTACCCTTCTGACACACACGCCTCCCATGCCATGCAAAGCAGATCCCGCAGATAGCGCCTGATACAATAATTCGGAAAAGAGAACCGCGCCGTATGCTGGGTGCCAATACATATCGGCCGAAAACAGTGCGCGTACTAATTCGTCATTATTACCTCTTGCAATCATTAAATTTCTCCGTAGAGTATACACAGCTCATCTAATAGACCTAGACCACATTTCGTCCGTCTCATAACCCCCATCCCCCCCTTTCCTCTTCCCTACTTCATGTACCATATCCAATATATATGTCAATAAAATCAGCCCGCCTGCCAATGCGTATATGCAAAACGCTCATAGCTACAACTAATCTTATGCGCACGAGATAATGTTTGCGCTCCGGTTTCTCTAGGAGCCGAAAGAAACGCCACCGGATGCGGTATACCTGCGGCTAATCCTTCCTTCTCGGCTTCTCTCTCGCCCCCTTTAACCCGTTTGTGAAACCCGGCTTGACAGCATAGCTGAATTTAGCTGCTTACTTGCTTGTTTACCCTCCTTTTGGACTTATTACGCACCGTACTTGAATTTCCTCTGCATCGCTAGAAGGTATTGGTAAGCTGTTGTGGTTGGTAAGCCGTCTGTCTATAGATTACTCGGCCTTAGCTTAATTTGCCATTCCACAAAAAATGAGTAGAGATGCATGGAGATTAAGCAGACGGTTGAGATGCCGAGACCTAAAACACACACCGGTCCAGCCTCCCCAGACGCCAACCCCCACGCAAATGAAACAGTAAAAAAAAAGCAAAACCCGAGCAAAACAAATGACATGACCTAAGTTTGACCGCGATCGCCAATCAAAAACTCTCACTTAGATCCGAGAAGTCTGGCACGTCTGCATCGCAGTTGAAGTCCTTATCATATGCCTTGTCAGGCAGGATACCGGCAGCAAGGCCCTTCTTGTAGCTCCACTGAGGCGCGCTCTCAGTATCCCAAGTCCAGTACCACCAACCGTAGCCCTTCTCAAAGCTAGTCATTTGGGCCTCGGCGAACATCTTGAGGAACTTCTTGTACGAAGCCGAGTAGGAACCCGGATCGGCGTTGGCATCGTCGCACTTGCACGAGGTGTCTTTAGTTGGGCACTTCGGCGTTAGGGCCTCGGTCGACGCGTTGCCCGAGTCGTACGTGCCCGTCCATCGGTTCCCCCAGCCCACGTTTGTTAGGTACTTGGCGCAGTCAGTGTCGGCCTGCGACCACTCAGCGAACATGGTGGGGCCGAAGCCGGTGGATGTGTCCATGCTCTGCTGCGTCTGCTGCGTCCACCCGTCGCAGGCGTACTGCACCTTCTTCTGATGTGAGTAGACGATCTGGTCGTTGTTGAAGATGACATACTGGTGCACGTCAAGCACCAGCCCGTTCATACCCGGCAGCTTGCCTTGCCAGTTGCCTAGTCCCATGAAGCCATCTCCGAACACAACGTTGGCTTGTATTCCGTTCTTGCGTACGAGGTTGAACGCCTCTGATGTCCAGGAGATAACGGCGTCTGCGGAAAGGGACACCATGCGCGGCTCGTTTGCTAGGCCGTAGAACGTGATGATGTTCTTGTAGCGGTCCTGCGCGAAGAACTTGGTCAGACGATCGTGTACGTCGAGTGATCGCTGTGAATTTAGGTTGCCGTCGGTGCCGTTGAGCCAATTGACTACACCTTGTCTTCCACTGTGGTTCCAGCCATTCTGGCTACCTGGTAAGGCATGGAGGTCCAAGTTCACTCGTAGCCCGTACTTACGCGCCCACTCGATCGCACGCAGGAGATAACGCCACGAAGTGCGGAATACATATGGGTCATCATCGTACGTCTGCACGGCCCAGTAGCTGTAGGGGATTCGAACGTGATCTAAACCTGCGGCCTGTATTTCCTGGAAAGTTTGCTCCGTAACAAATGTGGCGTAGTGCTTTTCAAGAGTTGAAGCTGCTGTTTTGGGACCGAGATGCTTGCAGAGAGTCCACTCGTCAATGATGCCCAATCTACTGTCGTAGTTAAATAGCGAAGGCGTAATGAAGGGTTCGAGCGAGAGCCAGCCACCTAGATTAACACCGCGTGCTGGTGTTTTTGCGTAGTCCCCCCAGGACTTCTCAATAGCCGGGACCTTGTCGTTGGCAGACTTGGAGTCGTCCCAGTCCATGAAAAGTCCCATAACCGGCAGGTCACCCACTGTTTCGTTCGTATATGTTACGTTAAGGTCTGTCGTCTCATACCATGTGAAAGGGTCTAGATAAGTCCCCCGAGCAGCTGGAGGGACGCTATTTTGTGAGATATCGTCGAGATTAGACTTATGCGAGCCAGAGTCGTTGGCCTGATTCTTCTTGCTCACGACGACTGCTACCGCTATGATAATGATGAGTATCACAAGCGCGACGCCTGCTATGATCCCTATCGGAAATGTTAATAACATGTCTGGCACTAGGCCTTTTCAACCTACATCGTTTCTTCTTCCTGACGGTTCCTGGTATCTTCCATTGCATGCCCGCTTTCTCCTTTGCGATACTATCATAGCTATCATAACTGCTATGTTTACTCGCGGCGCCGCCCCTCATTCGCGAAGTTGCCCTCCCCTCCTCTACGATAGCTCCGCTAACTACTCTTCTGTCTTTTTTGCGATGTCTTCGTTCCTTGTTTCTTAGTATAACCTCTTCGTCCTCGGTGTCTATATCGCGATGTCGTCGCCGGTGTCGTCGATCCTCCACATCCTGAGATTCATATCCTCTTTCGCGAACTCTTTCCCCGTCTCGGTATCTCTTTCGCCGTCTTCCCTCCTAGTGATTCATACTCCCCTTCGGAATGCGCATGGTCGCCCCTCGAGCGCCGCGCTCTCCTAGGTGACTCGTATTCAATATCGACGGCCCTATACTCTTCCCGTCGGGGTCGGTCTCTTTTCGGTTTACGCTCCCGTTCTTTTGGCGGTTCCTCCGCAGGCTCGAGGGAGTTATGCTCATTCAATTGAGCAAGTGCGCCCATAGAAAGCCTTTGAGCCGTACCCCGTGATGTCCCCTCCGGACCTGATGTAGGCCTCTTTGAGCCATGTTCTCTAGACCTCCGTTTCTTATGTCGTTTATGATGCGCCTCGGAATCCCTACGCCGATGACCATCCGATTCCACTTCGTCATGCGCCATGGGTATAAGGAATGAGAAAATTAAGACTACAATATAGATGATATAGTATACATTCACAGACACGTAAGGAGTATCTCAATCTTTAAGGTAGATAGATATGCAGGCCCTTTGCGGAAAGTATCTGCATTAATTTATCGATTGCGTCAAGTTCCTTGGAATAAACCGTTTAAGCTTGCGTGGCCAAGAGTTTCGTGTAACTCAAAGGTGAATCTATGGTTGACCGGGCAACTATCTCTTCCAAGTTATTAATCCTTGTAAAAGTTGGGAAATACGAGAGATGCTGTCTCCAATTGCGGATAAGGCCAAGACTTTCCGACACCCAGGAGACTGGGCCATGACGGTAGGTACGTGGGTACAAAACATATAGCTAAGACCTACAGCGGGCTTAATGGTACAACTAGCGGGGCTTAGCTTAGGTACCTAAGGTACCTACCTAACGTTAGGTCTCGTGGGCTGCGTACTTCGTAGATTGTGGGGTTTTTTCAATTCGAGATTCCCTATGTAAACCGAATTGCCGCAACTAAGCGACGTTCGGTTCTCAACTTCTCCATGTGTATGACGGCCTTGGACGGCCTCGATTGACTTCACCGATTTCTTACATTCCACTTCTGCTTCTCAGAAGACTTTCGATCTATAGCTAGATATGAATCCGCACAGATAGCAAGTAGCACCGTAAAAATGAAGAGTTGTATTTCACTTCGTCCACTTGCGAAAGCATCTACACCTATCAATAGGCTGTATAAGTGCAGGCGACCGGCTGTATGCTCATCACGACGTCGAAACTACTCTACGCATCCACCGAATGCGCGACTCAACCTACCACCTGACTACTCGACAACGCCACTATTAGCACACAGCTCGCAGGCAGCACTTTCTAACCCAGAATTACCTCCTGAAGCTAGAAATGGTACGGCGAAACGTATGAACTTATTCCAAGCCATAAACGATGCCCTATCCATAGCGCTTGCCGAGGATGAGAACGTTCTGGTATTTGGCGAAGATGTATCCTTTGGTGGCGTATTCCGCTGCACGATGAAGCTTGCCGAGAATTTTGGAGGAGCTCGCGTCTTCAATACACCTCTGACAGAGCAAGGTATCATGGGATTTGGCATTGGGTTAGCTGCCGAGGGTATGCGACCCGTAGCGGAAATCCAGTTCGCAGACTACGTCTACCCTGCGTTCGACCAATTAGTAAATGAGGCCGCGAAATACAGATACCGCGAAGGAGGGACCGGAAGAAGTGCGGGCGGCCTGACGGTGCGGATGCCGTGCGGAGGCGTCGGTCACGGAGCACTGTACCATTCACAGTCACCCGAGAGCCTTTTCACTCATATTCCTGGTTTAAGAGTGATAATGCCGAGATCTCCGCTACAAGCCAAGGGACTATTGCTTTCTGCTATTAGGAGTAATGACCCTTGTGTTTTCCTGGAACCCAAAATCCTGTACCGAGCGGCTGTCGAACAAGTGCCTACAAATCCATATACCTTGCCCCTCTCCAAGGCAGAGATACTTAAGGAGGGCAAGGACGTTACTATTATCTCATACGGACAGCCGCTATACACTTGTAGTGCTGCGATTCAAAAAGCAGAGGAAGACTTAGGAATTTCGATAGAACTCATTGACCTTCGAACCGTATATCCTTGGGACAAAGAGTGCGTCTTCGAGAGCGTACGGAAGACGGGGAGATGTATGGTGGTGCACGAATCCATGGTAAACGCAGGAATAGGGGCCGAAGTGGCCGCGGCGATCCAGGAGGACCCAGACACGTTTATAAGACTCGAAGCTCCGGTGTCGCGAGTAGCAGGATGGAGTATATTCACCCCATTAATGTTTGAGAAGTTCAACATTCCCGACGTAGCTAGTAAGTTTTTGAAGCTGTCATTGTGTTTTTCCTATGGATGGCGCTAACCATGGTATAGGAATATATGACGGCATAAAGAAGCTGTTAGAATATTAAACAGTAGATGTTATACTTAAGACATGAGTATTCTGTAAATACCGTTATGCATATGAGTTGCGATCTAGTATATTTGAAATTTTGGGATGGGGGGGGAAAAGAAATAGTGTTAGGAAAGTCGATAAATCCATTAAGATGAGACCTTAAGTAAATACTTTAAGTTAGGTATATATACCTTATTACAGCTTAAGAATAAAGCTAGAATATTAAATCCCCAGATGTTGAAGCCTTCAGATGCTCAGAAGACAAGGGAGAAATTAACATAAAAGCAGATAATGAAAAAGAGTGCAGATTATGCAGTGTATTTTGTACTTGATGTACCTGAATATCTTATCGATAAATCCTATAGCCCCCACTTAGTTGCCCCGCGCTCCCTACGTTTCAATTAGTTTCAATAAGTCAAGACTAAATTGGGGCGACGGAGACGACAACGCTTGTGATATTTTTACTGATAATACCTTAATTAATCCCTTCTTCGGACTTGAACCTCTTCACAATAATACAGACCCAATATAGACCAAATATGGCTACTTCTTTAGAAACGGTCGAGTCTTTTGTAGAAGGTGCACCCCCTGGCGAGGTATGTTCTACAGCTACCTTTTATATAAGTCGGGCATCGCAAGCTGACTTACAGATACCGAACAGCTCGCAGATGTCATAAACGGTACGCTCGAACCCCTTATCTCTTCATCCAATCACGCTATACATATACAAACCTAATATTTAATCATAACTATAGATATCAAAGCTCTAACCTTCAACGAACCCGATATTGTCTCTAGACTAGGACCCGCCTTCGAGAGGTACAACGAGGAGCAGTTCGTCACCGCTAAGCTGCCTGGTAGCAGCCAACAAGTTATCATCAGCTCACATAGCTCCCTCGCGACGGACGATACTACGACGTTGAGAGCTCGTCAAGCTTCACCTTCGACCATGTCACCCAGAAAGCGAGCAACGTCCAGAGCTACGTGCTAGAAGGACCTCAAGCAGATTTAGTGTACGCATGGCCTCCCTAAGCTATAATAAATAGATAAAAAACGACTAGAAAGGCAATATGTCTATGAGTATTGGTATAGAGTGGCTGGCTGATAGGCAGCGTGCAGGAAGTCGACACTAAAAAGCGTCTCGTCATACGTTAAGGAGCACTTCCCGAACGGCTCGTATGGCGTGTACTCGATCGAGGGAGACTCTAAGGTCGCCATCATAATCGTAGCCAACAAGTATAGCCCGAACAACTACTGGTACGTAAACCCCTTTCCTCAACCTCCAAAACACCATCATTAGCAAAGCAATGCAAAACAAATTGCTCACCTATCCACAGGAACGGCCGCTGGCGCTCCCTCTACATCTTCGACCCTTCGAGCAGCAGCATCGAGGGCAGCGTCAAAGTCGACGTTCACTACTACGAAGACGGCAACGTACGTCTACTCACCAATAAGCCCATCACCGCATCCGTATCATCAGGCACCGGAGCCGGCATCGTAAAGGACATCAGCGCCGCCGAGCGCAAATATCAGGAAGAACTAAACAGGGGATTTACGAGCCTAAGCGAAGGCGCCTTCAAGGGCCTGCGGAGACAGTTGCCCGTCACGCGCCAGAAGATCGAGTGGGATAAGGTCGCGAGTTACCGTGTCGGACAGGACATTGGAGGGGCTGCTAGAAGATAGTAGTGGCTAGGAGGAAGGGGTGCTGCTAGATATTTTTGTTGGTGGTGTGATGTGGAATGGAATATTGGTCGACTTTGGGGAGGCCGTAGTGTTGTATTTACTTAGCTAGCCTGAGTAATTTAGCTTAGCATATGCTGAACAGGGACGTTTTGATGAATACGAAAGATTAGTAGAGTTTATGTCTCGAGTATTTGCCCAAGGGACTTGAAAGTTAGATGGAATCTATGTTGCATATTTTATTTCACCACTATAAGTGCTTAGGTTTCCGTATACACCTCTAGACCACCAGACACGAATGCATTTAACTGAGTAGAAAAGAGCTATCTATTTTACCACTAGAGAATACCAAAGTAGACTACAGTTACTACCATAGGTACACCTATTCTGAACTGCTGTACGTACAGAAGACATCAGCCGGTACCCCTCCCTCGTTGGCGCACGGTTGCCAGGTGCAGTTGTCATAGGAATCGCAAGGTAAGTTAAATATTGTAATAAATGCACAGTCCATCACCCCGGATCCGAAATCTCAAGGTCAAAGTGGCAATTGGCTTAGCGGTTTAGGTGATGAAAGGATAGAAATAACCCCTCAAAAGGTTTTTCATAGGACTTGTACTTCGGACTTCGCAGGATTACGAGGAGGTCAACTCGTTCAACTCAATGTTTATGAATGCGACAGAATGTGTATAATTCCGAACTTTTTTGGCCTTTTTTTTTCTCTTATTTTATTTCCCCTTTTATTTTATTTTTTTCTTTTGCTAATGTAATACCGTCGTATAAATTAAAACGATCTTATTCCCGCGCAATATAATCAAGACAACATAATTCTCCCCTCATCCTGCCCGATAGATTCATCTCGTGGTGTCGGTCCAGTAGTGACCCGCGGCATAAGCTCAACACCAGGGCCTCCGAGTGTTCGTGTGAACACGTACTCGTGCCCAACCCAATACGCAACGAAATATGCCAGCGCCGCCATCGCCGAAAATATCTCTGCCAACTCGACGCACTTCGATGTGCGGAACCACCATCCCAATGCGAAGACCTGTCCCGGGCGAAGAAACCAGAAAGGCGATATAGTGCAGGTATAAGGGGGGCCAAAGGGATTTCCGCGGCCCCCGCCAGCGATGGAGAACGTATAGGCTGCGTAGAACAATGTTCGGGAGCGGCAAGAGTAAAAGTCCTCCGATTCACCTCGGAGAAGCAGTGAGGCGGCCATAGTGAAGTATAGCGATAGCCCCATAAAACTTCCGAAAAACAAGATAATAGCCACCGGCCCATCTCTTTGGAAAAACCCTGACATGGATAACATGAAGTCGATCATCGTACGGGCGAAACACCAAAACAGACTGACGCCAAAGGACAAACGCCAGCGGCGGGAGCTAGGAGGTGTCTCCATTAAGAATAGACAGAGCGGGAAGAAACTGGTGAACGCTTAGGAATGATTCTAAAAGGGTGACGGGATACCTAGTTTAGAGAGAGCTTCTTGGTAGACATACATCATATCTAATAATCTAACCGCGATTTCGTATTTTCGGATGTCCTCGTTAGAATCATCGTATGCGGTAATCCAAAAGACTCTAGTTAATATGAAAGAGAGGGCTGATAGAACGCCGAACCTAGGAGAATGAGTTGAATAAGGGTGTCACATATCGTGATGAATTTTGTAGGTTAGGTAGTTACCATTGCGCATAGACAGCTATAGACTTGCTCAGTAACGAGCCGTGATATATCTACATATTGCTTAATCAAAACTTACTAGCATTCCGTAACGCAAGATCTCTCCTGATGTTGAAAATTATATTCATCTTGTGCGGATAAAATAGATCAAGTCTTACTGCCTTCGGATGAATATAAAGTTGTATTTTCGATGAGAAAGAAACTGAGGTTGGAGATGAAGATTGCGAAAGTCTTCTCTTCTCATACTATGTGACATGTCGACCTAGTCCAAGGATCAGCATCCATCCAGCATCAAATGAAACCCCACCGTACCGAATAAGTTAGATACCCATAAGTCAGATATGTAGCTGAACACAAGCGCCGATTCAACGTGAGTGGCTTTAAGACATTACGGCCTATAGGAAGGCGTTTCATGTAGGAACAATATAAATAGATCAGATACCTACCTACATATATTGTATATCAAAAATAGTAGTGGGGGCTCTTAAGATCTACTTCTTCAAGTACCTTGCGATATTCAAATCAGATACTACTATCAACATTATATCATTTATGGAGGCAGGATAGAAGAGTATCATCTCGATAAACATTCATGTCGAGTGCAATACGATGGCAAACCAGCAGATTTACCAACCCCTTCCGGCAGGGTCTATACGTTTATTATCAATCGTCCCGGGGTTTGCATCTGAGGCGATCAACTGTAGTCTAGTCATAGTCGCCGACGTAGAACAGGCGCCGACATTTGACGCGATATCATACGTTTGGGGTACCGAGCTATCCGAAGAACCCATCATGTGCAATGGCCAGAGGATGACAGTTACGAAAAACTTGATTGAGGCCATGAGATATCTCCGTCCGCTTCCACGCTGGGACTCGGTCATCACTTGGCCAGAAAATCACCCTCTTCATTCGAGTCGCAACGTTTGGCGCGAATTCGCCTCTAATCGGCAAGAAGAGCGAGGGCATTCCGACTTTCAGCAGGTGAGGCCATCTTGTTCTGACTGGGAATTAATGACGTTCGAATCGTAACAATCTGACATAGGAAAGGCCCATCTGGATCGACGCGCTCTGCATCAACCAAAAGGATAATGCTGAGAAGTCGCTACATGTGAAGTCGATAGACAGGGTCTATGCCAACGCCCATACGGTCAAGATATGGCTAGGTAAATTACCAAATACCGCATATCCGACTAATCGGCCACCTCCGGAATTGCAACTACTAACAGGGGTACCCGTATTCTTAACACAACGGAGCAAGCCCATCGGTCAGCGCGGGAAGATGCCGGTCGTCCTCACGATGATCGCACAAGCGTTGAGGAACGTCCAGGCCGGAGAGATTTACCCTACGGCATCAAAATCTGCTGCAGATGCCGTCTACCGGAATTTAGTACACGGGTTTCCTAACGCGTCGGCTGAAGATTGGCAGTACCTCCGCGAGTTCTTCGACAATCTATGGTTCCAACGTGTTTGGATTGTGCAGGAAGTTGTTCTTGCTCCACGGGCGATAGCTATCTTAGGAGACTGGGAGGTTCAATGGACAGCCTTGGGGCAAGCGGCCACGTGGTTTCAGACGCACGGCTTTGCGTTGCCTACTAACGTTGAATTTAAGGGAGAGCTAGGAGACCTTCTGCCAATATCCGAAGTAGCCGCGATGTGGCATATGCATATGACACCGGGGAAGAGACGGCCCTTACTTCAGATGCTACGAGACCTTCGAGGGAGGAAATCAACTCTCAAAGAAGACAAGGTATATGCAACCTACAGTTTAGCAGAAGAGACTGCAAATACAGACAGGCTTGACCCGCTAATCGAACCGGTCTACGGTAATCCCATCAATGAAGTTTACCAGAACGTGATTCGCTTCCTCCTGATAGAACACGGGGAACTTTCGGCATTATCTCATGCCGGTGGAATCCAAGGGCTAAAAACCACAGCGTGGCCATCTTGGGTACCAGACTGGAGTCAGCCAAAAGCATGCGTTGAGTTGGTTAGCCATAACCAGGATAATCCACCATATAACGCAAACAGTAATGAACATCTGACTATTGGTGATTCTACCGACCCAGGATGTCTTTCCGTCAGGGGAATTAGGGTTCCCCTGGGTGGAATAAGAGTGTACGGGGATAAACTTGTAAGCTACGGATTCCGACACAGGACATATAAGGAAGAGCGTGATTTTGTTGGAGCGGCCTGGAGTTTGATAGCACCTTGGGCCGACAATGTGAATAGCCAGGAAGAGAGGAGGCCAGATATGTATCAGCCAAAGAATATACCGCGCACATTTATTTCAACGCTCACGGCAGGCCTCAGCGATACGAAACAGCCGATCAACGAGGATCCTGACTTCCTCGATGATGCAGCACAATGGCTACTTCAGCAGTTCGGGAAGCGAATACCAGTTTCAGGAATTGGCCAAAAATGGAAGTGGTCAGATACTCTTTGGAAGTCTTCGAGTTCAATCCGGTTCCACGAAGCCTTTGCAAGGGTTTGCTTGCATAGACGGTTTTTCGTCACGGCAGGAAATTTGATGGGGATAGGTCCCGAAACAATAGAAAGGGATGATATGGTCGTGATCCTATTTGGTGGTAAAGTGCCTTATGTAATTCGGGAGCTCGGTGAGGGCAAATATTCTTTCATCGGAGAGTGTTATGTCCCCGGGTTGATGGCCGGGGAGGCTGTTGAGCAATGGAAAGACGAGCGAGAGCCAGGCAGAGTTTTTCAATCTTGTGTAGGTAGGGAACTTTTTTGCAGCTCGTTCGATGCTCTTGGTAACCCCCGCTCTTCGTATTCGTTCAAGTAAGCCAGCTCGGATTCCACGATGTGGTATCCCGAGTCTGTCGAGAAGGATCGATTTCACCGCTTAGAAATACTTACCTTAACACATCGTCTCTATAGATGAGAGGTCTCTTCTAGTAAAATATGCGGAACTTCTCTGGGGTGTTTTGCTCAAAGGGTGAGAGAGGTACCTAGTATACCTAAGGTAAGACAACTACCCCGGTATGCTTATAACTGACAGGTCATAGCTACCTATATAGTACCAAATGTGATACAAGATATATGTATGCCATCATTCAGCATGAATAAGATCCGACGGAAGCCTCGGATTTGGACCTTACTGATTGGTTTATAAGGAGAAGGGGGGCATTGGTATAGATACGATATAGATCCATGATAAATTTATAGAGATAACATAAATAACAACTTGTTTAATTTTAGGTATAATGGGTACAGGTGTAATAAGCAACTCTGTGGTATGTATTGCAGATTTATTGATTATATTGGGTAGATACTTGTTTGTATGTATGTGTGAAAAGTTGACTCAATGTCGTGACCTTATCAGAACTTGAGAAAGGCTCAATTAAAGGTTGTTAAATATGTACAATTGAATAATGAGTTGTGCAATACTACCTAGGTACCTCTTATGCTCACATAGCAGGTACCGATCCGCTATCCGGTCCTTAGAGGAATACATAACCGACCAGCCGAGGTGTGCATAAATGGTACATAACTCTAACTTTCAGGTAGGTAAGTACATCTCCCACGCGTCCACTAGTCTACCTACTAGGGTGTAACACCAGCCAGCTAACCAATCTAACCAATCTAAGGGTCCATTGACCCATCATCTTAGGTGATCTCACCCAATAGTCCCCACAGCACATTGATAAATGAATTAGGGAAACCCTGATTCGCTAGAACTTGTTAGGATTTGGGCGGCCGTGTACTCCGCAGACCGCTAGCTCCGAAATTTCTAGGGGAGAAGACAGTTCAACTTAAAGAAATCAACCACCAATACAATTTCACAAGCCTTCTTATCCCCCAACTTTCCAAAGTTCCTCTCAACAATCCCCGAACTCCGTTTCCGAGTGTGCCCTCATCTCGACTCGAAAGTCCAGATCGCATTATTGTGTCTGCATAACAAGCCATCGCTATTGACAAATTTCTTCCTTTATCCTTAAAGATTTAGACAACAAATTCAAAATGGCGGACAAGGAGTATACCTACCAGGATGTTGCCGAGCACAACACCAAGAAAGATCTTTTTGTCGTTATCCACGATAAGATCTACGATTGTACAAAATTCGTCGACGAACATCCGTAAGTGCTCCAGCGCATTATACGAATTCCCATCGCAATTCTTTCCCACGCCCCGGCAACCCATTGTCACCGTTCGGACTTAATAGCATGTAAGCTGACTCGTTTGCATTATAGCGGTGGTGAAGAGGTTATGCTAGATGTTGGTGGCCAAGATGCGACAGAGGCTTTCGAAGATGTCGGCCACAGCGCGAAGCCCGAGAAACCTTAGAGCAACTCCTCGTCGGTACTCTTAAGCGAAATGTGAGAATCCCATACTCTTCTCTATACTTTAATCTACTATACCTCTCCTGCTCCGATATGCTGACAGTCTTTGGATATAGCCCGGTGACCCGTCCCCCAAGGCCCAACAGTCCTCCCTTGCGCCTGCCGCCAACACAAGCTCTGCTGGTTTGGGAACTGCTGTGTACGCTATTATCTTCATCGGAGGTATACTCGGTTTCGGTGCTTTCCAATACCTCCAGTCGCAGCAAGGCAAGGAGGCTTAGACGAATTCGTATATTCGGCAGGAAATGTTTGGGAGGTTAAGAGCGTACAGCATGATTCAAGCGATGGACGATCGATATCCTCTCGGCAATGTATTTGATGAGCACTTAATAGATCGGGCTATTTGGTTCTTCATAACGTATTAGTACATGTCCTATCATCATCAGACTACTTGGTTAATTGAGAACCAGGAAGTCAGGTGAAGAAATGGTTATTCAAATTTAGTAGAGCTGGCTAGCTAGGAGATAGCGGTCACTTTAATAAGAAGCAGTTTTAATAAACCCCGATGATCTAAAGTAGTAGGGAAATAGTAATCAATTAATGCAATTAAAAATATTATCTCCAATTATTAGCCACACGCATTCAGTGCGTTTTCCAATAATACTGTTCCATTTCAGCATCTGATTTGAAATTTGAGCATGTGGCCATCACAGATTAGAATTTGGTTTCCAGTTCCAGCTACGTATCATTTCTTTTACTTCTTACATTAATACCCACCTGTTACTGTTTGTCCGGAAAATATCTTAGCCATTCAAAATAATAATAGAATAATATCAACTCGATAATTCACTAAATACTAATATTTGCAAATAAAATACGTATCCTGAACCTGCATCTTTGATTTTAAGGTTAGGCCTGTCGTCTCACTAAAAAGCTACATTCAAGCCCCCCACTACACCACTGCACTTTTTACTTTCAAGCCACGTGTGGACGTACTTTGATCGCAATATAGTGGACCTAATCTTAGAACATTACCTGGTACATGTACCTAACAATTAAACTTTACTCAGCCTCGTCTTGAAGATTCCATTCTTCTTTCTTTCTTTATCCGTCTCTTTGACGAGATCGCTTTCATTAACCAACCTTCTCGTCGCTACATCACATACATTACAGAAATCTATCTCAAACCACTCATCATGTCGCCCTCCAAACCCTCTAACGGTATAAAAAGGTCAGCACCCGCCTCATCGGCCGCATCTCCATCCGGCGCGAATACGAGTAAGAACGACAACAAGCGTCAGAAGCGCGACGGGAATGCTGCTACGACGAATCATGCCTCAACCCCAACACCCGCTGCCGTTGCTGCTGCCGCGGCTGCGAAAGACTTCGGCGAACATAGCAATACGCATCTTTCATTCGCCGTCGAATTCCTCAAAGAAAAGCGCAGTCCTAGGCCTCTACAAGAAATCTTGGATCACCTGACGCTACAACCACCCCCCGAGGACCAGCAACGCGCATTTGTTCATAGTCTAAAAACCCATTCGCGCATCCTATTCAGCCCAGCCCCCAAATCCAAAGGTAGTTCAAGCCAGCAACCCGAATGGCGCACCGGTACATACGAGTACAGAGCCAAATTTCCCGGTGTGGTTTCCAAGATAAAACTGTTGGAATATTTGCAACAGAGGAAGGATCAAGGAGGCATTTCAATCAAGGATATCAAAGATGGCTGGCCGGACTGCGATACTGCCATCGAAGAGCTTGAGCGGGAACATAAGGTTATGGGTAGTATACGAACCAGAAAGGACACCCACGCACGAATTATCTGGCCTGATACTCCAGACCTGCATCACGATGTAGACCCAGAATTTCGAGTAATGTGGTTCCAAGAGGCTCTACCTTCTGTCGATGAAATGCCCAGGAAGCTGAAGGCACTGGGTCAAAAGGCTACAAGCGAGGTAAAGAACGTAAATCTCGGCCAGAAGGCCCCGCCGAAGCGGAAGAAGGCCTCTCGTGTTCAGAAGAAATTCGAGAATGAGCACATGAGGAACATATTCGAGCAGCACAAGCGCAAGTGACCTTAGCCCAAGTCACGCAATAAGAAGTTCTAGGGTGTGTCCGTTAGTGAGAGCGTTGGTATTGCATTAGGGTGTTTCTACGGTATATTCTCAAAATCAAGAAAAGGAGGAAGGGGAAGCGAGCATTTACGGCGTTCGGTTGGTCTTATCTGATGAGGTGTTTCGGAACGAAAAGGGAGGGCAATTCTGCCCTATATATACCTAGGTAATCATGGATACACGTATACCCGGTAATAGGTATTAATATGCGACGAGGACTTTCCGAATAAGCGACATGTCCCGCTGCGTCATCACTATAAAAAGGTATAGGTATGAAGTGAATTTGAGACTAAGTGGTTCTACCAGTGCCTTCCTCTGCTAAGGCGTGACTTTGATATTAGTCTGCCAAAAAGCTACAGAAAGAAGCCAGCTTTACGAAGATATATCTACTGTAAGAAACCAAATGGTCAGGATATGATTCTATGATTCTAGCGAACTAGTTGAAGCTACCATGAAAGGCCACCCTTATTCTCTCCATGTTTCTAATTCATTCCCTTTTCTAATTAGCAGAATTATATCATTCAAGCCTTGATACTAGAAAAGCATGACATAAAAAGAAAATAAAGTTGGTTAACAACAATATAAAACCAAAATTATGATTTAGGTAATCATCGTTTTTATAATATTTCGAGTTCACAAATTTATTCAAGAAAAAAAGGTCACTAGATTAAGTTTCGAACCAGAAAAAGAGACGCTTAGGGATAGTAATGAATTACAGGTATAATTCATATTAAAGGTTCTATATAATAAAGATTTGCGTCAACGTATTATCAGAAAGTCCATCTACTTCTAGTATCACACTCGCGCAAGCATTGAGCAAGTTTAGTATTGACGCCACAACTCGCAATAACCTCACTACCTATCAATCTACTTTCAACCATGAGTAAATAAAAAATATTGAACCATGATCCTTGCAGTCATGCCTACATCTAGGTTCTTTATATCCCTATGACTGTCCTTATTATATAGTTTTATCAAGTCATGGCTCATTGCTTATACATATCACAAGTGTTGTAAGTTTTGCCATCAGGAAAAAAATAACGGTTTGGAAACCTCAACAACTTGTATCATATAAATATCTTATATCGAAAACATCCATGCTGATTATCTTTTCTTGGGAATAAGGTCGAAGTAACATACCCGTTGCGTTAAAGTAACTAGTACACAAACGTGCCTGATTAGAAGTCATCGTGACAAGGAAATAAAACCCCAATATTTAGGAGGTACTTATTAAATATTTTATTTGCTAGTAGTTATTGCTAAAGTAAAATCTACCCTGCGTTAATCTTTTTTTGCAAGTTAATTTTTTATTATATTTTTATACATATAATGAAGTCTTCTTGTGCTTTGAGTGGGACTTGATTGCTACAGTTAAATTGTATGGACGTTTGTACTACCTAACGTATTACAGATTTGATCAGGACAGGTTTAAAACTTTGAGACGCTTAGCTGCCCATTCTTCTCAAAGACTGTCCCGTTTTTGTTTGCTTTAAGTACCTAACTTAAGTTAACGCACTGTTATTAAACCATCCACAATCAATAAGCCCTCATATATACCCTCCATGATTGATCTATAGCTTACAGTTAAGGCGAAGTTAACTAGGGGGACAATAGAAGTTCTTGTAAAGCTTAGTACTTGATACTTCAGTAGCGTCAGGACTTTAGACGAGACTTGCAGGCAGAACAAAGGACACCTGTAGTATGCATTGCAGTGTGTATAGGTACCTAAGCTACAGGTTCTTACAGTTCCCTTAAGGCTCTTTGACAGACATGAATAGGATTACTGATGTATATCGGTAATTAGCTCGTCTAGTCAATACGTTACTAGGTTAGTCATAGTCATAATTCCAGTGCAAAACATTAGTTATAATAAGAATAAGCTAAGCATGCGTAACTGAAGAATTGTATTGTTCCTTGGACACTAACGATAGTAACGAAGTAATTTCAAGATGCTTGTAATAAGGTACTTGTCATGATATAATAGGAGAAGCGCTGGCCGGTAACGCTAACGGCGGGTATCCTCAAGAGAGTTTTCGGGATCCGTGTAAGCCTTCAATTCATCTAATCGTATAACCTAGGTGTAAGCTCGGAAGAGTTGCTTGCAATTGGTTATGAGCTTTAGAATAGTACAATTATGTCTACGCCTATAGGCACTTTGGCAGCTACCACTGTCATATCTTAAAATAAAAGTAGCACAAATTTGGGAGACCTTGCAGTTTGCTAGCCACGTTATATAATCGTGGCTCCAGTGATATCACAGGATTATTAGTAAATCCTTTGGTCTGTTTAGTACTTCACTTCAATGAGCTGTATTAAAGATCAAGGAGATTTATTGGTACAGGTGTAAGCTTGTTGAACAACGGGGCGAAACAACAGCAGATGGTGAACGCTGGTGGTTGTTAATGACTTTAATAGATTCACCTAGCTAGTAATTTAATCAATATCATGGATATTCCTTTCTCTAAAGGGGTTAATGCAGTCATGTAAGGTTGTTGATATCATGTTGCTTTTAGCCGCTTTTGTACATTCTTGTATAGCCGCAGTATCCTATAGCTAGCCCAGCCTTCCAAGAGTAGGATTTAACTTGCTTTCTATTGGTGATATAGGTTCAAATGAAAATGGTAAATTGAACGTATATCTTTCAGGAGTTCTGAGTTGTAGTGTTGTTCCATGCTATACCAACGAAAATAGTATATGATTCTATGCCCTTTGCTAAGTATTCCTCTATTACCAACTCACTTTTTTCTCAAAAATATAGCTAATCAGACTAATAGACTCCAAAATCTGTATGTCTCGGAGAAACTATAGGTTTATTGATCGCAGTAGTCGGCATAGTAGTTTATAATAGACTAGCATTTGGCTCAATCACTTGCGCGACGTCTCTTCCAACATTATATTGAAGAGATGCTAACTATCGACTTTCAAGTCAATTAACTAGCTCTATCCTATTGTATGTTTCTGTAGCAAACTAGGGACGTTCGTAGTCGTCACATTGGCCCTCGATTTAGGCGCTCTACGTGCGAGGATTTGATGATATAGTATTGTACGGTCGTATTAGGCAGTATGAATCTATTTGATAGAGAGAAACTAATACTGCGATCCTTTGATTAGCAGTTGTACTTTCGCGCAGGTAACTTTGGGTCTGGCCGGGAACTAATCTAGATTGC